TGGAAAGATTGAAATAATATTTTCTTATAAAAATGCACTCTTATAAATTGTAAATTAATGGTACAGTAAAAAAAAAAACATACATCTAATATTATATAGTATATTATAGTGTAGAATGAACACGCACAGTTACAGTTACAATAGCAACAAATATATCATATGATAAAATATAACATAACATAATATAATATATTCTTTCATTCATTTTCTTTTCGGCTTAGTCCCTTTATAAATCTGGGGTCGCCACAGCGGAATGAACCGCCAACTTATCCAGAATATGCTTTACGCAGCGGATGCCCTTCCAGCTGCAACCCATCACTGGGAAACATCCATACACTCCCATTCTCACACACACACACACACACACACACTACGGACACACACACTTGGCTCTTAGCCAACCCAATTCACCTCTACACATGTCTTTGGTCTTGTGGGGGAAACGGAGCACCCGGAGGAAACCCAACATGGGGAGAACATGCAAACTCCACACAGAAACACCAACTGACCAAGCAACCATCTTGCTGTGAGGCGAACGTGCTATCCACTGCGCCACCGTGCAGCCATAATATAATATAATATAATATAATATAATATAATATAATATAATATAATATAATATAATATAATATAATATAATATAATATAATATAATATAATTTTATTTAATATAATATAATATATAATGTAATATAATATAATATATAATATAATATAAAATAATGTAACATAATATAATATAATATAATATAATTTTATTTAATATAATATAATATATAATGTAATATAATATAATATATAATATAATATAAAATAATGTAACATAATATAATATAATATAATATAATTTTATTTAATATAATATAATATATAATGTAATATAATATAATAAATAATATAATGTAATATAATATAAAATAATGTAACAAAATATAATATAATATAATATAATATAATATAATAAAATATAATATAATATAATATAATATAATTTTATTTAATATAATATAATATATAATGTAATATAATATATAATATAATGTAATATAATATAAAATAATGTAACAAAATATAATATAATATAATATAATATAATATAATGTAATATAACATAACATAATATAATATAATATAATGTAACATAATATAATATAATATAATATAATATATAATAATATAATATATTTGTTTTGTCTAAGTTATACAAGACTATTACACAAGTCTTTTAAATACTCTTATTGACACTTAAAGACATGCTAAAAATAGATTTCAGCCCCATTTCAGCGTACAAAACCTGCTCAGTGTTATTATTTTGACTACTGTAGTGCCTATTAAGAATATAAGAAAGCATGTCAACTCACCAGTCCCATCTAACTGTATATGATCCAGGTTTTCTCTCCAAATCTACATTATTAGCTTTGGCAGTGCTCTTTCATCGGATGCGGGAGTGTAAAAGACAGCCAGACCACAGAGTTTGTGTGTGTTTTGCGTCCGAGGACAGTGGATTAGTCTGAGGATCAGAGCCATGTGAAGAGGTCAAGTCAAATAGCACGGCCAGGACTAACCATCAGCCCAGGTCTAACCAATGACATTACATCCCCGCTGGCCAATCAGATGACAGCATTCTAAGAAAACTACCACATCGTTAATCAATGGAGCACAGAGAAGTCTGAGGTCACAATGGTCATTAAATATGTGAGAATGAACAGAAACATTATTGATATTGAATAATGGGTCATCGTGTTTTATTCTGCAATATGTCTAAACATAGCAATGTTACATGCTATAAACACAGCATAGCAACAACATATTAAAACATATCAAAGTCTTTTTGAAATTCATCTTTAAGTCAACTTCAATCAAACTGTTGTGCATTTAATAGAGTTTGCAGCGACAAAATTTGATTTAAGTATTAAAATTAAATTTAAATATAATAAGCCAGCAACAAAACACCAGCTTATCCAGTATGTTTTACGCAGCGGATGCCCTTCCAGCTGCAACCCAGTACTAGAAAACATCCATACACACTCATTCACACTCATACACTACGGTCAATTTAGTTTATTTAATTCACCCATAGCGCATGTTTTTGGACTGCTGGGGAAACCGGAGCACCCGGAGGAAACCCACGCCAACATGGGGAGAACATGCAAACTCCACACAGAAATGCCAACTGACCCAGCCGGGACTTGAATCAGTGATCTTCTTGCTTTGAGGTGACAGTGCTAACCACTGAGCCACCGTGTCGCCCCATGTATGTGTATTTGTTTTTATTTTATCTTTCAAACTGGTGTTTGATTTTATTCGTTTTAGGTTTCCTGTCATTTTTATTGTTGTGTATGTGTATGTGTGTGTGTGTGTGTGTGTGTGTGTGTGTGTGTGTGTGTGTGTGTGTGTGTGTGTGTGTGTGTGTGTGTGTGTGTGTGTGTGTGTGTGTGTGTGTGTGTGTATGTATGTATGTATGTACGTTTGTGTGTGCGCGTGTGTGTGCGCACTCGTGCATGTATGTGTGTGCGTACGTGTTTGTCTTTATGTCGTCATTCAAACTAGAGTTTGATTGTATTCGTTTTGTTTCCTGTAATTTATTGTAGTTTCTGTGTGTGCGTGTGTGTGTGTGTGTGTGTGCACGTGTTTGTCTTTATTTAATCTTTTAAACTGGTGTTTGGTTTTATTCATTTTATGTTTCCTGTCATTTTTATTGTGGCGTGTGTGTGTGTGTGTGTGTGTGTGTGTGTGTGTGTGTGTGTGTGTGTGTGTGTGTGTGTGTGTGTGTGCGTTTGTCTTTATCTTTATCTTATCTTTTAAATTGGATTTTGATTTTATTCAGTTTCCTGTGATTTTAGTTTAGTTATTGTTTTTGTGTGTGTATGTGTGTGTGTGTGTGTGTGTGTGTGTGTGTGTGTGTGTGTGTGTGCATGTGTGTGAGTGTTTGTCTTTGTTTTTTTTTATATGAAATGTGTTGAATTTTTGATACATTTTGTTTTGGTTTTTAGTTATTTCTTTTCTTTTTTCAAAATAAATAAAAAAAGTAAATAAATAAAAAAAGGTCAGAAATATTTCTACATTCAAAAAAATCAATAATATTTAATAACAACTTACTTTTGATTTAGCTTTAGTTAACTATTACAAATCTGTCGCCCGACTACATTAAATGTGGAAATCTGCCAACAAAACAAAACAAAACATGTTTTCAGTGTTTCAGGGTCCTGTTGGTAAAGTCTAACAGCATGTGTCTTGTGTGTTAATCTGGGCTATTTCTGTCTTGTCCTACAGTATACCTTATATGCTTTAATAAAACCTGACAGAGGAGCTCACACACACACACAAACTGAAGCACACTGTAATTAAGACAGAGATTAGGAGGCTGAAATAGTGTCCTCGCTTTAACCAAGACATCGGAAACAAAGGTCATCTGAGTGATCTTTTACACCAGTGACACACAAACGAATTCAAGCTACTGAAATGACTCTGTTTACTTCAGTCAAATCTCTAAACTATAGACTAGATTCAGCAACTAACAAACTCATATTCAATATATAATACAGTACAAATGTTTAATGCTTAGTTAATATACACCCACCGGCCACTTTATTAGGTACAACTTTCCAACTGCTCGTTAACGCAAATTTCTAATCAGCCAATCACATGGCAGCAACTCAATGCATTTAGGCATGTAGACATGGTCAAGACAATCTGCTGCAGTTCAAACCGAGCATTAGAGTGGCGAAAAAAGGCGATTTAAGTGACTTTGAACGATCATGGTTGTTGGTGCCAAACGAGCTGGTCTGATTATTTCAGAAACTGCTGATCTACTGGGATTTTCACGCACAACCATCTCTAGGGTTCACAGAGAATGGTCATAAAAAGAGAAAAGATCTAGTGAGCGGCAGCGGGTGCCACTTTTGTCAACTAAGAACAGGAAACTGAGGCTAAAATACACACAGGCTCACCAAAATTGGACAGTAGAAGATGGAATGTTGCCTGGTCTGATGAGTCTCGATTTCTGCTGCGATATTCAGATGGTAGAGTCAGAATTTGGCATCAATAACATGAAAGCATGGATCCATCCTGCCTTGTATCAATGGTTCAGGCATGGTGGTGGTGGTGTGATTGTGTAGAGGATATTTTCTTGGCACACTTTGGGCCCATTAGTACCAATTGATCATCGTGTCAACGCCACAGCCTACTACTCTCCTGATGGCTACTTCAAGCAGGATAGCGCACCATGTCATAAAGCACGAATCATCTCAGACTGGTTTCCTGAACATGACAACGAGTTCACTGTACTCAAATGGCCTCCAGAGTCACCAGAACTAATCCAATAGAGCACCTATGGGATGTTGTGGAACAGGAGATTTGCATCATGGATGTGCAGCCGACAAATCTGCAGCAAAGCATGATGTCAGTGCGTATCATGTCAATATGAAGCAAAATCTCTGAGGAATATTTCCTGTACCTTGTTGATATATGCCACAAAGGGGTAAGGCAGTTTTGAAGGCAAAAGGTGGTCAAACCTGGTACTAAAGGTGTACTAGAACGATATATAATATAATACAATATAATATAATATAATAAAATAATTAATATATAACATAATATATAATATAATATAATATAAAATTTAATAAAATATATTATAATATAAAATAATATAAAATATAATATAAAATTATATAATATAATGTATAACACAATATAATATATAATATATTGTAAAATATATAATATATAAAAAATAATATATAACATAATATAAAATTATAATATAAAATATAACATAATATAAAATATAATATACAATACAATATATAATACAATATAATTTAAAATATAATAAAATAAATTCAGGGATATAAACATTTTGTCTTCAGCTATATGCTATGTATAGGCCATATATGTTTATTTTGCTTTTATGATATGTACATAATTCATACTCAGCTTTGAACACGTGATGTCTTAAGCATTTCAACTTATAACATTTTAATGAAGCGGCTTTGTATTGTTGAGGGCTTCGAGGAGCCGGAAATCCGGAAATGTTCACAAGTTTTTCTTCATTGGCCGCAGAGGAGGAGGATCATTAGTGGAGCAGAGAGGAAAAAAGCCCCACAACCTTCATATCGCGGCGAAAGCAACCAAACTTTGCCTTGTTTTCTTTGGAAGCGACAGGAAAACAGCAAAACCCCCCTCAGCTTCAGCCGAAAACAAGTCCAGATGTTTCATGTCTGAGGGTCTCTGTCATACACACCAGACCACTGGGAGCTGCTCATATTTTGCGTCCTCTTTAATGCATGTTTATCATTTACAGCATGTTTACCTTGGAATAATGAACGCGGATTCGTCCCTCCTGAAGACTCCTGTGAGGCAGAAGTGAACTGCTGTGGCTGTGGAGAATGGAGCTGAAGTGTTCAGTTGGAGATTTGCTCTTCTTGAGTTTTCTCTGGAATGTTTTGTGTGTTCAGACTCATCTGGACGCGAATTTCCCGCGCGGCGATGACACCGGTGAGCAGCTGTCAATCAAACACGTCATATATCGCTTCTTCATTGATCTGTGCCGCCGCTGCGTTCTAGTACGGATGCGTTCAAGTGTGTGTGTGTGTGCGCGCGGGCGAGCGTGTGTGTTTCATGTTTACAGCGTAGGTGCAGCACATACTGTATTTATAAATATGTTTGTTGGTTTAAGTAATTGTCTCCATAGTACTGTGTAAACCTAAAACATCTTTTATTATAATTCTAATAATTATTATTGATATTATTATTATTATTGATATTATCAATATTAGTATTACTATGGTGGTGATGATGATGATGATGATGATGATGATGATGATGATGATTATCATTTTCATTATTATTACTATTATTATTATGGTAATGATGATGATGATGATCATTATTTTCAGTATTATTATTATTATTATGTTGATGATCATTGTTATTATTATTATTATTATTATTATTATTATTATTATTATTATTAATATAGTGTTAATGATCATTATTATCAGTTTTATTTTTATTATTACTAGTCTTATTGTTAGTTTAATAATAGTAACTTTTTTTATGGTTAGCATAAGAATGAAGTCAGCCCTTAAATATTTGAATCTAGATTAAATAATGAATAATTATGGTTGTCACAGATTAACCACACACACACACACACACACACACACATATATATATATACATATATATATATATATATATATATATATATATATATATATATATATATATATATATAGAGAGAGAGAGAGAGAGAGAGAGAGAGAGAGAGAGATAGATAGATAGATAGATAGATAGATAGATAGATAGAAATAGATATAGATATGTGTGTATACATATATATATATGCATACAGTTGAAGTTAGAATTATTAGTCCCCCTGTTTATTTTTTTCCCCGTTTTTGTTAAACATTGTTTAACAAAGAGATTTTTTTTAGCACATTACTAAACATAATAGTTTTAATAACTTATTTCTAATAACTGATTTATTTTATCTTTGCCATGATGACAGTAAATAATATTTGATTAGATATTTTTCAAGACACTTCTATACAGCTTAAAGTTACATTTAAAGGCTTAACTAGGTTAATTAGGGTAACTAGGCAGGTTAGGGTAATTAGGCAAGTTATTGAATAACGAGGGTTTGTTCTGTAGACTATTAAAAACAAAATTTGCCTAAAGGGGCAAATAATTTTGTCCTTAAAATGGTGTTTAAAAAATCAAAAACTAAATTAAGTAAAACTAAATTGAAACAATTAAGACTTTCTCCAGAAGAAAAAAAATATAATCACACATACTGTGAAGATTGATTTGCTCTGTTAAACAGCACTTGTGAAATAGTTAAAAAAGGGGGGAAAAAAAATCAAAGGGGGGCTAATAATTCTGACGGTAACACTTTACAATAAGGTTCATTAGTTATTTAATTTACTAACATGAACTAATCATGAACAAATCTTGTACAGCATTTATTAATCATAATTGAACATTTACTAATGCATTATTACCATTCAAGTCCATGCTTGTTAACATTAGTTAATGCACCATGAGTTAACATGAACTACTGTATTTTCATTAACTAACCTTAACTAGCACGAACAAATACAGTAGTAGATGTATTGTTCATTGTTTGTTCATGTTAGTAAATGCATTAATTAACATTAAATAATGAACCTTATTGTAAAGTGTGCCCATTCTGACTTCAACTGTATATATATACAGTTGAAAAATACGCTCATCTTTTGGATGGATAACATTAACCGTGTTTGCTCTGCTCAGTATGACAGAATGATGGATGCCAACTTGCTGTATCTCAGAAATTATAAATAATTAAAATAGGCTCTAACCTTATCAATAAACTGGATGGATGCAATTTAAACTACATTCTCACTTGGAAAGCCTCAAAGGTACATTATGTTGTCCAACAGCTGCAATATTTGAAAATCTGTAGTGAGTTTATTGATCTGTTGGCAGAGTAATACAGAAGGGTGAGGAGGCTGATATTTTCAGAATATCGCACAGCTATCAGCCAATCAGATTCGAGAACCAGACAAAACTGTTGTATAAAGTATAATAAGCAATCTACAAGCAGAGAGAACTTCAATAAAGAAAAATATGCTGATTAAATAAACAGCGTTTTACTGTTTTCCAAAGAGTCAATATGTATTCATGTGTACAGTCATTATATAATCAATTCTAAAAGAATACTGCATAGTCTTCATTTTACAAACAATTCAATATAATTAATTGTTATTAAGGTGACGCAGTGGCGCAGTAGGTAGTGCTGTCGCCTTACAGCAAGAAGCTCGCTGAAACTCTGGTTCGATCCTCGGCTCAGTTGGCGTTTCTGTGAGGAGTTTGCATGTTCTCTCTGCGTTCGCGTGGGTTTCCTCCGAGTTCTCCAGTTTCCCCCACAGTCCAAAGACATGCGGTACAGGTAAATTGGGTAAGCTAAAATCGTAGTGAATGTGTGTGTGGATGTTTCCCAGGGATGGGTTGCGGCTGGATAAGTTGGCGGTTCATTCCGCTGTAGCGACCCCGGATTAATGAAGGGACTAAGCCGAAAAGAAAATGAATGAATGAATAATTGTTATTAATTTGTAAAAGTTACAAGTCACAGGCCTCAACAAACACTTGCCAAATGATCAATTATTATCCAGACTCAACACCGCGTATACTCGCGATGTGCTTATTGCGAATGATCGATGCAATATCCCTACTGAAATGATATATTGTGCAGCCCTACTATATATGTTATTTTGACTTCAAATTTTTCCTCAAAGGGAATTCTTGATTGTGATTTTAGATTAAGATGATTTTTGCCTTTATTTGTTTGACGGTTTCTGCTTTCTGCTTCATGCAGGTTTATTTTGCTTGACTGCTGTTTTGAGTTTTGTGCGTGTGTGTGTGTGTGTGTGTGTTTAATTTTCAAAGAACCATCATACTTCACATAACCTTTGCATTCATTCTTGTCTTTCTGTGTCTGTCTGCCCTTTCAAGTTCCTGTTTCTTATCAGTTTGATTTCATACAGAAATACCTGAGATACAGATTGTGAGAGAGTGTTTGTGTGTGCATGCGTGCGTGTGTGTTTTGAGCTGCTTTGTCCTCAGGGAGGAACAGTTTGGAACTGTAAAGATCCAAGGAAAAGGAAGTCATTACGAGTACTTTCCTCACTCGTCATCATTGCTCTGAGGGTTTTTCCCTCTACATATAATTCTTTACATTCACATTTGTCAAAAAACATTGCATTTTGTTAGTTTTATTATTATGATTGCAGATTAATTTTATAGTAATTCATTTCAATATTTGATTACATTTACAGTGAAGAATATTGTAAAATGGGGAAAATAATGGCTTTTAATTGTACTATAGTATAAAATGTAATTAATTCATGTGATATGAAGGTGAATTTTCACCATCATTACTCAAGTTTTGAGTGTTCAGAAATCATTCTGCTATTAGGAACCATTTATTAATTTTATTAATGTTGAAAACCTTAATGTATTGCCATCCAAAAGTTTGGAGTACGCCTAATTTAAAAAAAAGAAAATAATTGTCTATTTTGAAGTATTGTATCAGAAATGAGGGATTTCTATAAAAAATATATCCCTTAAATATTTATTTAACCAACAAGTCCATTTTTGATATCTCCAGACCACTTTGTGACACTGTGCTACGTATAACCGTGCACACAAACTAAGGTTATAGTTGTCCAAACACAGACCAATTTAGGTTTAAAAAAAACACTTAAGTGCAGCAGGGAAATATACTAAAATATTGAAAAATATAAAATTTCACAATGTTACTGGATATTGGATTAAATAAATGATAAAACGACAATAATTTGTATTATTTTTAGATTATATTTATTTTTGCCTTACAACAAGACAGTATTTAGGCAGAAAGCAAAGTTGTAGAGAGAGAGAACCAAACCTATTGGAAACATTTTATATAGTACAGCTATAGTATAACATACTCGGGTACTTTGTTTTGGAGGATTGATTACCAAAGTTTAAACACGTGCACTGGCATATGCACCATTTTTGCATCACTCTTTTAAGTAAATTGTACTCAAAGCTATATGTAAAGTAAACAAGAAATCCTTGTGTTTATATATAGTTGAAGTCAAAATTATTAGCCCCCCTTGAATTGTTTTTCTTTATTAAATATTTCCCAAATTATGTTTAACAGAGCAGGGAAATTTTCACAGTATCTCTGATAATATTTTTTCTTCTGGAGAAAGTCTTATTTGCTTTATTTCGGCTAAAATAAAAGCAGTTTTTAATTAAAAAAAAATAATAATAATTTTAAGGACAAAATTATTAGCCCCTTTTAGCTAAATCTTTTTTCCCGATAGTTTACAGAACAAACCATCATTATACAATAACTTGCCTAATTACCCCAACCTGCCTAGTTAACCTAATTAACCTAGTTCAGCCTTTAAATCTCACTTTAAGCTGTATAGAAGTGTCTTGAAAAATATCTAGTCAAATATTAGTTACTGTCATCATGACAAAGATAAAATAAATCAGTTATTACAAATGAGTTAATAAAACTATTATGTTTAGAAATGTGTTGAAAACATCTGCTCTCTATTAAAAACCCTAACCCTAAAGATTTGACAATTAAATTCATAAAGAGTCTTTTAATGTCTAATTATGCCTGATTTTGATTATTTATCAGCTATAAAACCACTGTTACACTGAATGATGTTTTAGTAGGTGAGGTGTCTTCTGTAAATCATAGTAAAAATAAAGTCAAATACTTATTAATAAAATGTACTGTTGAATCAAAATTATTAGCCCTTGTGTGATTTATTATTATAGTTTTTTCTTTTACATATTTCCCAAATGATGTTTAACAGAGAAAGGAATTTCACAGTATGTCTGATAATATTGTATCTTCTGGAGAAAGTCTTGTTTTATTTAGGCAAGATTAAAAGCAGTTGTTAATTTTTTAAAAAGCATTTTAAGGTCAAAATTATTTGCTACAGAACAAACCATCGTTACACACTGATTTGCCAAATTACCTTAACCTGCCTAATTAACCTAGTTAAGCCTAAAAAAAAGTCACTTTAAGCTGTATAAAATGTCTTGAAAAAAACCCACAGTTCAGAACGCACGCAGAACCGCAGATTAATACATTTTTTTAACTTTTAGGTTAATCTAACATTTATAGATGCAATGAGATCGCCTTCTGCGTCATTTAAATCGCGTGTATGAAAGCATTTTGGCTTTTCTTTAAAATATAATGATGATGGAAAAAGTTGTGGTTTAGCCTGCAATAATGCATTCAGTGCAAAGCTGCATGATTAAACATTAAAAGTTCGGGATCTCAATTCAAACATGAATGATCAATGATAATGATTTGCATGTTTATTAATCCTTCAAAGTGCTGCATTCAAAGAGATATTCAGTTTTTGCACTTTATCAGTCAGTTACAAACAATTAAATAACACACAAGTACAGAAGAACAGTTTATAGTTCAGATATAAACACTGATGTTTATGGTAAAGATTAAAATCACTGTTTAATGGAACGTGACGCTGGTGAATGTTGTAGCAATTACATTGTTTAACCAATCGGTGGATACAAACAGCCATCAAAATTATGTCACTGAATAGGTTTTCAAAAATGATCCACCTATAATGAAACATGAAGTTTTATGTGTGAATTTTTGAATCATTATTTGAAAATAAATATATGTTATGTTGTACTAGATGTTAGATTTCTATATTTAGCATAATCAGCAACAGTATCAAGGATCATTTTTGGTGTTGAATATTTTCTTGATTGATTTTTATTTTTTGTTTAAATTACAGGTTCTAAGTTCTGTAAAACCAATGGTGTTTGCAGTAATATTTTTGTATAAATGGAAAGCAAATTATGTTTTTCTCCCCCCTTTTTTGCTGACCAGAAAAATGGTCCAATTCATGACTCAAAAAGCATAGTGTGATCCGAACTGCGAGATTGGTGATTCATTACACCACTATTATTATACAAGTAAGCTCAATGTTATTTTAAATGAAATAATTTAAATGTTTAATAATTAAAATAAAATAAATTTAAATGTTATGATTACTGACATACACACTTTCTCTGATTAACTGCTGCTAATATCTTTACAGCAAAGTCCCTTCATTATTAAGCCAGAAAGTGAGGTTATTTCCTAGCTATATCTTCCAAGACAATAGCAACTTTTACTTTTCTGGCTTAGTACACCATGTACAGTAACTACAGAAGAGTCAAGCTTTAAATAGGAAACTGATCAATACTCTTTTTTTTTTTCCCTTTTTTTTTTTTTTAAGTGAGATGCTAATGGTCTAATCCGATTTAATAATCAATGCTAAGCTAAGCTAAAGGTTCAAACCCGAAGATCGGCTGAATGGATCCAAAAATGAAAAAAACTCAACTACTTACCTCTAGGGGAGTTGTAAAATGAACCTATTTCCAAGTAAAAGTGAAGGTGGAAGTCAGAGTTATTAGACATCTTGATTTATTAGCTCCTGTATATATTTTTTATTTTAAATAATCACAGGAAGGCTAATCATTTTAAAAAGTTGAATCCATTTTTTGTTTGGTCCATGTATGTTTATAAGTAATGGTTGGTGAGCCAGCTAATCCTATTTATTCGGCTTGTTAATGTCTTCACATCATTAATGTCTAATTCTTCACATTGTTAATTTCCTCCACTAGTAATCAACCTTCTGGAGGCTCTGAACATCACTCGCTCTCCTCATGGCGTGTCTAAAGTCAAAGGATCTGACCCAGAGACTCCAGCCTGGCGTTTACGCTCGTCCACACATCTCATATTACCTCAGGACTTATCTAAAAACCTGTTTAGCACTTCACAGGGCGTCCTGGGTTTGCATCTGCTGGGCCGACAGACCAAAAACTCGGAGATCACCCTTATTTCAGTTTCCAATCAGCAGCAAGAAAGACGCCCCCTGCTGGAGCTCATCTCTAATACGCAGTCAGACTGGCTGCAGATGCGGTTCAGGTCAGGAGACGGTCTGCAGACGGAGGTATTGAAGCTGCCCGGAGGGAGTCCGTTTACTGGTGGAGGATGGGTGCGGATGGCCCTCAGTGTAGAGCCCAGGCAGATGCTGCTGTTCGTGGACTGCCAAGAGGCTGTGGTGCTCAAGCTGAAAGGGGGAGGACGGATACTGAGTCTGGATTTTACACATGATGTGCAGGTCACGTTCTCCAGGGCTGCAGGAAATACAACCAGCAAGTTTAGCGTGAGTTTATTTTAAATGTCTGTACATTACTTACATTTTTGAATCTCTGAACATACTTTTTTTTCTGGACCACAAAACCAATCATAAATTTAGAATAAGTTAAGATTTATACATCACCTTAATGGTGAATAAATAAGCTTTCCATTTTTCTATGCTTGTTGGGATAGGACAATATTTTTCTGAGATACAACATGAATTTGAATATCTGGAATTCGAGGTTGCAAAAAATAAAAAAATATTGAGAAAATCTACTTTAAATTTGATCAAATAAATTGTTTAGCAAGGCACAATACCAATCAAATTGAGATTTTATATATTAATGGTACAACATGTACAAAATATATTACAGTTTTTCTCAGTCGCTTTGGTGCGATTCTTACAACACCAGTGCATTTCTGCACAACAGTTAATGCATTTCTCAAAACAATTAGTGCAAACTGCAAAACCTAGCTGATAACCTGCAAAAGCGCGTCACATGCTCAAAATGGAGAGCTCATTACTCAAAAGCAAGTATTGATGTCAATCAAAGTGTCAGTATCATCAAAATGAAAAGTCCTGACACCATTGTTTGTGAAAAAGATAGTCAAATGGCTTTGTCATGTTTTCATCATGACAGTTTACTCTGGACATTTTTTTCAATGCAAAAAATTCCGATTTTGGTGACACGTCCTGAAAATGCTCAAGACAGCACTATACTGTTTGCATAGTAATTTAAAAACTACAGTAAAGTTAAACATCACTGCTTAGTGAGGTATTTGAGTACAATACAGTAAATATGTTTTACATTTTTACTGCATTTGCTCTTTGCAATTCTAATTTATTCCCAGCATTGTGCAAAATAATAAATACACCCTTATTTACCACAAACATGGTAGAGCTGTGCACAACTGTACACAATATTACAGTACATATTGGAACTGAGCCTACAACATACACAGGTCTGTAAATCATTCATCAAATTGTTCAATTTTAAAGACATTTTCAAGAAAGTAAAGATTTAAATTTGTTTTTTAAAATTTGCTTGACAGATTTGACAACTAGTTCACCATTTTTGTATGTAATGACTCAAGGAATGAAATGAGGACTATTAGTTTTATATGGAATGACTATTCAGCATTTACAAGTTTAGTTAATTTTGACCGACATGACATAAGAGAATGATAATGTTATAAATAGCAGAGAGTTGTATGAAAGCAGTTGATGCATGTCCAAAAGCATTTGCAATTTGTTGGAAAGAATGAGAAACTGCTACTAGGATGTGCACAAATGATTAATTGTTTTGAGAAATGCATTAACTGTTGTGCAAATGTAAATAGGGTTGTGAGAAATGCACCAAAGCGACTGAGAAAAACTGTAATGCAGGTCCGTAGCCAGGAGGGGATTCGGGTAGTTTGAAAGACCCACTCTCCTTCTGACGTCCATAATTTGGCCCCTATATGAGCTCATTTGTCCTATTTTTCACAGTATGCCATCATAAATTGTAAAAAATAACCAATAGAAGAAGGCTTTAAGAAGAATAACCAATAAAATGACAAAGAAAAGAGGAATTTTATCATTTAAATGAACAAATTCTGCCAGAGGAAATGAGCTGGCCAGTTTGTTATTTGCCTTTAGGCTGCAGCTTTTAATTTAAAACAAGTTTTAACAGATTCACAATTTTTGTTGATTGTTTGTTTGTAATAAGTCTTTTTTTCATACTTCTAAAATTCTAATCTCATTACATTATAAAACTATAATAGCTTACAGTTTAAATGCACATTTGTAAATACACATATTTTTTTTTTAAACAAAAAATAGGTTAGCACTTTGACAAAAGTGTATGAAATATATTTGTTGCATCAAAAAGTGTGGTAATGATAATCCGACAAGCTAACCCAGCACAAAATAGTACTTAAAATGTCGATACAATGCAGTATTTGATCCTTGAATATTTGCAAATAGATCCACTTTTTGAGAAAAAAGAACCACCCCCTCTTAATAGGCTGGCTACAGACCTGTAATGGAAAATGATCTTTACCTAATATTTTAATTAATTAACAGCCAAACAGCCAAAAGTATGTCTTATGGGTCACAATTATTGATTTTCCTATTGTGAAAAATGTACCCTTGCAACATAAGGCTAGTTTTATCATCCAGGGTCACATCTGGGGACTTGCGTATATGTAAAAGTTAGCCATTTTTGAGGTTATTCAAAAGGTGATTTTTAAAATATGTATACAGTAAGTCACACTCTTTTACACTTTCAACACCCTTTACTTTATGAGCCTGAAACAAACAACATTATGTGAACTTGCATGTTTTTTTTGTGCTTTTAATATAACCTGTGCATTATACCGCTTTGTGCGTCTCAGGACCATTTATCAGGATTTTAAATTAACAAGGCATTTCAACACGCGTTCAGATGTTTTGTTTGTTGATCCTGGAATAACTGAGGCACAAGCTGTAAAGACTCTGCCCACTTTTGAAAAATAGAGTTCAAAAAAGTAGCGGCCTATTTGTATATTTGCAGACACGCATAACAACAGCATGTTTTCTTTTATTTCTACCCATTTTAAAGTGTGGTATCATAAACATCTGTGAAAAATTTTCTTTTGAAGCGAAGACCCTGCTGACATATTCTGATGACACCTGTATGAGACTATTACAGTAAGAAAAAAATTGAACATGTCACCATTTTTCTCAGAAAGCATATTTCTAACGGTGCTGTTGACTTGACATTTTCACCAGAAAACACTATTATTAGTTTACAAATGAAGTTGTGTGTAATAAAATGAAATGATGCAGGGAAAAAGCATTGAACACATGAAGAAAGGAAGGTGTAGAAAGGCAGTGAAAGCCCAGACAGCAGCTGAAATCTCTTAGTAGTTCTTCAGCATCCTCTGCCCTACACCAGTGTAAATTAATATCAGCTGCTTCAGTCCAACATACACATTAGAAGGAGCATGAAGATGTAACCAGAGTGGACATTTCAACAAGATAATGATCCAAAACACAGTCAAGGACTCTCTCAAATGATTTCAGAGAAAGAAAATCAAGCTGTAGAATGGCCCAGCCAATCACCTGACTCGAATCCAATTGAAAATACAAAATAAAGCTCAGATTTGATAGATGAGAACCACAGAACCATCAAGATTTGTACACTCTGAGCAAAAACTCACACCTGAGCAATACACGTGACTTCATTCTGCAAATGAGAGGCATCTTTAAGCTGCCATCACTAATAAAGCCTTTCATATAAAGTATTAAATACATTTCAGTAGTTCAGCACTTTCTCCTTGTGTCATGTCATTCTTATTACACATAACTCATTTTTCAGATTTTTGTTTTGTTTTTATATTTGTATTGTTTGGGGTTTTACCAAAATCTGGTTCAGTTCCATGTCAACAGCTCGTTTACAAATATTATTCCCAGGAAAAATATAACTTGTTCAATATTTCATGTGGTAAATAATCATAATAGGAGCTCTTTTAACTATCAATTCTAAACCACATTGTGACCAAACAACATTTTTTGTCTGTGTGCCATTTTTATGCCAGATGTTTCTTAGGCTCAATAAATCTGTATTTATTTGATCAAAAATACAGCAATAAAGTAATATTGCAGAATATTAGTACAATGTACCAGTTGGTTATTTTTCAAAGACGCTATTTATTTCTGTGATGCAAAGCATATTTTTTTAGCATCATTACACCAGTTTTCAGAGCCACATGATCCTTCAGAAATCAGTCTAATATTCATCTAAGGCTCTTCTGAACATGTTGCTATGAAAAGAAATGTGTAAAGTGATTACTGCTGCATATTTTATAGAAGCGAACAAAAATCAAAACCAGATTGAAGATACCACATCTAACATCGTCTATGAGAGCTGAAGCCTTTTTCCACATTTCTCCATTTTCCCAGAACTTTCTGAATCTTTCTCTCAGGCAACACCCAGGACTACTGAAGAAAATATAGCATTAGCATTCTTCATAAGTGTGCTATGTAGCAGGATTTATAAGCTCCCAAAAAGATTTGTTCATTGCCAATAAGCTACTATAATGAAATATTTACCATTTATGTGTTACTTGTAAAATCTTACTCAATGAGAATATACAGCCAGTTTTTATTGAGTCATTTTAGACTCAATGTAGTTACAGCAATCACCAGCAGGGGCACTCATCTGTCAGATATTACAATTTAAACAAAAATTTGATTATGATATATTATAAACTGTAAAAAAAAATCTGTTTATTAACAGTTTTCGTATTTTGTGATTCACAAGTGTATTTTGTCTATTTACGGTGGTGAATTGATCTCTGCTCTGTCAACTTTTGATGTTAAAAATGTGTGTGTGTTTGTGTCATTGCTCATCTGTTTTACGATGTAACTGTCATGAGTTTGCAATGTGTTTCCATGACTCCAAATTGACTGTATGTGTTTTCTTGTTGTTTTAGGGTTCTTGGCAGATTGCTGAGCTCTCCACAAGGACATATGAGAGACGTCCGTGGTTCTGTGACAACATTACAGGCAAGTAATCTATCAAAAAATAATCAAATATACTGTACAAATGCAAAAATCACAGAAGGTTAAGCTTTTTTTTGTTAAAGTTAGCTTATGTTTTTTAGTGTTTTGTATTATTAGGGATTCTTTGGCAAATGTTTTGCGAAATGTATTTTAATTATTTATTTTATTTTGTTTTATTTTATTTTATTTTATTGCTGTGAATTGCATTGCAGTTTGTTGCTAATTATTTTATTGCACTTTATTTTATTTTATTGCACTTTATTTTATTGATTTTTATTTTATTTTATTGCAGTGCATTGCAGTTTATTTTATTTTATTGCATTTTTTTTATTTATTTTATAGCATTTTTTTATTGCATTGCATTGCATTGTGTTTTATTGCAAGTTTTTTATTTTGTTTTATTTAATTTGATTTTGTTTCAGTTTTGTTTATTTTGTTTTGTTTTATTTTATTTTAGTTTATTTCAGTTCAGTTTATTTTGTTGTGTTTTAATTTTATTGCATTTTATTTTAGTTTATTTTGTTTTGTTTTGTTTATTCATTAATTTTTTTGGTTTTATTTTATTTTATTTTATTTTATTTTATTTTATTTTATTTTATTTTATTTTATTGCTTTAAATTGCATTGCATGGCATGGCATTGCTTATTTTCTTAGTGTTTCCTTTATACAACATTTTGAGAAATACCAGAAAAAAAAAAACAGGCCACAAAAATTAGCCAAATTTCCTACAAAATTCAGAAGAGGTTGAATATAGGGTATGCTTCACACAGAAAATTAAAAAAATGCATTTATTAGGTCAGCTCAAGGCACCCCACTTTCAGGGATCTTCAATTTCAGCTTGATTATGCAATTTAAAGGCTTAACTAGGCAGGTTAGGGTAATTAGGCAAGTCATTGTATAATGATGGTTTGTTCTGAAGCAATCAAAAAATATATTGCTTAAGAGGGCTAATAATTTTGTCCTTAAAATCTTTTTAAAAAAATGAAAACCGCTTTTATTTTAGCCAAAATTTAACAAATAAGTATTTCTCCAGAAGAAAAAAATATTATAGGAAATACTGTGAAAAACTTGCTCTGTTAAACATCATTTCCCAAAAATTTAACTGACTTCAACTGTATGTGTTTGTGGTTTATACAGATTCTCTTCCGGACACTATCCATCCGACCCTTTCCACTGTACCCGCAGTCCCTGACCTCTCTATGATGCGTGACGAGGCGGGTCGTGGAGATGGAGTGTTGAGCACAACAGGCCCCAGTGAGTCTGATGTGCGGTTTGGAGATCTGGAGAGAAACCTGCATGGCATCATGACCATGCTGGAGATGCTGAAGAGACAGGTACATGGAGAATACACTGAAAATAAACATATTGGTACTGTGATTGTTATTTTGAACCCGTATCACAACCACACTGCAAAAAACTACAGGTGAACTGCAGATAAATTACTAATAAAGTAAATAAAGTATCAAATAAAGTACTTTAAATAAAGTATTATTTGGAAATAAAACCGAAAATAAATTTTTTTATTTTTTTTATACGCTAGTGTTGACAGAGTAATACACAAGGGTGAAGAGGCTGTACGAGTGCTGATATTACTTTAAGATCTCACGGCTATCAGCTAATCAGATTCGAGAACCAGACAGAACTGTTGTGTATGTATATATGTAACGGAGGCCAGCTAGTGTGTACTGTGCAGGTAAACCTCACTCCTCTGACCTCTAAAGGTGCTCTAGCAACAGACGCTATAGGCCATGGTCTTTAACCTCCTTGGTAGAGCACTCGACTCCCATGCTGAAGGTTGGCGGTTCGATACCAGCTCGGAGCGGGTTTGGTGCTCCGAGGGGACCGACGGGGTTACATTGGTGCCGTGACCCGGATGGGAGTGAGGTTTAGGGGGGTGAGTGTAACGGAGGCCAGCTAGTGTGTACTGTGCAGGTAAACCTCACTTCTCGGACCTCTAAAGGTGCGCTAGAGGCCATGGTCTTTAGCCTCCTTGGTAGAGCACCCGACTCCCATGCGGAAGGATGCCGGTTACCAGCCTGGAGCGGGTTGGGTGGTGTAGAACCAGCAGGGTTACATGTTAATGTTCATAATGTTTATTTTTTCCTACTATGGATGTCAATGACAACTGATTTTCCACATTCTTGAAAATATCTTCTTTTGTGTTAAAAAATAAACTCAAAAAGCTATGAAACCTAAAGTTGTGTAAATGAAGAGTCAGTTAGTACATTTTCGTTATTGAGTGAGCTATCCCTTTAAATATACAACCAAATGCTATTATCATGATAATGTCGTATATCGTTTTCTGTGTATGCAGAACACAGAGCTGCAGGCGAGGGTTGAGTTTTTGGAGACGTGTGAGTGTATTAAGCGTAAGTGTGTTTGGGAAGGCCGTCAGGTGGACGAAGGCTCTCATTGGTCTCCTGACATTCGCACCGTCTGTTCCTGCTCCAGTGGAAGAGTTCAGTGTAACCGCTCAAGTGGTGAGTAAACTAACATCAATTACATGAAAACTATAAAAACAAATAGTCAATTATCATTATACTGCTGCTTTTGGAGCTGTCCAAAACAATCGTCTTACTGGAATTCATTGTCATTGTCAATAATATGTCAAAAAACGATCCACATCCCCCAGTTCTAGGCTGAAGAAGCATGCAAAGTGGCTTCTGGTGGATTCATGAAAACAAAAACTGAAACAAAAAGTAGCTCCTGGGACAAATTTCGCACTCTCATGTATATAGGGGTATGTTTTCAGAATAAGCCTGGGTTGAAATATACATAAACATTAAAAGAATATTGCATAAAATAAAATCTCAGTACAGCATAATACAGTTTTTCATAATCAGATTTGGTCTCAAACTTCCGTTCAATCCCATTTGCCAAAAGAACCCTGTGAACTGCTGTTCAGGCTCATTTCAGACATCTGATGTCTGGAACAACCTTTTGAGAAATCTCTCATGAATACTCAGACATCTTTTTGAGTTCTTTGATAAGATTGGATCTGATGTTGGTAGGATGTATGATTACAAACGCGAGCACACACACTTGTACTTTCTTTGGTTCATCTGCCAGGCTTATCTTTGTTGGGGTTTATCTCTATCTTTACATGTCCCTGTTTGCAGAGTGCAGCTTTCAGAGCAGAATCTACAGCGATGGAGAAGTTTTCAGCCCAGACGAATGCAGCCGCTGTAAATGTGAGGTATGATGAAAGATTAGTTTTGGATCTTCCGTCTTCACCTCCGCTGGCATTCAGTCATTGTTTTGTACCCCGGTGTGCTCTTGTTGTAGTATGGAAGAGTGGAATGTGATGTGAACCCGTGTCCATCGCAGACCTGTGAGGAACCGTCTGTTCAGAGACCGTGCTGTTCTGTCTGCCAAACCAGTCTCAGTAAACACTACATTTTTACATTTGGATTTTTGTGCGTTTGGGAGAGGCTTTTATCTAAAGCAACTTACATTGCATGGAAGGTGCACATTTGATCAAATCTTGCTTTCCATGGGAATTGATCCACTACAAAAAATGCTTTTCTTACTAAGAGTTTTTGTCTTGTTTCTAGTCCAAATATGTGAACATTCTTAAATCAAGAAGCATTTTCTAGACAAGTAAAGAAGGACTTGTTTTTAGAAAAAAACTTGTCAATTTTGAGCAAGATTTTATCTTAAAACAAGCTAAATAATCTGCCAGTGGCGTAAGCAAAATAAACTTGTTTTTTACTAAAAGCCACTTGCAGATTATTTTGCTTGTTTTAAGGTAAAAACCACTTAATTTTGACTTGTTTTTTGTGAATATTTTGACTTGTCTGGTAATGTTCATGCATTTAAAGGACACCTATGATTAAAATCCTCTTTTGTAAGCTGTTTGGACAGAACTGTGTGTAGGTACAGTATAGTGTGTCCACAGTCATATTGGGGTGATAGAAACACAATAAGTCTCTTTTTTTTAAATACCCTGACGTTAAAATAGGATCCGAATCCCTCCCATTTTGGGACCCACCACAACGTGAAGTTGGAGTGTTTCCCCGCCCACCACACTGATTGATAGCCGCCTATTAACATGTTTATGTAGTGTCGTATATGATTACATCAACAAGACAGGACGTGCGCAAAGCAACCGGGATAAAAAGATCTGTTCAGCTCTCTGTGATCATCAGTCATCATCAAATATGATCAAGAATGAGTTTTAAAAGTTTAAAACGTCTCTAAAACAGTTCATGTTTGTAATGAAGTAAGTTAAAGACTGTACATGTATTTCATCACTAGGCATGGGCCGGTATGAGATTCTGACAGTAAGATAACCCTGAATAAAATTATCACGATTTCACAATTTTGCGGTATTGTGATTACTGCTCTAAATTAAATTGTTTTTAAATGTGTGGGTAAAAAACTAAAACTTTTTACCCTTTTGAATACAATATGTTTTATTTTAAGAAACATTTATACTATTTTGGAACAGTAAACATGTCAGGCCAAGTCATTTATTGACTTTTGCTGTCTTCATTTTTTTTAAAAACTGATTTTTTCTGGAGTTATTTTCTGCTGGAGATAAAAAGTCCTAAAAAGTTAATAAAAAAAACGTACACAGCTTAGGAGCCCTGTTGCAGAAAACGGTTTTACGGTTTTGACGGTTTAAAACCTTGACTTTTCCAAACCGCAGTATACATTGCAAACGGTTATCGTCCCATACCTATTCATCACCACAGCTGCATATCAGTGCAATTATAAAGAAGATGCTTCATTCCCGGTTTGTGGACGTTAAATCAGGTTTATTTTGTACATTTACATAACGAATATCCATACAGCAGAAGATATTACCTTCTATCCTGTCAAATTTGCGTTAAACGAGCGCACTGTGTGTGTCCACTGTCTGTGTGTGTGTACGCGTGAACTTTGTAACAGCATTCTATGTGACTCATCATTGCAGAAAGGCTTGAATTAACTCCACAACAAATACATTGAATAATCATTGGTAAAGTTCTTACTGTAGTATTTCTCACACACGTACATGAGATCTGCTTCCTTCATGTTTGTCACTGTGTCGTTAATCTGATGCAGCATGAGATGAGCACACGCTCTAACAGGCATGAGGGAACCGTGGGCGGAGAGAACTAGCTCATTTGCATTAAAGGCACAGGCAACAAAAACAGCTACAATGTGTTCCGAGCTGAAAATCTAATATTCTGAAAGGTATAATCATTAATCTGATGGGTGTTTTGCGCTAAAACTTTACAGACACATTCTGGAGACACAAAAGACTTATCTTAAATCCTGAAAAAGGGATAAAATAGGTGTCCTTTAAGAATTGGTAGATATTTGCAATATAATCAAGACAAAAACACTAAGAAAGGAAATAATTTTGTGCAGTTCATGATGTTGCCTGCACATTGCTCTTCCTTTTGAGCAACAGGATCTATCCATACTGTACTTTGATATATAGTGAAGGAGAGACATTTTGGTCCCACTTTATATTGTGGCCTTAATTAATATGTACTTACATAAGAATTAATAGTTTGTTACAATGTACTTGTTGTGTAAATACATGTATTTACTGTGTACTTATGCTTGATTAATACATGTATGTAATTACATTTGTAAATACACTGTTGACCATCCCTTACACCTTAACCCACCCTTAAACCTACCCATGCCACCAAACCTGTCCATATCCCAACCTCTATCCCAACTTAAAAGCATCACATGTGTTCTCAACTACATTATAAACACAGTAAGTACATTGTATTTTTTTTTCTTTTTGATGTAAGTACATAGTAGTTAAGGACACTTAATATAAAGTGGGACCGACATTTTTAAACTGTTCTGTTGTGGTGTATTTTATAATATATAAAAGTATGTTTGTTTTTGTCTTCAGGATGTGAACATGAAGGTCAGGTCTATGAGAACGGTCATGAGTTTGTGTCGAGATCAAACCCTTGCCTCAGTTGCATCTGCTCTGTGAGTCTCTTATTGCTGGGATAAAAAAGGGCTACATAATCATAATCTCATAATTAGTTAATTAATCTGAAAGTTTCCAGAAGTGATAGATAAATATATAAAGAACACTATTGTATTTGTATGAAAATGAAGCCTTTTTTTACATTTTGACCCTGATGAATCTTTCACCACCACAATGGAATATATAATGTAAATTAGCAGGATACAATTTAAATAAATGAATGGTTAATTAATATGTTTAAACTCTAAAAACTTTGCATGTTTGAATATTGGATGAATCAGATTTTTTACAAAATATAGAACATATCATTTAAGAAATGTCTTGTTGAACATACAGTGAAAATTACTGACAACCAAAACAATTTTGTTACCCAAATTTATCAACTTAAATTTTTTTAATGATGACATCTGCGTAAACTATCCATAAACCCCTTTGCAAATGCTGAACATTCCTTTAACACTAACACAGTATTTGGTTTGTTTTTGATTCATTTAAAGAACCGAAAAATTGGTTATTTTTAGGTTTTATTTTTGCAACCATAAAATATTATCCCCAGATTGTTGCAAAGATGTTATTTTTTAAAGGGCCACAACCCCCCCCCCCCCCCCCCCCCCCCTGCGCAGTGTGTTTTTACACCTATAGTTTGAAAAAAGTCAGCAAAGTGGGTGTGTCTAGCTCTGTTTAGGTTGGAGTGTTGGGGGAGAGAAAGATGGAAGGTTTTGCATAAAAATGGGAGTTTCCGTTTGGGCATGTGCTGATTTTCAAAGATGCAATTGAAAAAGACAGTGACTGCATTTACGTAGACATCAGTAATGAAATTATTTGCCAAATTGTTATTTTAACTGCAGTTTGGCACTTTTACTTTTATTCAGAAACATTTCATGCATGCCCCCCGTGACAAATGAGATACAGGATGCGAGGAACTGCTGGGAGAGTGTAGTTTTAAAGGGATGTTTGATACCGCACGTTGTATGAGAGAAAAAACCTCCGCAATTCTCTGTAACTTAAGGCTAAGCGAATACGTATGCTTCAGCGCAGCCTACACATGATCGCATTGCCCTTGCCTAGGCCGTCAGCGACGCTGAAACGCACCTCTCAAAAAATGTAACTACTCGTCGCACACAGAAATGCCAACTGACCCAGGCAGGACTCAAACCAGTGACCTTCTTCCTGTAAGACAACAGTGCTAACCACTAAGCCACCATGTCGCTCTACCTTGTTATTTACCGAACAATTGTTTAAAATAAATATCACACTTCCATTTGTGCTAAAAACAGCATTGGTCTGTCTTCTAAATAGTAGATGTATCATGTGAAATAAACAAGAGAAAAACATTTATTCCCTAATATCTTACATTTTAGGTGAACATAAATGGATTTTGCAGGGTTTATCACACAGGCTTGCCATATAATCATCACTAATCAACTTACAGCTAATAAAATAAACAAGGTAAATCAAATGCTCTAATTTTAACAAGTTAAACCGGCATGCCTGTGTCTGTTTGCAGAACAGTCGGGTGTCTTGTAACACCATTCAGTGTCCGTCAACCCCGTGTCCAAACCCCTACAGGAGACCCGGAGAGTGCTGTCCTACATGCTCAGGTACACAAAAACTGCTCTGCTTCACTTCTTTGGGATTTTAATAATTCTGTAATGGTTTAAAGTGTAATTTTATTGTGTGTTTTTCAGCATGTGATGTGGACGGTCGGCCGTACAATGGCTCTTTCAGCACCGTTGATGGCTGCCAGACCTGTACCTGTCAGGTGCTCCACTGTCACTTACACTCACAATACAGTAGTGATGCACCAATTTTCATTTTTAGAGCTGATTCCTATATACAGTTGAAGTCCTGAATTATTCAACCTCCTGTATAGTTTTTTCCCAATTTATTTTTAACGGAAAGAAGTTTTTTTTCAACACATTTCTGAACATAATAGTTTAATAACTCATCTCTAATAACTGATTTATTTTATCTTTGCCATGAGGATGGTAAATAATATTGGACTAGATATTTTTCAAGATACTAGTATTCTGCTTAAAGTGACATTTAAAGGCTTAACAAGGTTAATAAGGTTAGGTTAGAGTAATTAGGCAAGTTATTGTACAATGATGGTTTGTTCTGTAGACAATAAAAAAATATTGCTTAAGGGGGCTAATAATATTGACCTTAAAATTGGCCAATTATTGACCTGTTTAGTACTTGTTTCTGATTGGCTGATAAAAATTCTAATGTGTGCAATTATATTCAAGTAATCACACAGGTAGCTAAAGTAGTTCCAGGCAGGTCTTGTATGTGAAATTATGCTACATAAAAAATGTATCTGCGCAAAATTAAAACAGCAGACAGGCTAAAAAAAATGCAAATTAATTTTCTGCCTGCAGATGGCGCTTCCTTGGTTAGCGCTTTAAATGAAGCTTCACTAGTTTTTGAAATGCATTAATCGGAGATAAACGGCACGGTGGCTTAGTGGTTAGTTCTGTCACCTCAAAGGAAGAAGGTAACTGGTTCGAGTACCAACTGAGCCAGTTGGCATTTACGTGTTGGAATTTGCATGGCTTCCCCATATTGGCGTGGGTCTCTTCCGGGTGCTCCGGTTTACCCCACACTCAATGAGAGTGTTTGGGTGTTTCCCAGTACTGGGTTGAAGCTAGAAGTGCATCTGCTGCGTAAAACATATGCCGGAACAGTTGGCGGTTAATTTTGCTGTGGCGATTTCTAAAAAAAAAGTGCCGAGGAAAAATTTAAGACTGAATAACGGAGATAATCTAAAAAGGAAACAACTTCTAAATTTTCTGAACATAGTGGGTTCGTTTAATATTAAATTAAGGTCATTAATGCTACTCTAGATATTTACTCTAGCATTAGATAGAGATTTTCACCAACGAAATAAAACTTACACAAATCTCCAAAATACGAGCTGTAATTAAAACTTTCCAAACACAAAAGTGTTATCTGTTTAATCTTTTTATTTAACATTAAAAACAACATAGTTGGAATATACCATATATAATATAACATATTATGATATAACATAGTATGAAATGAACATTTGAACTCTAAATGTTCAATTGTAAATTACAATTCTGAATGTCTTTTTTGTTGTTGTTGTTGTTGTTGTTGTTGGCCATGCCAGGGGCCCGTTTCAGAAAGGAGGTTAAATAAAAACTCAGAATATTTTAACCCTGAAATGAGAGAAACTCTTCAAAATTACAAGTTTGTTAAACTCGAGAAAGCAGGGTTAGTCAAGCCTGTTTCTGAAAGAGAGGTAACTTTAACTCAGAATCTGTTACCGTGTCAAATTACTTTGTGAACCTAACCTGGTTAGGAGCAAGTTTTATTCTCTAATTTCTGAGTTTCTGTTAGTCTCCTCCCTTTTTTTAAAGATGAAGTTGTATTTCTCACCTTACGTTTCCACCCACCTATTTTAATGCGCATTTTGGAGATGCTCATAAAAACAAGAGATGGAAACGTCATGATGCCCATAACTTTTGAATATACGCATAATAAAACATATATGCATAACTAAGGATAAACTTTTATTCGATAGAAAAGATGCGCCTAAACTGCAATGGAAAAACTTTTACTGAACAAATTCCAGTATGTGCATTAAAAAAAAGGTTTGTTATAAGAGATCATGTGATGATGAAAATGTGTGTGAATAGACAAACCAGCAGGCTGAGCACACTCTAAAACATCTTAAATGTTGTTTTGCTCATTCGTTCTAAAACTCCTTTACTGTTTCAGTATTATCGTATATTATTAATGACCTCCAGAGCGTCTGGAGTGTGTCAAGAGCGTCTGTTCTCCGCGTCTCATGGCTTCAAACGCCCCCACATGTTCATTGTGTGTCAGCATTGTCTTCTGAGGTGCAAGTACATTTATTAAATATAGAAAAGATTGACGCAGCTTCTTCTACCGCAGTAAATTCTGTTTTTACTGTTGATATTTGGCGCCAGTTAATCAGGAAGTGACGAATTTGTTCTCTTTGACTCACTGGATGGAAACGCTGCTTTATTTGCACACTTTTTTTTGCGATAATCCAGTTTTGCACATAGTATATTTGGATGGAAACATAGCTATTGCCTAAGTTTCTGTCACTCAAAGAACAAAGTCAAGCACGAGAATGGCTTGTCCTTTTGTAATAAATAATTAGCTTAAATTCACTGACCTTCAACAAGGACAAGTGTAGTGTAACTAGAATAATGGGATTATTATTCGTTCTAAACACTAGTTTAGCTCTGCTTACATTCTAAATGTCATATCAACCTTTATCACTTGATCAATGAAAAAGGCAGACACACAAGTGCACTTTTAAATCTAGTAAAACTGAACATGTATAAAAGTGGGAACGTGTAAAAATGTTAAAAACGTCACTCATTACGTTACTTATTTTATTATACTTAAATATTTAAATACTTCAAATGTAAAATTACACATTAACTTGAGCCGTTTTCACACGCTAAAGTTGATTGACCAAACTCAGATCAGCTATTCCTAAACCGAAAACTCAGAGTTTTTTATCTCTCGGTAAATCAACTCAGAGTTCAAGTTTAAACTCCGAGTTGGTTGAACCTCCTTACTGAAACAGGCCCCAGATCTTCTATTGGTACAGTTCATCTGTGTTCTATCTCTAGTCTCTATTAAAGTGATTGTTCACCCAAAAATTTTTCTCACTATTTACTCAAACTCAAGTGGTTCTAAACTTCTATTAGTTTCTTTCTTCTCTTTAACACTCAAAGAACATGATGTCATATATAAAAACATGCTAACTCTATATAAACATGATATAATGAAGGAAAAAAGTAACCGTTGACATCCATAGTAGATACAAAAAAATACCATGGAAGTCACATTTTCCAACGTTCTTCCGAATATCTTCCTTGTGTACAACAAAAGAAAGAAACTCAGGTGGAGGATGAGTAAATGATGGCAGAACTTAAAACTTAATTTACACAATTTGCGCTATACAATCAATGCAGTAGTGTATCTGCATGTTAATGTTTGCAAATGTATGGAGCCATGTTATGTGTTGTATCTGGTTCATCAGGGTGGAAATCAGGAATGTGTGGACGTGCAGCGATGTCCACAGACCTGTCAGGATGGGGTGAAGCCACCATTTGGCTCCTGCTGCAGAGATTGTTCCCGCTGTTATTTTGATGGCCAAATTGTCTTAGACGGCGTCTCTTTTCAAGACTCAAGCGACCCCTGCAAACACTGTGTGTGCAGTGTAAGGCTTTGCTGGACATACTAATTGCTTTCCCTGCTATCTTGTTTTACTTATGATATTATTTTATCGTTTATATACATTATAGTGAGCCTCACTGTCAAAGAAATGCTTTGGTTTTTTATAGTTGAAGTCAAAATGATTAGACCTTTTTTTGAAGGGATGTTTATTGAATTTTTTTAAACTTAATACTTTTAATATCTAATTTCCAACAGCTATTTTTTTAAATCTTTGACATAATGACAGTACATAATATTTCACTAGATATTTTGCAAGAAGGTGACACGGTGAGTCAGTGGTTAGCACTGTCGCCTCACAGCAAGAAGGTCCCTGGTTCAAGTCCCGGCTGAGCCAGTTGACATTTATGTGTGGAATTTGCATGGCTTTCCCATGTTGGCATGGGTCTCTTCCGGGTGCTCCGGTTTCCCCCACACTCCAAAGACATGCGGTATAGGTGAATTGATGAAACTAAATTGCCCGTAGTGTATTAGTGAGAGTATATGGGTGTTTCCCAGTACTAGGTTGCGAATGGAAGGGCATCTGCTGCGTAAAACATATGCTGGAATAGTTGGCAGTTCATTCCACTGTGGCAACCCCTGATAAATGATGGTCTAAGCCAGCGGTTCTCAAACTTTTTTCATCAAGAACCACCTCAGAAAAAAATAGTCTCTCCAAGTACCACCATAATGAGCAGTATTGAAATACAGTAGCCTAGTAGGCCTAGTACAGCAGCTACAACTCTGCACAGTTAAAAAAAAATGTGGCAGATCACCTCAGAAATATAGGCTATGTGTCATATATGGCATATTATATACATCATTTTTGATACATTTTGAAATATATGTAGCATGTACATGACATATTTCATTCCTCCGTGTACCACTAGAAGGAAGTCCGCGTACCACAGTTTGAGAACCACTGGTCTAAGCTAAAGGAAAATAATTTAATGAATGAATTTTGCAAGATATTCAGCTTAAAGTGTTATTTAAAGGCTTATTTGTGTAATTAATTGTACAATAATAGCATATAGCGAATTAGGTTAATTAGGCAAGTCATTGGACAACATCGGTTTGTTCTGTAGATAATCGAAGAAAAAAACATTTTAAAGGAGCCATAAATATTGACCTTAAAAAATGTTATTAAAAATTTTAAACAGTTTTTATTCCAGCTAATTAAAAAAAAACAATAAGGCCAGAAGAAATAAAATAATTTCATCAGTTGGGCTATCAATTTTGACTTCATCTGTATTGAGTTTATTATTTGTATTTATATATATATAAAAATATAAATATATATAAAGTAAGTAAATATTTTCAGGCCCCCAAATTAAGAAAAGTGTGATGCTTTTTAGGCATAGGTCTCAAACCGCCACACACAGCTCTGCACAGTTTTGCTCCAACCCTAATCAAACACAGTTGATCCAACTAATCAAGGTGTTCAAGACTACAATGCTGTACTATCCGTCCTAAATAGTATTTGATAATAGAATTAGTGTGTCCCAAACCATAGTACGTTGGAAAGAGTATGCCAGAGGTTCCTGTATGGTTTGGTATTTCCGGTCGAAAATTTAAGTGTAGAAGCGTCCATACTCTAACCACTGATATTGCCCACCACAATACATTGCACATTGGACACGAATTTGACCGACAGTCAAGTAGAGAGGCTTTGGTAAAGATGTTTGAATGACTGTTAGTCAATATCTAGCCCACTGGAAAATATTTAAATCACATTATCTGTGTTATATTTCATCTGCAACAACAATACTGAACTTATATAAAGACGCGTTTGGACACCTGAACGTTGAATGCATAATTATCCAGCTGCTGCTTCTTTAATAAGGTAGAAAGTTAAATACGACAGAAACGTGGATGGTGTGTGGATGATTGACAGGGGGCATAATTAAGCAACACAACGATCTGTTAAAGAGGAAGTAGTATGTCCCAGAGCTTGCATACTCTTCTGTTGCAAACTTAAAAGTGTTAACTTTTCCTTCACAAAAAAAGTACATACTTTTAGGGCGTAGTATAAGTATGCGAATTGGGATCCAGCACTAGACACTACTAGATCAGCTGTTTTGCGATCGATGTTTGAGACCTATGCTTTATGATCTTTTCTGTGTTTTCTTTTAAAGGGGACATATTATGCAAAAATCACTTTTTCAATGGTTTAAAGACAGTTGTGTGGCAGCAGTGTGTGAATATAAGCAGCTTCTAATGGTAGAAAATTTATTCATTTTATATTTTATAATCACACTTGATAAAAACAATCTGCAGAAACGCTTTGATTGACATTCTCCCTTTATATGCATCATCAGAGGGAAAAGCCCCGCCCATTAGTGACCATCTCTCCCTCATTAGCATAGGACGTTAGTCTTGTTTCTGAATCTGCCACTATGCTGACGCGTATGCATTTGTAGCTCCGCCCACTTGAAAAGATTGCAATCTCAGAATTTAAATCAAGAGTCACCAAAATGGCACAATTAGATTAAAACCCTAAACGGGTCAGATTTAAAGAGTTATAAAACATTATTTGTGTGGTATTTTGAGATGAAACTTCATATACACACTCTAGGGCCATCAGATACTTATTTTACATAATAAATAAATATGCATAATAGGTCCCCTTTAAAGCTTAAGGTTAACAAGTAAGTTATTAAAGCTTTACCTTTGAAACCAGCTGTAATTGAGCAGATATTGTGTGTGTGTGTGTGTGTGTGTGTGTGTGTGTGTGTGTGTGTGTGTGTGTGTGTGTGTGTGTGCGTGCGTGCGCGTGCGTGCGTGCGCGTGTGTGTGCGTGTGTGCGTGTATGTGCACGTGTGTGTGTGTGTGTTCTCTTGATCTCTTTTTAGGCTGGGAATATAGTGTGTAACCCTGAGTTGTGTCCTGAACTTCCCTGTACTCTGCTGGAGACTGTAGGAGGACAGTGCTGTCCCCGGTGTCGAAGTGAGTGCGGTGTTCATAAAGGCTCGTATGTTTTTGTTTCCATGATCCACAGGGTTTGTTGCATGGTTTTCCCCGTGATGCTGTCAGGGCCGATATAGCAAAGCTGTTTGTGTGCAGCAAGCATTTTTGTCAGGAGAGCAGTATGAGAATTGGAGAATGGTGGACGTTGTGTTTTATCAGGAGTTCGTTCACATTTAGACACATCGCTGTGCTGCTGTGTTTGCCTAAATCCTCCAGATTACCAACAGGGCTAATGGTTAAAATAGACAGGGCAAGAGACCTGCTGCTCTGAGTCTGCATTCAGACCCGAGGATTGAGGGAGAAGTCCTCATTTATAGTGTTTATATGAACACGATTATCTTTATAATGATATAAATTGTGGTTATCTGTATATGAAATTATTAATAACAAATATAGCAGGGCGTTAAATAACTGTTTATTTCTTTGCATTTTAACTTTGTAAATTGTAAAATCATGCGTCTCATTTTGTGAGCCGACTGCCCTTCTTCTCCCCTGCTGGCCACGCCCACTCCTGCCCTTTGCTCGCGGAGCTCCACCCCCATTATGATGCATCTTTTGAAAAACTTCTGAGGTAGACCTGAACCGAAAGTGGGGGGTGTCATGACCCTTTAAGCCTGCATGATCCCATACATTACTGTTAATTTTGCCGGCGCAGATTGTTAGTCTTGAGGTAAACAGTAAATTTGTGAAAATGAATCCACTGAGGGGCGGCACATTGGCTCAGTAGTTAGCACTGTCACCTCACAGCAAGAAGGTCGCTGGTTCGAGTTCCAGCTGGGTCAGTTGGCATTTCTGTGTGGAGTTTGCATGTTCTCCCTGTGTTGGCATGGGTTTTCTCCGGGTGCTCCGATTTTCCCCACAGTCCAAAGACATGCGCTATAGGTAAATTGGGTAGAACTCTGTGGTTAGTTGTTTTGGAAAATATAAGCAGATGTTTCAATATAATGTTAACATACACTTTCCCTGTGAACTTGCTTTGAGATGTCACATCCATAATGCTGGAATTGTCTAATTTTAGATGATCTCATTGTCTTCTGTTTGATCTAAAGGTTGTGTTCAGGAAAATGTGTGGCATCTGCATGGCTCTCAGTGGAGGCATCCAAGCGACCACTGCTCAACCTGTACCTGCACAGTGGGTCATCATCAGATACTGATCACATTACAGATTGATTAGCATTTTTAGGCCTTGTTTCATTTGGTATTAAGATGCATTTTAGCTATAAAAGATTGCAAGCAGACGGAGACAAATTTCTGTGTTCATCTGGTGTTTTAATCCATCTCTTTTTCATTTTTTGAACACTTTGCTAATTTATCAGAGGGGGTGAGTGTTTGTCTCTACTTCATGTACACACTCTGAGGACCTCAGAGACTTAATTTTCATTTTGTAAAAAGAGGCATAATAGGTCCCATTTAAATGCTGTGGTCTGTCTTTAACTTTAAACCACAGGTTTAATAAAGTTTTTTTGTTCATAAAACAATCCGATCAAATACGTTTTCCACTATTTTAGTAAAAAAATGTGTACATTTGACAAAATAAGACAAATTTAAAACATTTCAGACCCTGTTCATACTACATCATCTACTTACGAGCAGATTGACTAAATGCATCTTAATACCAGAGGTAAACAAAGCCTTAGATGTATCATTGACTGTCAGTGTTTTAATGTTAATTGTCATTTTTTTTCTCTATGAAGGAAGGTAAAATCCAGTGTGAACATGAACGCTGTAATGTCCCATGTAGAAACCCTGCTTCTCCACCTCCGGGATCCTGCTGTCCTGTTTGTGAAGGTGTGTACATACTTACTAATACATAATTATTGAATAACATGTACTGAACTGGAATCTTCCTATTGTGTTTTTAATTTAATTTAATTTAATTTAATTTAATTTAATTTAATTTAATTTAATTTAATTAATTTAATTTAATTTAATTTATTAATTTATTTATTTTTATTTTTTTACAAACCCTTTATCTCCACCTCCGGGATCATGCTGTCCCATTTGTGATGGTGTGTAGTGTACAACCTTATAAATGCAGAATTTATGAATAACATGAACTTAAAGCTTCCTGTTATGATTTATAAATCCTTGAGCTTGAACAAATGAGGGAGGGGGCTTGATTTTGTTCTTGTGGAATTGATTGGATGATTGGGTTTTATTATCGGTGGATCTTATGTGAGTGACAAGTTGATCCTGCCCCCATGCTGGTAAACATCAATCATAGAAGAGAAGAGATGTCACTGAAGAATGGAGGGGGAGGGGGATAAATTATTTGGATTAAAGATTATCATTAATTTTCTTTTTGGCTTAGTCCCTTTATTAATCTGGGGTCGCCACAGCGGAATGAACCACCATGAACCGATTATGGAGACATGAATTAAAATTTTTTTAAAAAGCATCCAGTTCAGGATTTGAAAGTAACATGATCTGTTTACATATGTATATGCACTGAAAAAATTTACATTTTTAAAGGTAAGGGGTATTTAAAGGTAAGCTTTGGTTTAAAGGTAAGGGTAAAATTGTTTTAAAGGTAATCTATGGCTATGTCAAAGTAGTATATAGATAGAAATGTGTGATAAATGTCTACTTATATTTGTAAGAGTTTGAATTATATTTTTCTTACAGGATGTAATCTCAATGGATTAGATGTCCCAAATGGGATGCCTCTGCCATCTGGACCAGTGTGTGAGGGCTCCTGTAGATGTGAGGTAAGAATGCTTAAGAATTTGTTTTTCTTTTCTTTTATTTTCTTTTTTATTTTATTTATTTTTATATTATTTGTAAGATTTTAATTTACTTACTTAACTTATTTTTATTTTATTTAGCTTCATTTTATTTATATATTTTATTTGATTTTTACATTTTTTATTTTACTTAAATTTATTTTAGTTTTAAGATTATTTATCTTTGTTTTTATTTTACTATACTCTTTTATTTTATTTCATTTTAAATATAATTTTTTTATTTTTTTTGTTTTTATTTGACTATATTTTAGTTTTTAATATTATTTTATTTTACTTACATTTATTTATTTTTAAGAATTTTTCATTTGTTTTTATTTAATTTTACTTTATTTATTTTGAAGATTTTATATTTTACTTTTTTATTTCATTTTTATTTTTAAGATTATTTGTATTTGTTTTTTATTTTACTTTACCTAACTAAATCGAATTTTATTTAGCTTTATTTTATTTTATTTATGTATTTATTTTTAATTTTAATACATTTTTTATTTTATTTATAATATTTTCACTTTACTTAAATTTATTTTAATTTTTAAGATTTTTTTATTTTACTTTATTTTTCTTTTATGATCATTATTATTTTATTTTACACATATATTTTTATTTTTTTGTAAATCACTTTGAATAAATATGCCAAATTAATATAAATGTTGTGATTTAAATTGGTTCAGAGGAAATTAGTTTCAAAATTAAAATAAAATAAAATAACTATAAATAAATAAAAATAAATAAATATATATATTTTTTTGAAGATGATTGTAATACACTATTTCTTTTTCAGAATGGTAATGTTATCTGTGATCGATTGCCCTGCCCGCCGACTCCCTGTTATAATCCAGTCACGCCACCAGGAGAATGTTGTCCACGGTATTAACATTCCAGCATGCTTTTAGCCAAAAGAGCAAATGAGGTAGACATTTCACACAAGCCACTCTGCATTTGGCCTTTATTGTGTGTGTATTGTGTTTAGATGTACGGAATGTGTTTATGAGGGTGAAGTCTACGAGGATGGTCAAACCTTCATATCCAGACAGGATCCATGCTTGAGGTGTCAATGCTTGGTGGGTCACTTTAAATAAAAGTTTTGACTAAATATATACAATTGAAGTCAGAATTATTAACTCTCCTGAGATTTTTTTCTTCTTCAAATATTTCTCAAACCCAAATCATGTTTAACAGAGCAAGGAATTTTTCACAGTATTTCCTATAATATTTTTTCTTCTGGAGAAAGTCTGATTTGTTTTATTTCGGCTAGAATAAAAGCAGTTTCTATTTTTTTAAACAATTTTAAGCTCAATATTATTAGTCTACAGGACAAATCATCATTAAACAATGACTCGCTTACCATTACTTGCCTATTTAACCTAGTTAAGCCTTTAAATGTCACTTTAAGCTGAATTCTAGTATCTTAAAAATATCTAGACCAACTGTACTTCAACTGTACTAATATGAATGTTTTAATGTGCATTTTGCGATGCAGGGTGGACAAGTGTCATGTGATCCCCCAGGATCCTCATGTCCGCCTCCGACTTGCACTCATCCAACAAAACCACCAACTCAGTGCTGCGCGACTTGTAACAGTAAGTACATTAATATCTCTCTTTTCTCCTTTTAAAGTGCTCATGAAGTGAGAATGAGTTTGATCGTTGGAAATGTAAGAGGTCAATAGTGTACTTTAAAACATCCTGTGCTTTTTTTCAGAACTCAAATCTTTATAAAAAGCTTTGCTGTAGAAAATATCTGTCAACTAACAGTTTCCGTATTTTGTGATTCACAAGTTCAGTTATTTACGGTTGTGAATTGCATTATGGGATGTTGATCTCTGCTCTGTCGACTTTTGATGTTGAAAATTCAACTCTACAGTTTGACAGTTTGAGAGATTTCTATTGACATTTTAGTAAAATAATACAATGAGTATGAAATAATATAGAGAGAAATAAGTCTGTAAAATAAGAGAAAATGTACCGGCAGTTAATTACAAGGTTTTTGTTGCACAATATACAACACCAGGCATCACGCGCAGCGCAGTGGGTAGCACGATCGCCTCACAGCAAGAAGGCCACCGGTTCAGTAATCAAGCTGGTTCAGTTGGCGTTTCTGTGTGGAGTTTGCATGTTCTCCGCGTGATCACATGGGTTTCATCCGGGTGCTCCGGTTTCCCACACAGTCCAAAGACATGAGCTATAGGTGAATTGAATAAGCCAAATTGTACATAAATAAATTGTACATATATAAATACTCTATGAGTGTGCGTATGAAAGAGTGTGTATAGATGTTTCCCAGTGTACGGCTGCAGCTGGAAGGGCATCCGCTAAGCTGAAAAGAAAACAAATGAATAACTGAATATACAACATTAACCCACACTCATTCACACACATACACTATGGCCAATTTAGTTTATTTAATTCACCTATAGCGCATCTCTTTGGACTGTGAGGGAAACCGGAACACCTAGGGGAACATGCAAACTCCACAAAGAAATGCCAATTGACCCAGCCTAGACTCAAACCAGCAACCTTCTTGCTGTGAGGCAAAAGTGCTAACCATCTAGCCACCATGCTGCCACAATGGAAACATATTTACTGAATAAATTAAAGGATGCGCATCAAAAAGTCACATGGTTTAGTTTTTAATAAACTCCAGATCTTGTCATTCGAGACTTTGCAGATTTGTTAAAAAAAACAAGGCACATTTCGAGACTGGAATTTCAAAAGGACGATAATGTCTAAACACACTCTATTGTGGTTTATGATAAAGACATTAAGCAGGTTGATTCATATAAATATTTAGGAGTGAATATTGATCGTGAACTTAATTGGCACTCTCAGGTGTCAAGTCTTTGTGCACGAATTCATCAGCGATTACACTTTTTACGCAGACTAAGATTATTTGGAGTGAGTAGCAGCATAATGATGACTTTTTATAAAGCAACAATAGAGTCTATTTTAAGATATGGGATTATTGTTTGGTTTGGGAATCTGACAGTAAAAATGAAAACCCAAGTAAATAACCTGATGAGAGTGGCAGGAAAAATCATGGGGAATTAAGACACTTGGTTCACTAAAAGACATCTTTGAGTTGTGCACAATCCAACAAGCCAACAAGATTTTATCTGATTCTTCACATGTGCTGTCTGTGGAATATGAGTGGAATATGAATTCTGGCAGAAGATATAGGGTCCCGTTGTGCAAGCATAATAGATATAAACATTCTTTTGTTCCTTTTTCAATTAAGTTGATCAACGGGCAAGTAAGGAAGGATGGTCAAAGACTAAGATAACAGGATTGGTTTGCACAACAGAGGGCAGTGGGGCATATGGTACTTTATTTTTATAAAAAAAAAATTTAAATTACTGATTTTATGGAATCGTGTTTATATTAGGAGGTATTTTAGGATTAGATTTTAATGTGTATGTATGTTACATGTTGTCTTGTTGGTGTCTGTGTACAGCAGAACCTTTTTTCTAAAACAAATTTTTCTTACGGGATACAATAAATTTTACCTTGACCTTGACCTTGACATGTAAGCCACTGTTTTTATTGCATGTTCACTGTTGCTTTTGTCTGTTTGATTCAGATTGTTTGATATGCATTCGTTATTTATGCATTTTTAACCTGCAGTGCTCATCTGCACAAATTTCCAACTTTTCTAAATGTGCAAATTGGCCTTCTATGCAAAAAAATACCAGGGTGTCTGCAATCTGCCATATATTCAAACAGTGTTCAAAGATTCAAAACCAGACAGAAAGTAACATATAAGTTCTAAATTGGGATGTTTTGATGTGATAAGTGGACCTCAGAGTACTGGACAAATTAAGCAAAAAGCCAGTTCATTACCTCTTTGATATGCATATAATAACAAAAAAAGGTCAAATGTATTTTCTGTTTTGCAGCATGTGAGTATGAAGGAAGGATTTATGGAGATGGAGAAGAGTTCAGGCCTCCTGGTGGTGGTCCGTGTGTCCTGTGTACATGCAAGGTGAACTATTCATATACAGCTGGAGACAAAAGCAGTAGCCAAATATTTCCCTCAAGTGTTTATTTTTATTATTATTTTTTTTTACATATTTTTTAACATAATTGTTTTAATAATGACCTAAGCAGTTTTTTTATTCCAGCCAAACTAAAAGATTTAAGACTTTCTCCAGAAGAAAAATGTAATTGGAAATACTGAGAAAAACGTCCTTGTGTTGTTATGTATCACTTTTTTTAAATTATAAAATGTATTAATTTGGTCTAAAATTGTCTAAAATTGTCATTTTTTTGTCAATCCAATCACAACTTTGTGGTGCCAGATACAGATGTAAGCCAGTTCTGACTTGTTTGGATCTTGTCCAGCTTTGGCCACTTCCAGAAGTACAGTAGTTACTAATGCATTTGATCTGACTGCATTATTTTTTTTCTTATGCATTTAAACAGTCAATAAATACAGGCTTTCTCTACCTACCGGCCTAATTCCTAAATATTACAAGTATATTTGATAGCTTTATTTCAATTTGTACATATTTATATTTGCATATGTGCATATTTAAAGATTTAAAGTCTCCTTATGCTTGGTTTGATGTCACTGTAGCCGTTGGTTCTTGTGTAACATTAGTGTTTTGTTTAAGGGGGGGAATGTAAGGTGTCACCAGGAAAGATGCCCACCTACTAATTGTCCAGTTCCTACTCCTGCGCCTCCTAACCAATGCTGCCCAGCGTGCAGAGGTGAGACACACAGCATATCGAATAAAAATATTATACTATAAAATATTTTAGATTTGAACTATTATTAAAGGTGCAGTATGTAAGTTTGACACCCAGTGGTGGAACTAGGTGTTGCATTTCTGGATCAAAACAAATACAAGCACAGGTTGCCAGATTGACAGTAAACTACGAGTCTGGCTATCGAGCTTAAAGGCTGATTTAAATCATAAGCAACGGCACACGATAAAAGGAATATTTTTCATATTATTTTTGTTCGAACCTACACTTGTTCGCTTGTTAAGTAGTGATGTGTTGGTGACGTATGTACTGTAATACTGTTTCAGGGTCCAAGTTGGCATTCATTTGAGTTGAGAAATTATTATTTTATGATCACTTAATATTCATATCACACATTAAAGTTAATTTTATATAAAATCATAGTGTACACAACCATCTCTGGGCTTGCTGCATAACAAATACCAAAATTTTACCAATTTCTAAAAAAATTCATCACTTTCTGGTTATCGGATATTAGGCATGGACATACTGTATATATTGCGGGGCGAAGCAGTGGCGCTGTAGGAAGGGCTGTCGCCTCACAGCAAGAAGGTCGCTGGGTCGCTGGTTCGAACCTCGGCTCAGTTCTAGGCATGTTCTCCCTGCCTTCGCGTGAGTTTCCTCCGGGTGCTCCGGTTTCCCCCACAGTCCAAAGACATGCAGTACAAGTGCATTGGGTAGGCTAAATTGTGTGTGTGTGAATGTGTGTGTGGATGTTTCCCAGAGATGGGTTGCGGCTGGAAGGGCATCCGCTGCGTAAAAACTTGTTGGATAAGTTGGCGGTTCATTCTGCTGTGGCGACCCCGGATTAATAAAGGGACTAAGCCGACAAGAAAATGAATGAATGAATATATATTGCGATCATGATTTTTGAAAGTATTAAATCGCTTTGTAAACGTTTATTATTACCATTTCATGAGTCTCCCCATTCAGTTGAATAGAGCTTGGACCCGAAAGCTGCTTCGCGTGACATCACACTTAACAAGCGGATAGATGTCACTATGTCTATAGGTGTCACCTATAGATGTCTATGTCTATAGATTGTCTATATATTGTCTATGTCTATAGATATGTCTATAGATGTCACCTATAGATTTCTCTACTTATATTAGAAACGGCTTCTATTTCTTGCAGCTAAACTATGAAAACTATGACAATGATCACCTCAGGTACACCTCATGTGCTTTATTCAGTGTTAAATGCTAACAATAACATGACATTTATTGCCATATACTGAAAGCAGCAGCAAATAGTTCTGCTCAGATCTGGAAAATAAAATAAACCTTTTAAAATTGAACTTTAGAACTGTGACTCAGTGCAAACCAACCCATATCAGTGATTCAGCATGTACATTTAATAATGTCAAAGAGGGTTAATATGTATTAAATAGGTTATAAATCTTACCACTTTGTGAGTGAGTGCACTAGTCTGTGCTTCTGCATAGCTGTATTTAATTTTCTGTCATGCAGCCAAATTGCTTATCACACCAAATCTTGTGTTGTTAGGACACGGGGTTTCAATGTAACCTGCTCACCTAATGTTTACGTTTGTAATATTTATATTATTTGATAAGTAATAACCTCATGTGGGTGATGCAGTGGCGCAGTAGGTAGTGCTGTTGCCCCACAGCAAGAAGGTCGCTGGTTGGAGATTCTGTGTGGAGTTTTGCTCCGGTTTCCCCCACAGTCCAAAAACATGCAGTACAGGTGAATTGGGTTGGCTAAATTGTCCATAGTGTATGAGTGTGTATGGATGTTTCCCAGAGTTGGGTTGCAGCTGGAAGGGCATCTGCTATGTAAAACGTGTGCTGGATAAGTTGGCGGTTCATTCCGCTGTGGCGACCCCGGGTTAATAAAGAGACTAAGCAAAAAGAAAATGAATGAATGAATGAATGAATGAATGAATGAATGAATGAATGAATGAATGATAACCTCATGTGGAACTCTGAATCTGTGTCTCATTTTGGAGGCTGCTACTGTCCACCAGAGGTTGTATTTCAGTCACAGGCACATACTTTGATAGCCTCTCTGAATAAATGAATGAATGAATGAATGAATGAATGAATGAATGAATGAAATAAACCATTTTCTACCAAGGCAACCTGCGGTGATGAAATATAATTAGCTAAACTGGCAGTGAAAAGCGGGTTAAAAGAATAGATAAGATAGACAATCCAGCATGTAACTCACCTTTTCAAAGCAGAATAGCTGACTCTATCATTGTTTTTCATATAAACAAGAATGTTCACTTAGCATGTTTCTTAAATATCTGCAAACATATTGTAGTATTTTATGCTTTAGAAGAGTCAAAAACTTATATACAGCACCTTCAACTAAACTGATGACAAGTGACAGTGAAGTCATTTATAATGTAACAAAAATTATATTTACATTCTACATACTTATTCTCATTTTACATACAGTCTGTCAGACACTTTCAAAATGAACTGAAAGTAAATAAAAATTTTACGGCTTACAAATCAGAACAGTAGAAGTAATATTGAAAATATTAAATTAATTTCATAATTTCTAGTCAGTCTAATGTAATGTGGCATACAACAAAATTTTAAATAGAAAAATTGAAATAGAAAATTGTGTTAATTTGTATAGTCAGAAAAGTGTAAACTAGAAAATTATATAAATTTAAAGGATTGTTAGTAAAAAAAACAACAATATTGAATAGATAAAGACTGTTGGTATTTAAATGTTATATAAAAATAGAAAAGAAAATAGGTTTTAGTTTCTTCAGAAAATAGTAACACAGCTGTTTTAACATAAGCAATAAATACAACAATTATTTTCTTGAGCAGCAAATCAGCAGAATGATTTCAGAAGACCACAGTAATGATACTGAAAATTAATGTTTTAATCAAAGTAATAAATTAAATGATAAAACATATTAGAATAGAAAATATATTATTTAAAAAAAAAATATATATATATATATATATATTCTATTACATTTTACATACCTCTACATTGAATTTTCACTGAATTTTTGATCAGATGAATGCTTAAATGTGTGTGTGTTGATTCTGTTTCTGTGTTTGTAGGTTGTGTGTGGAATAACAATCAGTATGAGGAAGGATCCACATGGGCTGACGGTGAACAGATGTGTTCTTGTGTGGCAGGACAGGTGACGTGCCGTCTGAACTGTCCGACTCCTGAGTCCTGTCTGGAGCCCATAGTGACAGGTAAAGATAGACAGAAAAAAAAGATGAAGACAAGAATAGAGAAAATGTTTAAACCATCTTGTCCATGTGGCTGCATGGTTTTCAGACAGCATTCATGAAGGCTAGATATTAATTGGTATGATAAATATAGATTTAGTAATATATTCCTTTGTTGTCCAAGGGTATGTTTTTTAAAATATGGTTTAAATTTAGCATCACCCACAATGGCGCTTTTAAATTTATTTTTTTTAATAACACCTGTCACATTGCATCCCATAACGACATGTTTAATTGATCAATTGTAATTGATAATTATATGACAGGTGGTGACTGTGGCCAGTGCCAATACGGAGAGTATGTGTATGAAAACGGCCAATCATTCCAGGACCCGCAGGATCCCTGTGTGACGTGCACCTGTCAGGTAAAAAAAAAAGTATAGAAATAATAATTAGCACTTCAGGAATGTTTATTACCGGGCTTCAAATATGCGTCTGAGCTTCATCAACATCATTTCATGCCTTAAATACCCCTGTTTGGGTGAAAGCAAAAATATTCTGTATTGTTGTGTCTCTCTTTAAATGCAAATGAGCTGGGGTTGGGTTTAGGGATAGGGTTAGGTTAAGAAGACAGTAGGTGCGTCTCAAATCAAATACTTATGCACCATTCTACGCCATTTTGTAGTATAAATAGTATAAGTAGTGCATTCACACTGAAGTATTCTTTTTATTCTGAAATGAAGTGTGGAATGATGGACACTTCACGCACTTAATGGCCACTGCTTTGCTCACGTATCGGAAAGAGTGCAGCTATCAGGCACTGATGTTGGATTATTTTTGTTTATTTTGAATTGTGAAAGCAAAAATCTCATACAAGAGTGATTATAGCGCCTCCCGATGGTGAATGCAGTTGTACTCATGGCATGGTATTATTTGATAGCTTGGTCATTTATTTCACGAATTTGGCAACCATCAAACGTCAACTAGGCAGCGCCTTGACTTTCCGCTTTGTAAAAAAACGTTAGTGTTCCGTTTGGGACGACACTACATTCATATACTATACTGTTGAGTTTGTAAGTGCATATGTGTATAGTGTGCCATTTGGGATGCAGCTTTAATAACAGTTTGATAAAATATATTACAACGGTGGAGAATTATCGTAAACCACCAAAACAAGTATGTTTGTGTATGAGAGTGTGTGTTGATATACGTGCTTTATGGAAACAATTTTCAGGTTTACACACCAGCATTATGAGACCACATTTTGAGCGTGTCATCATGATTGACAGTTTCTCAAAGCTGATCTACAGAGCTTTGCAGGAGATTGAAGTGTCCATTTCTGTGTTATTTTATACAGCCATTGCTTGACGTGCATTCCATTGTACTGTCATTTGCAACCACAGGGGGCGACCTCGAGTAGGCTAACTGTTATGACAAAACAGACGAAGAAATCAGTGAGCGGAGTCGCATGAATTAATATAATAGTACATATCAAATTAATAGGTTGTGGATAAATTTTTAAAAATCGCATGAAAACATTTGTTAAAAATGTTCTCTTGCCAACAACATGTTTTTGTGACATCTTATATGGTACAATGGGGTCTACGACAAGTTACGCCCCTTCATGTTACGTCCCTTTCTTGCAGTCTGCAGACAGATACACTTGAAAATGTACACAATTTCGTGTGTGTGTGTGTGTGTGTGTGTGTGTGTAGGACGGTCAGACAAGGTGTGTTCTCCCAGCATGTCCTGCAGTGACGTGTGTTAATCCATACACTTCTCCTGGAGAGTGTTGTCCTCGCTGTCCTCCAGGTAAACGTTCACTAACTGACCTCTCATTACTTTATCTCAGCTCTGCATGCTATTGCTAACAGTTATTGTCTCCTCTGCTCAATTTCTTCAGTTCAGGACTGTGAGTATGATAACCGCATCATTACTAATGGAGACACGTTCCCAAATCCTGGCAATCAGTGTTTGGATTGTGTTTGCACTGATGGACACGTGGATTGTGGGAATCATGAGTGTCCGAAGCCAAACTGCAACTATCCCAGACCCGGGACCTGCTGCCAGAACAACTGCAACGGTACTTGAATTACTTTTTGTTAAATTTGTGTTAATGTTTTCCTATTAGAAGGGCATATTTTGGCTTTTTACTTAAACGTGAGTTTTGATAGGTGCTATAAAATGCAGTTGAATTAACATAACTAATATTTATGACTGTAAATTTATTAATAATAATCTTAGAATATCATATAAATGTGTCATGGGCATGTTTGGTTTATTGAGAGTATTTAGGGTCACCTGATTATTGCTGCATGCTTGTGTTTTTTTGTCCAAAGTTCATTTTGAATTCATTTAGTAACTTATAAATGTCGTCTTCCCTCCATCAGGATGTAATTATGCAGGCAATGAGTATCCAAATGGAATGGAGTTTCCCCATCCAGTAGACAATTGCAGGATGTGTCGTTGCACTGTAAGTGCCTTTTTCCTCATACAGTTTAGTTTAATTTAATTTTAAAAAGTTATTTATTTAATTAATTATTTAATTTATCAATTTATTTAATTTAATTTATTCTAATTTAGTTTAATTTAATTACATTTTAATTTAAGTAATTTTAATTAATTTAATTTAATCAAATTTTATTTTATTTTAGTTATCTATTCATTTATTTCACTTTAATTGTAATTAAATTAATTTAGTTATATTTAATTTAATTTACTCTAATTTAATCTAATTGTATTCTATTTCAATTTATTTAATATATTTAATTTCATTTTATTTAATCTAATTTATACAATTTAATATATTTTAATTTATTCTAGTTTAATAAAAAATTGTCTAATTTTATTTTATTTTAGTTATCTATTCATTTATTTTGATTTCATTTTAGTTTAACTACGTTTAATTTAATCTAATTTTATTTAATTTTAATTTTATTTTATTTTATTTATCGATTTATTAATTTTAAGATAATTCAATTTAGTCTTATTTATTCTCATTTATTTTATTTAATTTTTATTAATTAAATTTATTTTATTTATATTTTATTTGTTTAATTTTATTTTATTTACCTATTACTTTAATTTAATCTAATTTAATTTATTTTATTTTAATTAATGCAGTTAATTTTATTTTTATTTTATTTATTTAATTGTATTTATTTTATTTTTAATTTATTTTTATTTTATTGTATTTATTTATCTATTTATTTATTTTAATTTAATTATCTTATATTAGTGTGTTATTATTAAAAGCTCAATATTTTTGGTTCAAATCTGACATGTTTTATTTGATGTATTTACGATAAAAGCGAAACTTCAACAGATCTGCATAAGTTTTACAATAAAAAAAACTTTTGCAATATCATTTATATCTATAGTATTATTTCCAAATGTGCAGTACTTTCTTTCCTAATGTCTTAAACTAAATGACGTGGTCAAACTGATTCTTAGTTAAAGAAATGAAAAAATAAAGAAAATCAGCAAGGATATACTTTACTTTTTATTTATTTTACTAAAAATCACTGTGATCCCAGCATTTGAACACTAGTTTTTATCAACCCACACCAGCCTCATACTATGCATTTTTTTTTTTTGTGTTTTATAGAATGGAAATGTCCAGTGTCTGATGAAGAGATGTCCAGCAGTTCATTGTGATAATTCATTCGTTCAGGCAGGAGAGTGTTGTCGGCAGTGTCCAGGTCATACAATCACTTATGCATCACATTATGTATTTCCGAGTATTTGTGTTGGTGTACTGTACTGTATGTGCTGAAGACGTAAATGTGTTCATCTCTTTCCTTACAGCGCCCCCCGCTGACTGCATTGTTGAAGAACAGTCATACAGACACATGCAGCGCTTCAGTCATCCCACTGACAGCTGTCAATCATGCACTTGCACCAATGGCACGCCGAGCTGCCGACGCAGGCCCTGCCCCTCTGCCACCTGCTCCCACCCTATAATCCAAGAGTGCTGTCGAACATGTGACGGTGAGAAAAACAGCATCGAGTGCATCTTTAATCAAAAATATACAGTTTCTTTTTATTTATTCAATTGTTTAGTCAAAGTCAGTTAGTCAAAGTTATTGTCCATTCTACCACATGTACAGACATACAGAAAATTTAAATTATGTTACTCTCAGACCCTACACTACAGCAGAAATGTAAATGTACAATAAATACAAGTAATTAGAGTAAAATTAAGAGAGAAATAAATAAATAATTACATTTATATATTTCAGATATGGAAAAAAAGGAAGAGAACGTTTGAAAATTGTCAGCTTTTCTGGATTTACTGCATTTATTTGCTATGGGTTTGAATGAAATGTTGTTTTTTAATTAAATTCTTCTTCTTCTTCTTCTTCTTCTTCTTCTTATTATTATTATTATTATTATTGTACTTTATTTTTATACATTAAAACATTTTACAGAGCAAGACATTCAGTGAAAGCAGCGATTATTTAAAAAAAATTATAGAAAAAAAGTAACCCTAGATGTAAATAAAAACAAATTTCAAAGGAGCTAGAAATACTATGTCCTGTTTAGGTGCAAAGTAACAGATGCCCATCTTTGTTTAAAAATATCCAGTTTCAATTGAAGTTGAGCAGTCATATACTCCATTCTATATATAGATTTGAGTTTTTCTATCCACTGTACTTGTAAGAAATATTTTGATGTCCTTGACAATTCAAACATGGGCCGAAGGCAGAGACAATTGACTCCATAACCCAGCAGGTGGGAATGCGGGAAAAGCCAGCTCCCCTTACATTTACATCTGAATCTCCTAAAACTCGACTTCAACCACCCAAACTCACACATATGGTAATTTCAAAGTCTGAATGTTCTAAATTTACCCAAGTGACTTTATCTATCATGTTTGATGTCATTCGAAATGTGTCAGTGCGACTGGTACAATGGTCTCATTTCCTCAGAAATAGACATAATCACAACAATAAATATATAACTTCAGGCATCTTTTGAACCATTGTGAAGGGTGTGCCTTTCCTATAGGCAGCACCAAATGCAAATGCCTTTTGTTATGCACACACCCCTTTCCTTGAGGGGATTCTTGGATTACTTAAGGTAAGGTTTGAGAAATGTTCGGCGCAATTCTGCTTACCCAGATCAGCCCGTATCATGGAGCATACGCTCCATGTTATGTATATTTTGAAGTCAGATATGCATCTTTTAATTTTGGATTCATCTTTGATAATTTGATGTTTTGTATTGATCGTTTATGAATTGACTGAATGAATTGACATAATACACATTTACCTGACTGATAAATTGTTATGTTTTGAATTATTTAAACAGTCCTCGTGTTATTATCACTGGTAAATGTTGTTGTCCATAGCACTACAAGCCACTGTACAGGTTAGTAACGGACTAAAACATGTTAGACGGAGCAGCGTGGCACGCTATACGATGTTGTTAGAGATCCGACTAACACATTGGCATTAATTCTATTATACTTAGACTGTAAAAGGCCAACAATGGGTTTTCTATTTAGAACAAAAAAAATATTGTTGAAACTAAACTAAATGTGGGTATTTAGGCCTTCATCTACAAACTTATAATCCTGTGCGATTATTATTAAAATACTTTGTCTTGATTTAGTAGATAACAGATCTATGGGGACCACATAAAAATCTCCTTAATTGAGTAAGTAGGGTTCTGCCTCTTTAGGAGAGTGGTTAATCGCCTCTGTTTAATGACCAAGACTGACACGCTTGTATTAAGAGATTGTATACCCGGCCGGTGCAAGACTCGAGATGCTATATGAATCTGAATAAATGAGAATAAGGTATAATAACAAATCGAAAGAATATTCAATCATAATCTAAAATAATCTAAAATAATGTAAAAGGAAACAAAATAACTTTATCAATGTTTTATAATTGGAGTCAGATAAAACGAGGATAAATATATTAATATTCTAAACCACCTCATACTAAAATTGGAGTCAGATATGAGTTAAGTTTAATATAAATCAACATTGTGCACTGAAAAGACCGAACATGCAGTGGAGCTTCATTCACCAGTGGACACCGTCATTGGGCCAACTAGCTGCAGTCTAGGCGCCGGAGGCTGGAGAAGCTTCAGAGACTCGTCTGTGCCTGGAGCATCACAGAATAACAGAACGCTTTCTCTTTAGGAACACTTCATTTGTGTTGTACTGTAATTTTTTACTTTAGTGTGCCTTTGTTTATTGTTTTATCTTTTAAAATGGCATCTCGTTATTAGCGAACTTCTAAATAGAGTTCAAGTGCACTTCTAGCTCAAATATTATGAGAAAAATAGCAACTTATATTTGGAAAAATATTGTAATTATTACATGTTTCTTTCTGTGTGTGTCTTCTCAGGCTGTCTGTATCATGGAAGGGAACATGCCAATGGTGCTACATTCGCAGACCCATCAGACTCATGTAGGACGTGTGTTTGTCGTGATGGGACAGTCACATGTCACAGTAATCAGTGTCAGCGCATCGCCTGTCCTTTCCCGGTGCAGGACCAGTGCTGTCCACACTGTAATGGTACTGCATCTGCATTTGCTGATATTTATACATTGTAATTTGAAAGGTGGGGTGGTGCAGTGGGTAGCGCTGTCACCTCATAGCAGGAAACTCGCTGGTTTGACCCTCGGCTTGGTCAGTTGGCATTTCTGTGTGGAGTTTGCATGTTCTCCACAAGTTCGCCTGGGTTTCCTCCAGGCTCCAGTTTCCCCCACAAGTCCAAAGACATGTGCTATAGGTGAATTGGGTAAGCTAAATTGTCCGGAGTGTAAGTGTGTGAATGAGAGTGTATGGGTGTTTTCCAGTGTTGGGTTGCAGCTGGAAGGGCATCCGCTGCTTAAAACATATGTTGGATAAGTTGGCGGTTCATTTCGCTGTGACGACCGCCGATGAATAAAGGGACTAACCTGAAAAGAAAATGAATGAATGAATTTGAATAATACACAAGGAATCTTTATCTTTCTTTTTTTTGGATATAAAGTAAAGCCAGTGCACTGTTCAGGTCTATAGCATGCTTGGATGTTGTGTTTTACATGAAGTGGCAGTTGGTCAAATAATTGTAACATAGCCTGTAATAAATAATAAATAGCCTACTGATAAAGTAAGTTCAGGTGATCATAAGATCACAATCAGGTGATGTGCTCCACCGGCACGATAATCTTAATATTACTTTGCTGTTTTTCATATGAGCACGTTTAAGATTTGAGGTAATAACATTGCCATGATGGTTTAAAGAAATTAAAACATTATTTTCACCCCAAAGCAATTTAATAGGGCACTAAAGGCCAAATAACTTGATTCTTATATTTGCTTTTTGCAGCCTATGGCTACACTTCTCACCATGTATCTTTTCTAAAACATACAGTATAGTGTAAGAGCATGTTTATTACTAAGAAAACTAAATCAAAATTAAATTTTAATTGAACACATCACATCACATAAGGGGCCCTATCATATACCCGGCACAATGTGGCGCAAGGCGCGGCGCAATACTCTTTTGCTACTTTTAGCTCGGGTCATTTTGAGGTGTTGTGCCATGCTGTTTAAATAGCAAATGCATTTGCGCTCAAATGTGCGCCCATAGGCGTTCTGGTCTAAAAAAGCAGGTGTGTTTTGGCGCGTGGCTATTTTAAGAAACTGTAAATAGTCTGATTTTTAGACCAGAACAAAGTCAGTCTATTGTCTGGCGCAAAGTGTGCCTGGCTTACACACTACAAACAAGATGCAGAGCAATACGCAAATATCTTTACATATGAAAAATATATAATATCTTAAGGATATATATATATATATATATATATATATATATATATATATATATATATATATATATATATATATATATATATATATATATATATATATATAATAAGGATATATACAGGATATAAATATAAATGATTAAAATATTACAAAACATTAATTTATAGCCTACATTAAGATTTAAAAACCACTGCCTTACTTTCTTCATCTCGGGAGGCTTTTTCAGTTCATTCAATTTGTTATTCTCTTGTATATTTGTCATTCTTTTGTATAATGTTATTATTATTAGCAGTATTATTTATTATATCCATATTTATATTTGTTTTATTAAACACAAGCTTAGATTTGTCCACCTGTCAAATTGTAGACCATATGGGGCATGGCAGGTGTATTTGGAAATAACTCAGTATTTTGACCACACTTGGTTATTATTGTTCATTTATTCGTTTGCTGGAAATTAGAACTGAATTTAGAAATCGTTTTTAAACAAATCTTTGCGCTTAACAAACTAAATTAATTATTTATAGGGTAATTGATGTCTGTGCGTAAAGGTTTCCCTATCCACGAGAGCAAAAGCGAAAGTGAACTTACTTTACGTCAAAATGCGCTCTTGGCGCGACGCAGCTGGCTCTTAAAGGGAATGGGAGATGAGGCTCTAATTGGTTTATTATTAAAACACACCTATAACTCATTAAGAAAATAAACTCAACCCTTTTAGCTCATGCGCCATGGCGCAAAGCGGATTTTCCCGTCCTTAAATTAGCAAAAATGCGTTCTGACACACCCTAAAAGCGTTTGCGCCCTGCGTTTTGCGCTCTGCGCATGGACCGTCAAAATAGAGCCCAAGGTATGCATACAGAACCGTCTGTTTAGTATTGTGAAAAGGCAAAGCTGAATATCTGTGGTTGAAGTGCCACCCAGCGGTCAAAAGCTGCTGGTGCACCAATTATCGCCGTCGCTTCGGTATGAATGGCGGCAAAAGGAACACATTGAAGTAGTAACATCTGTAAGTGATTTGTTTTTCAGATTTTTGCTGAATCATGTGCCGACCACTAACACTATGTCTGTTGGAGATATTGTTGCCCTAAAAAACTAAATAAAGTAGTCCTAAGAAACATGTTCATTTTTTTACATATACAGTAGAAACAGTTTAACAGAAAATTTTTGCAGTTTTAAAGCCTTGACTTTTCCAAACTTTGATAAACCTTGAAATAGTTTTTCGTCCCGTGCCTGTAATGAACATTCGTTATATTATTCATTCATTATTGTTATTATATTGAGTTCTGTGTTTTCAGGTTGCATGTATGCTGGTGTGGAGTATCTGAATGGTCAGGAGTTCGCCGACCCCTCTGATCACTGCGCTCATTGCATATGTTCCAATGGTCATGTGACCTGCAATACGAAGCCGTGTCACAACCCCGGATGTACTTACCCCACTACTCGCCCGGACCAGTGCTGTCCTGTGTGTGACGGTACAGTATCAGCATGCGTCTACAAAACACCATCACACTGCTACAACCTGTAGTCACAAAATCCTGTTAATACATACTGTACAAAAAGTGTACATTAGTGTAATTTACGGTAACCAGTGTGCTTCATTGTCATTGCAATTTTAGCATAATTTAATTTTTTTGTTACATCTATTTAAAAACCATATGAATAATCTATTGATGATTTTCGTCCAAACATATGCTCTATAGAACGATACTCCAATAATTATTAACTCCTAGAGGTGTATTGAGATTTTAGTTCATGACTGAGACTTATGATGCTCATATTGACTGTGTGCGTGCGCGTGTGTGTGTGTGTTACACAGGCTGTCAGTTTGAGGGAAGAGTTTATGTTGATGGTGAGTTATTTCCATCATCTACAACATCATGTGAGGAGTGCAGATGCTCTGTAAGTACACTGATCTATCTATCTATCTATCTATCTATCTATCTATCTATCTATCTATCTATCTATCTATCTATCTATCTATCTATCTATCTATCTATCTATCTGTCTGTCTGTCTGTCTGTCTGTCTGTCTGTCTGTCTGTCTGTCTGTCTGTCTGTCTGTCTGTCTGTCTGTCTGTCTGTCTGTCTGTCTGTCTGTCTGTCTGTCTGTCTGTCTGTCTGTCTGTCTGTCTGTCTGTCCGTCTGTCTGTCTATCTGTCCGTCTATCTATCTATCTATCTATCTATCTATCTATCTATCTATCTATCTATCTATCTATCTATCTATCTATCTATCTATCTATCTATCTATCTATCTATCTATCTATCTATCTGTCTGTCTATCTATCTATCTATCTATCTATCTGTCTATCTATCTATCTGTCTATCTATCTATCTGTCTGTCTGTCCGTCCGTCTGTCTGTCCGTCTATCTATCTATCTATCTATCTATCTATCTGTCTGTCTGTCTGTCTGTCTGTCTGTCTGTCTGTCTGTCTGTCTGTCTGTCTGTCTGTCTGTCTGTCTGTCTGTCTGTCTGTCTGTCTGTCTGTCCGTCCGTCCGTCCGTCCGTCCGTCCGTCCGTCCGTCCGTCCGTCCGTCCGTCCGTCCGTCCGTCCGTCCGTCCGTCCGTCCGTCCGTCCGTCCGTCCGTCCGTCCGTCCGTCCGTCCGTCCGTCCGTCTGTCTGTCTGTCTGTCTATAAATCTATTTATCTGTCTGTCTGTCTCTCTGTCTGTCTGTCAGTCTGTCTGTCTGTCAGTCTGTCCGTCCGTCCAGCTGTCTGTCTGTCAATTGTTTTCTCTACCTATCTATCCGTCAGTTGTTGTTTTCATCCATCCATCCATGAATTGTTCTGTCTATTGTTCTTCTTATCAAGTAGAAAACTAGAGATGTCTCTTGTTTTTTTTGTTTCGACTATTAAATACACCTCAGTGTCATTTTTAGATTCTTCTTAGCAAACTTTACCTTTGAAATCTTTATTTTTGAGGCACCACAATGTTCAGTCCCTTGGAAATGGGGATGTCAATGCGGCTCTATGTTTTAATTGATAAGTTGTACTAATTTCCAATGGTTAAAAAATTGCTTTTCCCATTTTTGAATTGTCAAAAATGATTGGAAAAATTAAATTGTATTAACTGACCTATTAATCTGTGTAAATTTAGCATAATGATGCTGCCATTTCTAAAGACATTTTACCATCATCTATTCGGCTTCAAATCTCAATTGAAAATTGCCATTTTGACCACTCAACTGTTGTTCACTCCTCAATTTGACTTCTGTATCTAAATTACCCAATCATTGAGCTAATCCTCATGATCAAACTGCAGTGTAATATGTGTGTGTGTACTGTATGTGTTATAATGCTGGGGTGTTCATGTGTCTGTCCATCAGAGAGGTGAGGTCGAGTGTTCTCCTAAAAGTTGTCCCATCGTCTCCTGTCCTCATCCTGAGCGCGACCCCTGCTTATGTCCTGTGTGTGAAGGCTGTCAGTTCAACGGTCGGGACTGTGGAAATGGAGAGAGATTTCCTGACCCCAGTGACCCCTGCAGGAGCTGTGCTTGCCTGGTACACAAACAAACACTAAACTGCGAATACTGTGTGGCATTATTTTGATTCTAAAAAAGTATAATTATACATCTAATTTCATTAATTGGATTCTTTTGCATAGAGAAAGTCCAAGTCAATGCACTTTTATTACCCTAGGCTAGTACGCACCTCCCTTAGCAAACTACATATGGAAGAAATGCCTGATTCAGATTGGCTGATGATTATTTTTTAGATAAACATACAGAACAAAAAGCTGTGGATGAGAAATGTTTGGAAATAAACAATGTGTGTATATATATATATATATATATATATATATATATATATATATATATATATATATATCGATTTATCATGTATAGCCATACAACCAAAGCACTTCAAAAACATGAGGGAGGTCTCTCCAAACCACCACCAGTGTGCAGCATCCACATGGATGATGCGATGGCAGACACAGGACAACAGCGCCAGTGCGCTCACCACACACCAGCTACTGGTGGAGTGGAGAGACGGTAATAATGGGTGAGGGCCAATGGAGGGAATTTGGCCAGGACACCGGGGTTACACTACTATCCTTTATGAGAAGTGACATGGAATTTTTAATGACAAAAGAGACTCAGGACCTCAGTTTACGTCTCATCCGAAAGATACACAAACAAATTAAGGTCAAGGTCAACATTATTTGCATAGCACCTTAAAACAGCATGAATGTTGACCAAAGTGCTTCACAGACATGGCAAAACTAATAAACAATTATAGAGACCGGATATAATACAGTTAGATCCATAAGTATTTGGACATCGACACAATTCTAACATTTTCGGCTCTATACACCAACACAATGGATGTGAAATGAAACGAAAAAGATGTGCTTTAACTGCAGATATTTAGCTTTTATTTGAGGGTCCAAATACATCCAAATCAGGTGAACGCTGAAGGAATTACTACAGTTTGCAAATGTGCCTCCCACTTGTTAAGGGTCCAAAAGTAAATGGACAATTGGCTTCTAAGCTGTTCTATTGCCAGCTCTGTGTTATTCCCTCATTATCCAAATTACAATAAGCAGCTAAAAGAGTTCATTTCAGAGTTCATTTTGAATCTGTTAACTGTGAAATTCATTGTGTTGGTCTGTAGAGCCAAAAATGTTAGAATTGTGTCGAAGTCGAAATATTCATCAACCTAACTGTATGCCACAAATATGGAACAATTAGCAGGAGCTGAGCAGAGGACCTAAGGAATCTTTAGGGAGAATATAAACTTAAGATTTCAGATATGTAGGCCAGGGCAAGTCCATGTAGAGCTTTAAAAACATAAGTTAAAACTTTAAAATCAGTTTCACAGGGTGCCAGCAAAGAGAGGTTTTGATGGGTGAAATATTTTCTCTCTTTTTTTTATCCCAGTTAAATAACAAAAGAAAGAAAGGCTTTAAAGGGTCACGAAACACCAAAACACATTTTTTGAGCTGTTGACAGTCGTATATGTGTCCCACACTGCTTAAAACACTATTAGGACACCTATATTTCACAAAAAAGTGTAAATTGGTTGTTTTTGCGTTATTTCAAGCAAATTCGTACTTCCTATTTGAAACGAATTTTTGAAGCTGCGTCACGGCCATGACATAATAGCGTGTATTCCAGCGTGCAGACTGGACGTCTGTGCCAGAGTGTGTCTTATTACGTCTTACAGTGTGATGCATTAATGCATGAGTAAGGCTTGGGTCAAACCAATCAGCGCGCTCTATTGTGCAACTTCATTAATATTCATTATTGTCACCGTGTTTACACCACAAAGACGCCACGTTGTGTTGGCAAAACAAGCGTGAAGTGTTGCTTTTACAGTTTGCTGCTGTTAAGTTTCGTTTTCATTTTCTCTCTGTGAGAGCTTATCTGGATCACGTGTGGATTAACAGTGTACGTGACGCTCGACAACAATAACTTACGTGTCTAAGGAGGATTATTGTTTACCTGAGAGCTGTTCTCATCTGCAAACGCTGAGATCCGGATTCGCTTGTAGTATTCTCGCCATAAAGACGCGGCTCTAGTTGCTGGTGATTGTCCTGTCTCTATAGATTTGGTAAGTGAGCGACCAGTGCTCTTTGTTTATTCAGTTTGTTCGTATAGAATTAAGTTAACTATTGCACTGAGTGCAGAAATGTTAGCACCGCATTTTGTGACCGGAATAACACACGCGGCTTTCTGACGCTACCTGCCGTGTGCATCTAAGTGTCCGGGAAATGCAGAGTTTTTTTTTCTCTCATTTGCCGTGCGATATCAAACATTGCATGAAAAATACACGCTTGCAGCAGTTCCTCGAATCAAATATCTCGTTTGTCGCGAGGGACATGAATTAATTCCCTGAATGAAAGAGCCAAACTGCAGTTAAAATCCAACATTTAATAATTTGGCAAATAATTCGACTACAGATGTCCCTGTAGGTTAAACACCATCACTTTCTCCTGTCTGTGTGGGTGTGTATTTTGACTCTGAAACTCGCGCGTGCACAAATAGACACTCCCACACCATCCCACTTTAGTTCCTCCGACACTCCCCCCTAAACAGAGCTGGACACGCCCACTTTTCTGACTTTTTCCAAAGTAGAGGTGTGAAAACACCCTGCTGAAACGAGGGGGTTTCATGGCCCTTTAACTTTCTTAGTCGCTTTAGTTGGAAAAAGCTGGACCTAACCACTGAGTTTATTTGTTTGTCAAATTTCAGATCTGAGTCAAAAATGACCCCGAGATTTTTGACAAAAGGGTGATTATTTGACTGTAGAGGCCCCGAGCCAAACAAAATCAACTCTGTTTTTCACAAACAAAGTGGAATAATTGGTGACATGGTGGCTCAGTGGTTAGCACTGTCGCCTCACAGCAAGAAGGTTGCTGGTTCGAGCCTTAGCTGGGTGAAGTATTTTTGTGTGAAGTTTCCATGTTCACCCTGTGTTGGCGTGGGTTTCCTCCGGGTGCTCCGGTTTCCTCCAAAGACATGCGCTATTGGTGAATTAAATAAACTAAATTGGCTGTAGTGTATGAGTGTGAATGCAAGAGTGTATGGGTGTTTCCCAGTGCTGGGTTGCAGCCCTTCCAGCCCTTCCATTACAAGGGTGAATTGTCAAGATATGGAAGATAAGAAATGCTCAACAGTTATCGAACATATAATCTAAAAAGCTCTTGAAGTGTTGTTTACCGTCCCCTGTGTTGTGTATGCGTGTAGGATGGAAGTGTGTCCTGTTCCCCAGTGTCGTGTCCAGAAGTATTCTGCAAGCGCCCCGTTCGTCCTCCAGGCGAGTGCTGTCCAGTGTGCAGTGGGACGTGTGAGCATCTGGGGCAGGTGTATGAGGACGCATCCACCTTCATCCCAGCTGACGATCGCTGCTCCACCTGCACATGCCTGGTGAGATTACTGACTTTCTGGAGACCTGTGCTATTGTAATATCACTATATCTATAATATTACGCCTTAATATATTATATAATAATTATAATAATTTTGGTTCTGATCTTTAACATTTAAGTAATTTATTTAAGTTTGTTATGTTATTATTAAAGATTTTTCTCAGTGGCTTTTGCACAACAGTTGCATTTCTCAAAACATTTAGTACAAACTGCAAAACCTAGCTGATAACCTGCAAAAGCGTGTCACATGCTCAAAATGGAGAGCTCATTACTCAAAAGCAAGTATTGATGTCAATAAAAGTGTCAGTGTCATCGAGATAAAAAGTCCTGACACCATTGTTTATGAACAAGATAGTCAAATGGCTTTGTCATGTCATGACAGTTTACTCTGTAAATGTTTTCCAATACAAAAAAGTCAGATTTTGGTGGCACTTCCTGAAAATGCTCAAGACAGCACTTTATACTATTTGCACAGCCTTTCGAAAACTACTGTAAAGTTGGACATCACTGCATTTAGTGAGGTGTCTGAGTACAAGACACTGAATATGTATGTTTCACATGTTTACTGCATTTTCTCTTTACAATCCTAATTTATTCACAGCATTGTGCAAAATAATAAATACACCCTTATTTACAACACACATAAACCTACTTTGGGTAAAGCTGTGCACAACTGTATACAATATGAATATTGCAGTACATATTGGAACTGAACCAACATACACTGTAAATCATTCATCATCAAATCATTCATGAAATTGTTCAAGTTAGAAGACATTTTTACAAGAAAAAAAAGATTTAAAATTTGTTATAAAATTAGCTTGACAGATTTTGACAACTAGTTCAACATTTTTGTATGTAATGATTCAAGTAATGAAATGAAGTCTATTAGTTTTATATGGAATGACTATTCAGCATTCACAAGTTTAATTCATTTTGACTGACATGACATAAGCAAATGATAATGTTCTAAACAGCAGAGAGTTGTATGAAAGCAATTGATGCCTGTCCAAAAGCATTTGCAATTTGTTGAAAGGAATGAGAAACTGCAACTAGGATGTGCACAAATGACCGATTGTTTTGAGAAATGCATTAACTGTTGTGCAAATGTAAATAGTGTTGTGAGAAATGCACCAAAGTGACTGAGAAAAACTATAATAATATGTAATGTGTATTTATATACACCCAAAGCGCCTCTAATAACATTATTATAATAAAATAAATAACAACAATAATAATTATATTAAATTCATTTAAATAAATAATACTACTAAATACTACTACTACTACTACTACTACTACTACTACTACTAATAATAATAATAATAATAATAATTATTATTATTATTATTATTATTATGTAAAGTTTTGTTGCTTACTGTTTGATTTCTATATTAGATATATTATCACATGGCCAAAAATAGAATAAAATCAATCATAATTAATACTAACTTTAATTTAAATAAAATTGATTACATTTTATTTATTGTAATTTCATAATGAAGTAATTTAGAATATTAATTAATAATTATTATTATTATATAAGGATTTATATTGTTATTGTGATAATAATAACTTTGCATGTTTTAATAAGTTTTGCAGTAGAGTTTGCATTTTCTCCCTGCGTTCGCGTGGGTTTCCTACTGGTGCTCCGGTTTGTCCCACAGTCCAAAGGGAAGGGCTGGAAGGGCATCGGTTGTGTAAAAACGTGCTAGATAAGTTGGCGGTTCATTCTGCTGTGGTGACCCCCAATTAATAAAGGGACTAAGCGAAAAGAAAATGAATGAATGAATGAATTTTACTTGTAATGTGCTTTTATTGAAATGCTACAATAATAATAATAATAATAATAATAATAATAATAATAATAAAATGAAATAATGAATTTAATTTTATAAATTTAATCTAATTTAAATGTAATTATACAATCTTATATAGTTATGTAGCTATGTTTAATCTTATAAAATCAGAACTATAGTCGTCTTGCGAATGAGGATCCCAGATTACTTCATGAAATGAAATTACAATAAATTAAATGTAATTAATTTCATTCATATTAAATGTATTTTTATTTTATTTTGGGGCATGTAATTATATAATTAAGATATTAATCAAACAGTAACAAACAAAACTATATGACAAAATCTCCATCACTGCACCACATGGCATCATTTTTAAGTGTACTCTGCTTGTGTTTTCTAGAGTGGAGTGGTGTTGTGTGAGAAGAAGATGTGCTCTAAGAAGTGCACTCATCCAGTGCGCACTAGACTCTGCTGTCCTGTGTGTGACGCCTGTCTGTATGAAGACAAGAAGTACAGAAACACAGAGTCCTTCATTGACCCGTGGGACCCATGCAGGACCTGTGTGTGTCGTGATGGCTCTGTTTCCTGCTCCGCCATCACCTGTCCTGCGGTCTCCTGCCAGAACCCCATCACTCCAGCGGGAAAGTGCTGTCCGGAGTGCAGAGGTCAGGGGGGTTTTTGGATATTACAACACTATGATGTCTTATAAGCAGTGTTGGGCACATTCCTTTAAAAGAGTAATTAGTTATAGTTAGTAGATACTTCTCACAAACAGTAACTGAGTTATATAACTAATTATAAAAAATTACTAATATCAAAAGTAACTATACTTTAAAAGTAACTAATTATCCGAAAAAGTATTTAATGTGTTACTTTAAAATAAATCTAGTTTGTCAAATGACTTTAAATAAATATAAGCATTGTACACTAATCTACACCATTTTAATGTTGTTGTGGGCCAATGTGAGAAACAGCAGCAACATGTCCTCTACTATATATCTAGATATTTTTTTTTTTAATTCTGTCTGAGTAATAAGTGTTTGCAGTGGAGAAAATTAAGTTTATTTGCTTTGATGTAATGGCTTTATCTCCTCCTTTGGGGAAGAGCTCATGCTATCACTGGTGTAGCCACTCATTTTGTGGTGGCATGTGAAGATGTGAGGTGCTTTATTAGATTAAAACTACTTGTCACCGACACAGAGAGACTCTTTTTTTTTTTCCTGGGCATAATTTGCACAATACATAAACATTCTTGCCTTTCACCTCAACGAGGGAAAAAAATACTTATTTTATCTAAGCCAATCATCACATTCTCAGTTACACCACGTTCACAGACACACCAATCATCATTACTGGTTGACTCACACACCGCAGAGAAAGAGAGGTCCTATGACTGAGAGAGGCGCTGTTTGCATGAAAACCACTTCAGTGTTCTCAATTATAGTAATGTGCATTTTATTGTCAGTAACGGCATTGGAAATAGTAATTCATTTGATTACTTGTTACTGAAAAAAGTATCATCCTTAGTATTGCGTTTATTTATAGCGCCATTTTTCCCATCACTGTTTATAAGAAACAAAAATGCTGGAAAATAAAACTATAAAATACAAAATATAGATTGTTGGAGATTTGTAACAACAACAACACAATGCAGTATAAAGAGTCAACTAAAATGCAATAGTGTAGAAAGAAATGTAGGAACAAAAATGTGTACAAAAATGTAGGGAAATAAAACAAGAAACAAGACAAAATAATAGTTTGTGTTTTTTTTTTTGGATTTTTTTTTGGATTTATGGTTTTATGCTTGCATTAACAAATCATTAACACATTTCTCTAGTCAACAGCAACAACAAAAACAGTATAAAGAATAAACTAATGTACTAGTGTAGGAAAAAATGTGTAAATGTAGAAAAATTAAACAAAAAATACAAAATAAAAGTTCAACCTTGTTGGCGAATTTTTTTCAACAATTGATGGTTTTTGCTTGCAATTAGACATTATTAAACCGTGGTTTTGTAATAACACTTTTTTTCTAGTCAATAACAACAAAATACAGTATGTAGAAGAAACTAAAATGTAATAAAATAAAAACAAATCTTTTACTCTGTTGTAAAGGAAAACAAAAAATAAATTAGTAACAATAGATGCCCTGTTTTTTCAATGTCAGAGTTGTATTTTTTTATTGTATTAAAGAAGAATTAGAGATTAATTAAATTTATTTTTTACTTAAAATTATATTAAAGAAGGATCCAAGCTAAGTTTAATTTATGTTTTATTTAATTTAAAATGTAATTTTAATTTTTTTTTAATTATGTAACATTTAATTTAATTTATTTTTATTTACTTTACTTTTAATTTATTTATTTAAATACCATGGTACCACCATGGTATTCTTTCTGGAGTATACAAACTCATTTAGGAGTATACCATACAAATACCATAGTATGATAACATGTGTCAGGGTTCTGCCACTTTGGTCTTGTAAATTCTTGTTTTGGTGGCAGAGCTCTGACACTACTCCACGTCTGGTCCTGTTTTTGTCTCTGTGTGCGCGCGCGCGCCGTCGTGGGTGTACGCAGAGTGTGCGCGCTGCCACTTGATGTGGCCGCGCACGCTCTGCGTCCCTCAGACGCGCGCGCTCTTGTACTAGTGTTTGTGTTTGTTCTGTCAGCAGCGCGCTGCTTTATTCTCGGCGCCTCCGTCTAGTTGGTTTCAGTTTTGGTTGGCGCTGAGATGAAGCATGCGCGTTGCTTATGTGTGAGCGCACGGTAAGGTATTTATCTATCGTGTGCTCGTGTCTTGCGTCTCTTGTCAAAGCACGTGGCTTGGTGTTTACATTGTGGTCACGTGCTTTTGTCGTGTGCTTCAGTGTTGCGTTGTGAGCGCATGGCTTGTATTGTCTCTCTGTGTCATGCGCTCTCCCGTCTATTGTCTAGTCCCACCCTCCTTGTTTACCCATTATTAGTTAATTGTGTTCACCTGTGTCAATTTACTTTTTTGCTTTATAATCCCCCTCATGTTTTCAGTCCTTTGTGAGTTCGTCGTCGAAAGTTTCCTGTCCTGTTGTGTCTAGCCCTGTCTTGTCCAGCCAGTCAAGTTTGTTTGTTCATTTATTTGTTTTATTAGAGTTTTTCCCCCTCGGGGTTGTTTGTTTTGCCTTTTTGTTTTCATTTTATAATTAAATAAAAACCCATTATTGCTGCACCTGAGTCCTCGCTCCTTTTCCCCTCACCGACCGTGACAACATGCAAATGTACTATATGATAATCTAAACATACTGTAGCAGCCCAACAGTAACATGATGAATGAAAATGTCCAGCTTTAATCTCTGTGGAGGTCAGCTGAGGAGTGTTTAGTTGTTAGTTTGTGTTTCTGTATTAATTGTGTGTGTGTCTGATGTGGTGTGACCTTTGACCTAACAGTGTGTGTTCAGTACGATCAGCAGTATGTGGATGGAGAGAGTCTGACTCTACCTGCTGACCCCTGCTTGAAGTGCACCTGTGTGGTAAGAAACACACACACACACACACAAACACCCACAGAGATTCAGCATGTGGTCCTCCTCGTCCTGCAGACACAGACGTGACAAAAAGGCTGTGTGTTTGTGGTGTGTGTTTCAGGCTGGTGAGGTGAAGTGTGTGTCTCCTCGTTGTAAGACACTGTCCTGTGTGCATCAGCTTACTGATCCCGGCTCCTGCTGTCCCCGATGCAGAGGTGCAGCATATTACATATTTACACACTATAACTACACAATTGTCTACACAAAAAGGTCAACTCTCTCTCTCTCTCTCTCTCTCTCTCTCTCAGGCTGTATTTATGATGGTGTGGAGCGTCAGGAAGGCAGTACCTGGTTTGCGTCCGCTGGTCTCTGCATGTCCTGCATGTGTGTGGACGGAGTGACCACCTGTTCAGAGGTGCACTGTCTGTCCACCTGCATCAACCAGATCACTGTACCCGGAGAGTGCTGTCCAGTGTGCGCAGGTACAGCCCCACTCCATACACACACATGTTGAGTTTTGCTGTGGATTCTGAAGTGTGTGTGTGTGTGTGTTTTCTGTTAGACTGTGTGTTTGAAGGCAGAGTTTATGGCCCTGGAGAGAGTTTCCAGCCATCTGAAGATCCCTGTCAGATCTGCACCTGTGAGGTACGGTAATACTGATGAGTATACTTGCAATAATTTAAGGCAGCTGTTTTTATAGATACACCATTGGAGTCATTGATGATTAGCCGTCCTGTGAAATTTGAATTCTTTTTAAGTTATTTTCTATGTGTTGCTTCATGGAGAGAAGATTTTTTAAAACATCTTTGCAATGATAATTACGTCTTTGTAATTAATAATTATTTCTACTTATTTTGCAAGATACTAGAATTCAGCTTAAATAATAAAATTAATTTAAACAAATTAGCTTGGTTATTGTGTTATGTTATGTAATAATATTACATGATATCATATATTAGGCAAGTTAGGGTAATTAGGCAAGTCATTTGATTACAGTGGATTGTTTTGTAGCTAGTTTTTAAGAGCAGGCGTTCCCATACTTTTTAGCCCGTGACCCCCAAAATAACAATGCCAGTGACTCTCGACCCCCAATATTCTCTGAATTGGTTATATGAGCAATATCACACGAGTAGCAGTGCGATATGGCTGTATATCAGCACTGGTGGGAGGCGTGCATTGGCAAGAGGCCTTAGGCAAAGGGCAGGAGTGGGCGTGGCCAGCAGGGGAAAAGGAGGGGAGCGAACAACTGTTGTCAGTCGGCTCACAAAATGAGACACAAACCGTGAGGAGACGCATGATTTTATAGTTTACAAATTAAAATGCAAATAAATAAACAGTAATTTAATGTCCTGCTACATTTGTTATTGGTAATTTTATATAAAGATAACCACAATTTATATTATTATAAAGATAATCGTGTTCATATAAACACTATAAATGAGGATTTTTCCCTCAATCTCCGGTCTGAATGCAGACTCTGTGCAGCAGGTCTCTTGCCCTGTTTATTTTAACCATTAGCCCTGCTGGTAATCTAAAGGATTATGCGTACAAAGCAGCAAGGCGATGTGTCTAAATGTTAACAAACTCCTGATAAAAGACAACGTCTTCCATTCTACAATTCTCGTTCTGCTCTCCTGACAAACATGTTTGCTGCACAAAAATCATTTTAAACCCGGAAGCTAAAATTAGCTGACAAAAGCTCCAAATTATCCAGTTTTCCCCACAATTACAGCTAACAGGTGCTAACATTGTCTTAACTGATGCTCAACAACACACACACATCTGTTAAAATCTCAAAAAAAGTACTCCAGGGTTTCTTCAACCTTTAAACGTCATTTGGGAAATATTTTAAAAAGAAGAAAAAAATTTAAAGGGGGCTAATGATTCTGACTTTAACTGTATAACTATAACTATATATATATATTTATAAATATTTCCCAAATGATGTTTAACAGAGCAAGGAAATGTTCACAGTATGTCTGATAATATTTTTTTCTTCTGGAGAAAGTCTTATTTGTTTTATTTCAGCTAGAATAAAAGCAGTTTTAAGTTTTCTAATCCATTTAAGGTCAATATTATTAGCACCTTTACGCTATATATTTTTTCAATAAGCTACAGAGCAAACCATGCTTATACAATGATTTGCCTAATTACTCTAACCTGCCTAGTAACCTAATTTACCTAGTTAAGCCTTTAAACGTCACTTTAAGTTAAATACTACTATCTTGAAAAACATCTAGTAAAATATTATGTACTGTCATCATGGCAAAGATAAAATAAATCAGTTATTAGAGATGAGTTATTAAAACTATTATGTTTAAAATGTTCTTGGAAAAAACTTCATTAAACAGCAGCTCGGAAATATTTTAAAACGGATTACAATTTCACAGGAGGGCAGATCATTTTGACTTCAGCTGTATATCTGATGTTTGTGCTGATTTTGTGCTGAAATATAATGTGTTGACAGTCTGTTTATGTTTTCCCAGAGATGGGTTGCGGCTGGAAGGGCATCCGCTGCGTAAAAACTTTCTGGATAAGTTGGCGGTTCATTCCGCTGTGGCGACCCCGGATTAATAAAGGGACTAAGCCGACAAGAAAATGAATGAATGAGTCTGTTTATGTGTTGTAGGTGATGCCGGATGGAGAGCAGCACTTGCGCTGTTACAGAAAGCAGTGTCCGAGTTTGGTGGACTGTCCTAAACACAACATCCTGCACAGCAGCTCTGATTCCTGCTGTCCTGTCTGCACACGTTAGTATGAACAGATATTATGCATCAATTAAAAAAAAAATGATTGATTGGATTTACTCAATTTCTGTAAGTTAAGTGGTTGCAAACTATTTATATTGGATTAATTGAAACAAACAGATTAGGTTGAACATGACTAAATTTAATTAGTTTGTTTCAATTTAGCCCATATACATAGTTTGCAACCACTTACCTTAAAGAAATTAAGTAAATCCAATCAATCTTTTTTCAGTGTAGTTTCATTTCTCTTGTGTAGTCTCTCTTTTCGGGCATGCACGAAAACTTTACAAAATCTCTTTATTTTTTTCATATAAAAAATATTATTATATAATTAATTATTGATAAAGGTTAAATTAATCTAGCTAGAAATCCCCAAAAAAAGTTTATGTATGCATTTGCTTTAATAGTGTTCTCCATGATACAGAGTTGAACCATACTTTTGAACAATGGTTAGTACTGTCACCTCACAGCAAGAAGGTTTGAGTCCCGGCTGAGTTGAGTTCCAGTTGGCGTTTCTGTGTGGAGTTTGCATGTTCTCCCTGTGTTGGCGTGGGTTTCCTCCGGGTGCTCCGGTTTCCCCCACAGTCCAAAGACATGCGCTATTGGTGAATTGAATAAACTAAATTGCCCGTTGGGTCAATTTAGAGCTTTACAGCAAGGACTGTGAATACTGATGTGCATGTGATTTTTCTGGGGATTTATTTATAATAAATTTGAAACAATTTTCAAAAATATTTTTTTACATTGTCATTATGGGGTATGGTGTGTAGAATTGAGGAAAAAAAATAATTTAATCCATCTTGGAATAAGGCTGTAACATAAAAAATGTTGAAAAAGTGAAGCGCTATCAATACCTTCCGGATGCACTGTAAGAGCTATAATAGTTAATATATGTATTCTTTTTAATTTGTATAAATATAATTAACGTACAATTAAAATAAAAGTATTTTTTCTTACCTTTTTTCATATTTCTTAATTTTTATATTATTAGACCACATTTAAATCATTTGATTTGAGATGAGAATTTTTTTCAAATAATAAATGTTTCCTTTATTCATGATCTCGCTTTGTTTATTTCTCATGTTAAATGTAATCAAGTTTTCCCTTGTTCTACACTGAAAGAAGGGCAAACGTAGATATGGACATATTAACTCGAGACAGCCTTTCATTTATGGTGTGTTTTAGATGTAGGGATGGTATACAGTTTGACCCAAAGAATGACCATTCTGGTAGATGAAGAAGAGCTGGAGTCAGAGATTTAAATAAATAAATCAAGTTTACTGAAGATAGTTTGCAGTTTCATCAGCAGAAGCCAGCTTCAACGCTCGCAATGAGTTCCTAGGCCGCTCTGCTTACAATCACCAATCAATAACAATTATACTCTCACATAACGTCATTAACTGCGTCATACATATAGGTGTTCTAACCTGATTGGTTAAAACACAAATAGACTAGGAAAATTTCCACGTGGGGTTTGTGCGTATATTCTGAACAATATCTTTTTATTTATTTATTTTTTTTAAGTTTTATTTTTGGCCTTTTGGCCTTTATTGAAAGGATAGAACAGTATTTTAGACAGGAAACGAAGTGGGAGAGAGAGAGAGGGGGTATTGTCAGGAAATGTCCTCAAGCCGGGATTCAAACTCGGGATGCCCTGAAGGGCTACTGCACCATATGTCTAACCACTAGGCTATTGCACTGACTCTGAACAATATCTTAAGCATAAACGTCAGACATCCCTTAGACTGATCATAGCTGACTCCAGACCTGTGAAACGGATCAACAATCAAATAGAACACACACACTTAAAGTACAATCTGTTTCATATCCAAGGCTGAGTGTACTCTCAGCCGTCTTTATCAAAACTGGTTGGTTAAAAACCGGTATAATCAACATTCAGGCAGTTATATTCTTACTATACAAAGTCTATCTTGAATAAAAAAAAATCACTTTAAAAGAATTAATTGTAAAAATAGCAAAATCACTTTAGACATTTTAGATAGTATGAACTACTAGAAATAACAATAGAAACAGTTGCTTCAAGTCCTCAGCCCTCAGTTCCACTCAAGGTCTCCGTGACCTCTGACCTAGTTTGGTGGCTTCTGAAAATAGTTATAAAGAGACAGGCAAATGCACTGAACATTCTTATATTAAGCAATGTTAACGTATTCATTCATTAAAATCAATTCAAAGTTAAATACTGAGAAACAGGATGATGAAAAGGATAAACGTTGTCCCATGATGAGACGGATTGGAAAGCAGAAATCCGAATCCTTCATAGAATACGAAGTACAACTCTGATATAACTTTCAGCTAAGCTAAACCTGAATGTATAGCAAACTTAAACTCACTTCAATCCTCAAATTTGCCAATAATTGTTCTTATATGATGATGGTTTATTGGTGTGTGTTTCAGAGCCCCTCAGTAACTGCACAGCGACTCTGATTGGTAATGAAGTGTTGGCCACTGACGACCCGTGTTTTACCTGCCAGTGCAAGGTCAGCATCTAATGCGCTGCTGTGTTTTTAAGTCATCTGCATTGATATAGAATGATGTTGTTCATGTATGTTTGTGCGTGTAGGATTTGACATGGACGTGTGTTCACCGTGGTTGTCCTCCTCTGAGCTGCTCTCCATCTGACCAGCACACTCCTCCTGACTCCTGCTGCCCCATCTGTGATGGTACGAGAAATTCACTGATCAGAAATAACTATCAGAAACAATGCAGTGTGTGTGTGTGTGTGTACTTGTTTGTGTGGTTTACGAGGACACAAACTTGTATAATGACATGGGGATGACCTACTTGTACTCTAAGGTGGTTTACTTGTAATTCAAAAAGCTTAAATTCATATTTAACAGGATCTTTTTTATAGAAATATAGAATATTGTGGTGGGTATAGGGGTAGGGTAAGGACACATAATAAATGATTTCACAGTATAAAATATATTACAACTATGGTGCTAGAGTGTGTATCTCACATTTCCTTACATTGTGGGGACCATATGTCTTCAAGTATAGCAATACTAGTTCATTTTGACCTTGTGGGGACATATTTGTTTGAACACAGCTCATAAGTCCCACAGAATAAAGTATTTTGAAAATATAAACCTGCAGATTGTTTCCTATGAGAGTTGTTAGGGTGGGTGGATAGAATATACATTTCTTACAGTATAAAAATCATTACGTCTATGGGAAGTCCCCATAAAGATAGCTGTATAAGTGTGTGTGTGTGTGCGTGTATTGAGCTGTAGATGTGTTTTTTTCAGTGTGTGTATTAGAGGGCAGCAACACCCGTGTGCCAGATGGCCATAGATGGACAGACAAGGAGAATGAGTGCACAACCTGCATCTGTAATGTAAGGACAATTCAAATCTTTCTGTCTGTCTGCTTTATCTATCCACCCATCCATCCACTCATCCTCTATATCTATCTATCTATCTATCTATCTATCTATCTATCTATCTATCTATCTATCTGTCTGTCTGTCTGTCTGTCTGTCTGTCTGTCTGTCTGTCTGTCTGTCTGTCTGTCTGTCTGTCTGTCTGTCTGTCTGTCTGTCTGTGTCCGTCCGTCCGTCCGTCCGTCCGTCCGTCCGTCTGTCCGTCTGTCTGTCTGGCAGTCTATCCATCTGCTCATTTGTTTTTCCATCCATCCATCCATCCATCCATCCATCCATCCGTCCATCCATCTATCTGTCATTATGTCCATTGTCTATCTATCTATCTATCCATCCATCCATCCATCCATCCATCCATCCATCCATCCATCCATCCATCCATCCATCCATCCATCCATCCATCCATCCATCCATCCATCCATCCATCCATCCATCCATCCATCCATCCATCCATCCTTCTATGTATTGTTCTGTCCTTTTTTCATTCTATCATTCGTTCATACTATTGTCTATCCAACCCATTTTGTACTTTCATTCTTTCAATCTATCTATCCATCCATCCATCCATTCTTCTTTCGTTCTATCATTCGTTCGTACTATTTTCTATCTATCTATTGTCTGTCTGTCTCTCTTAAATTTTTTCTTTTTTGTTTGTCCTATTTTAAAGTCCTTTATTTTTCATCTCAAAGTGCCATTTTAAGAGTTCACACTGATGATTTAATATAAGCTTGTTTGGTATGCTGTTCCGGGAGAGAGCCCTGAGCTCAAGGGATCCTCGAGCCCAGGGCTCCCTCCCGATCATAGAGCGGGAGGGGAGCTTGAGCTTAGGTAGATCTCAAACTCCCCGGCTGCAGTAGCTAAGGAAACACTTGAGGAGGAAGGGAGTAATCTAGTGCCTGGATTGCTTAATTATGTATATCTCTGGATGGTGGGAGAAAACCGGAGAACCCGGGGGAAACCCACGGGGAGAGCACAGACACTCTCACCAGCCGGGCGAGGACCAAAGCTGGCAGTGGGGCAACAGTGCTAATCACTGGGCCGCCGTGCCGCCCGATCTAAGGAAAGGAGGAGAGAGGGGATTCTTCCATATGAAGATAACTATGGACTGAATTTGTGGTTATTTATAGTCAATGGGGATCATATGATTGGGAGATCGTGATTACTAAATGCGAGAACCGCCGTGATAAATCATAAGCACGTGATCCTCTGAAAATTTGTTTATAAATAATCTTCACTTAATGCTTTTTAATGTGAAACAACTCTCACCTCAACCAAACAATCCAAACCCTATTCTCAAAACACCTGCGCACCAAACTATGCTCTCATTTATTGAGTAATGTATCTGTGTGTTTCAGAAAGGGCACATTGAGTGTGACCTGCAGGAGTGTGCTCCGCTCCAGTGTCCGGATGGATCCGTTAAAGTCAAGAACCCGGGGAAGTGCTGTCAAGAGTGCACAGAGGTGGTAGATGTGGTGTACATATACCCTAGTGCAGAGTGTGTGTACGAGGGACAGATATATAGAGACAGTGACCAATGGGAAGTGGACGAGTGTACGACCTGCACCTGTGTGAATGGAGATGTGCACTGCCAAACCCAGAGATGCCCAACGCTCACATGTGCCTCGGTAAGACGAGGATAAAATGCACATTACCTTGAATAAACTTTCCATTGAAGTATACTTTGTCAGTATAGGACAGTATTTGATTAAGATACATCTATTTGAAAATCTGGAATCTGAGGGGTATTAAATCTAAACACTGTTAAAATAGCATTTAATGTTGTCTAAATTATGTTTTCTGCAATGCGCATCACTAATCAAATTTTGATGTATTTACAGTAGGAAATTTACTAAATGTGTGCATGGACCATGATCTTTCCTTAAAATTAGAGCTTTAGGCAAAACATTTTTTAGAGCAGATGGCGCTGTAAGTTAGTTTTAAACAGCAGATGGCGCTGTAAGTTAGTTTTAAACAGCAGATGGCGCTGTAGGCTCGTTTTTAACAGCAGATGGTGCTCTAGGCTAGTTTTTACAGCAGATGGTGCTCTAGACTAGTTTTTAACAGCAGATGGTGCTCTAGGCTAGTTTTTACAGCAGATGGTGATCTAGACTAGTTTTTAACAGCAGATGGCGCTCTAGGCTAGTTTTGAACAATAGATGGCCCTCTAGACTTGTTTTTAAAAGCAGATAGTGTTCCAAGCTAGTTTTTAATAGCAAGAGGCACTTTAGGCTAGTTTTTAAGAGCAGATAGTGCTGCAGGCTAGTTTCTAACAATAGATGGTGCTCTAGGCTAGTTTTTAGCAGAAGGCGCTTTAGGCTAGTTTTTAAGAGCAGATAGTGCTGCAGGCTAGTTTCTAACAGCAGATGGCACTCTAGGCTAGTTTTTAACAGTAAATGGCGCTCTAGGTTAGTTTTTAAGAGCAGATAGTGCTGCAGGCTAGTTTTTAACAGCAGATGGCACTCTAGGCTAGTCGTTAACAGCAGATGGCGCTCTAGGCTTGTTTTTAACAGTAAATGGCGCTCTAGGTTAGTTTTTAAGAGCAGATAGTGCTGCAGGCTAGTTTTTAACAGCAGATGGTGCTCTAGGCTAGTTTTTAACAGTAGATGGTGCTCTAGGCTAGTTTTTAACAGTAGATGGTGCTCTAGGCTACTTTTTAACAGTAGATGGTGCTCTAGGCTAGTTTTTAACAGTAGATGGCGCTCTAGGCTAGTTTTAAGAGCAGATAGTGCTGCAGGCTAGTTTTTAACAGCAGATGGCACTCTAGGCTAATCGTTAACAGCAGATGATGCTCTAGGCTACTTTTTAACAGTAGATGGTGCTCTAGGCTAGTTTTTAACAGTAGATGGTGCTCTAGGCTACTTTTTAACAGTAGATGGTGCTCCAGGCTAGTTTCTAACAGTAGATGGTGCTCTAGGCTAGTTTTTAACAGTAGATGGTGCTCTAGGCTAGTTTCTAACAGTAGATGGTGCTCTAGGCTAGTTTTTAACAGTAGATGGTGCTCTAGGCTAGTTTCTAACAGTAGATGGTGCTCTAGGCTAGTTTTTAACAGTAGATGGTGCTCTAGGCTACTTTTTAACAGTAGATGGTGCTCCAGGCTAGTTTCTAACAGCAGATGGTGCTCTAGGCTAGTCTTTAACAGCAGATGGCACTCTAGGCTAGATTTTAAGAGCAGATAGTGTTCCAGGCTAGTTTTTAACAGCAGGTGGCACTCTAGGCTACTTTTTAACAGTAGACAGTGCTCTAGGCTAGTTTTTAACAGCAGCTGGTGCTCTAGGCTAGTTTTTACAGCAGATGGTGATCTAGACTAGTTTTTAACAGTAGATGTTGATCTAGACTAGTTTTTAAAAGCAGATAGTGCTGCAGGCTAGTTTTAACAGTAGATGGTACTCTAGGCTAGTTTTTAACAGCAGATGGTGCTCTAGGCTATTTTTTACAGCAGATGGTGATCTAGACTAGTTTCTAACAGTAGATGGTACTCTAGACTAGTTTTTAAAAGTAGATAGTGCTACAGGCTAGTTTTTTAACAGCAGATGGAGCTCTAGACTAGTTTTTAAAAGCAGATAGTGTTCCAGGCTAGTGTTTAACAACAGATGATGCTCTAGGCTAGTTTTTAACAGTAGATGGCACTCTAGACTAGTTTTTAAGAGCAGATAGTGTTCCAGGCTAGTTTTTAACAGCAGATAGCGCTCTAGCCTAGTTTTTAATTGTAGATGGTGCTCTAGCCTAGTTTTTAAAAGCAGATAGTGTTACAGGCTAGTTTTTAACAGCAGAAGGCGCTTTAGGCTAGTTTTTAACAGTAGATGGTAGGGATGTAACGGTATTGTAAATACCGTCATACCGCAATATTAATTTTTTTCGATATTACCGAAGTCGCATGACTCGGTAAAACTATAGGTCTTCTGAGAAAATTTGCTCAGGCGAATGAAGCGAACGGGAGGTAGCGAAAACTACAATCCCCATCATCCCTTGCGGTCTGTTGTCGCTACAGATCCAGTAATGCGGAAATGGAGTGTGCTGCTAGAAGCGGGGATCAAAAAGAGCTGTAAAACTCTAAGGCCCCTTTTACAAGAGTGCATTTTAGTTTTAAAACGGCGTTGTAGAATGAAAACGATCCGCGTCCACACTCGCGTTTTACCCAGCGTTTCTGAACAGCTCTCCGTCCACACCAAAACGCTGAAAACGCACATCACGTGACCACACACACACTCTCGGGCAAGCGCTCCAGCATTTCTACCCAGATGAGAGCTCTGCTTGTCGGACTGCTCATCAAGCATCTCCCGCTGGATCTGATCTCGCTATATTTGCTAAACGTGATATTTCATTCATCTTGTTGTCTTTATCTAACGACATAGGCCAATTCCCTGACTTTGGTCATTGGAATCTATTAAGTTACTTGTTCACGGGTAACATGTTTTGGTTAAGCGCAAAGATAAGTTAATGATTAATCCAGGTACATTGACTGATCGCTTGCCTTTATTTCCTACAATGTATAAACTTATTGTATGTTATACTTTTATAATTATCGATTATTAAAACTGATATTCAGCCAAAGAGAGGGTGTGTTTCGTATTTTCACTGAAATTGAAAGGAGGCAGTTGTTATAGGCTCCGTTTTGTTATAAATATGCACACAGTGAAGATTACGCTCATATATGCAGCACGACGCCTCAACATTTCTGCTGTCTGTTAAGTTGCTAATATTAAAATGAAAATAGGCAGTTCCTTATATCATGTTTACATTTTATTGATGAGAAAGTGAAACAACGTAGCCAGGGTGATGTGAATGAATTTATAAAGTACACTGTTCCCTTTGAAGATTTACCCGTGTCCTCGGTATGTTTTCCATATCAAACTGAGAAGGGGGAGACTGCAGCCTTGATCAAACTTGCGAAGTCTTAACTTACAAGAAGAGGATGCAAGACTGAACTGTGTGTGGGCTACTTAATATTGAGGAAAAGCCCCAATCAGATAGGCGAACGTTTGCAGCCCCGCCTCCGTTTTCAGATGTCTCCGTCTTTCCCCATCCACACTGAGACGGAGCAGCAGCGTTTTAGAATGAAAACGGCCTCTCCAGCGTTTTCAAAAAGCTCCGTTTTCGGCGCTCAAGAAATAAGTCATATAAGTCATATCTCTCTTGTCCCAGAAACCTCAGTACCAAATGAGAGTTTTTTTTCTGTTGCAGGGGACATTGTAAATGCCCAGAGATACCAGCTTTTACCAGATTATATTTATATGATAATTTTCCTTTAAACCCATCTCTATCTAAGTGAGTGAGTGATTAAATGTTGAATGTGATGAGTTTTCAACAATACTAAATTAAAAACTTAAATTTTTTTTTACATGGTTTAATATTTTTTTGTTATTAAAATTGAAGTTCCTGTTTCAAAGCTTACAGATAGATAGCTAATTTGTATGTCATTGACACTTTTGGCACTTTTTTGGAGTATTTTCATAAGTTTTGTTTTTTCCTGTAAATGATTCAATAAATACCGTACCGTGACATTGATACCGAGGTATTACCGTACCGTGAAATTCTGATACCGTTACATCCCTAGTAGATGGCGCTCTAGACTAGTTTTTAAGTGCAGATAGTGCTGCAGGCTAGTTTTTAACAGCAGATGGCGCTCTAGGCTAGTTTTTAACAGTAAAAGGCGCTTTAGGCTAGTTTTTAACAGCAGATGGCGCTCTAGGCTAGTTTTTAACAGTAAAAGGCGCTTTAGGCTAGTTTTTAACAGCAGATGGCGCTCTAGGCTAGTTTTTAACAGTAAAGGGCGCTTTAGGCTAGTTTTTAACAGTAGATGGCACTCTAGATTAGATTTTAAGAGCAGATAGTGCTGCAGGCTAGTTTTTAACAGCAGATGGTGTCCTAGGCTATTTTTTAACTGTAGATGGCGCTCTAGGCTAGACTTTAACTGTAGATGGCGCTCTAGGCTAGTTTTAACAGTAGATGGCGCTCTAGGCTAGTCTTAAACTGTAGATGGCCCTCTAGGCTAGTTTTTTTTTTACTGTAAATGGCGTTCTAGGCTAGCTTTTATCAAGGAATAGCCTGGTGATGCAACATTTAAAATGCACTTTACGTAATTATATTATTGTCTTATTCAGATTAAGGCAAATGACTATTACTGATGTCCATGTAAACGTATCAGTAGTGTCTTCAAAGTAAGAGAAAGATCCAGATGGGTATCCTGCTGATTTGATTCAGGAAAGTACTTTTTTGTCAGACGTCATTAGTTTTAAAAAGCACCCGCTCCATTTTATTTGTATACATTTTACTGGAATGCATAAACTCTACAGGTGCCTTATAGTTAGCTGTGGAGCTAACGTTAATCATATTGCTCCCTCTAGTGAACGCATAAAAATTGTCATCATAATTTACTCGAGTGCACGCCTCAATGTCTCGAGCCCCCCTTAATAGGTGCTGGTGCCCCCTGGTGGGGCATTCCCCAGTTTGAAAACCCCTGCTCTTAGCTGATGTTGCTTTAGGCTAGTTTTCAATAGCAGACAGCTGTCTAGGCTTGTTTTAACATCAGATAGGGTTCTACTTTTTAAAACAAGTCGTCAAAATATTAAAATATGATACTTTTATGATGTTTTTGACACATTTCTATCTGTAACATTTTTTAATTGACACACAAGGACTAAAACAAATCACTGTCTGACAGGTTTTACTGTGTTAGTGAGCACATTTTGAACTTATGCAGTATAACTGATCTGCTCATTTGTGTAGGATGAAACGCCAGCTCTGGTTCCTGGGATGTGTTGTCCTCACTGTATTCCTCACCCTGCCACCTGCGTTGTCTTTGGAGATCCTCACTACCGAACATTTGACGGAAAGATGGTGCATTTCCAGGGCACCTGCACATACGTTCTGGCTCAGGACTGTGAGGGCGGAGACTTCAGGTGCTCTGTCTATTTACTCACTCAACTCTACAAAATGTTACGCAGCACACTTGTTATCAACACTCATAATAATAATAAGAAATTATAGGCCACCACCAGCTTTGGGAGACTAAAGGCTCCTACACATTGGGACGCTTTTGGTTTGCATTTATCGTCAGCGTTTTACGAGACGTTTTTCATCATTTAAACCCAAGCACTTTTCACTGGCGTCAAGCTGAAGAGTATGCAAATCACTCTTTTGACATTAGAGGGCGCTGCACACCTTCAAGCTTCTGACACCCGCTTATAACACAGAAGAAGAGGAGGAGAGTTTTTGTCTAAACAAAAAAACCAGCATGAGGCGTTTTCTTTTTAAATGATGCTTTTGCGCCTGGCGTTTTGTGTGTTGGTGTGCACGATTACATTGACGCCCGTTATTTAGTCACGAGGCGTTAAACGTCGACGGAAAACGCGAGCAAAAAACGTCTCGGTGTGCACGGGCCTTTAGACTTTTGCATCTATCTATCCAAAAGGTATGAAGCAAGTGCAGGGTCATTACTTTTGGGTGAACTACACTTTTAATATATAAAATAAAGTAAATGTGTTCACAATATTCAGAGCAAAATTACTGTTGGAACCAGAGGACTAGCATCAAAAATGTTGGTTTAATGTGACCTCTTTAGCAACAAACAACAGACTCTTACTATCTGCTATTTAATATCAAGCATCTTTCAGCATTTCTCAAGATTTCTTCCTTAGATTTAGCATGTTCTGTCTTTCTTTCTCTCCCCAGGTCAACCTCATACTGCCTATAATAATGCCTATGCATACTGTAAATAAAATTAAGGACTCTGTGTAGGCCATTTCATGACTGTCTTGGTTTCATCAGCTGTTCTTCTCTGCAAATATGATATCATTACATTAGCAGTGTGTTTGGAATCATTATCATGCTGAAAAATACAACTATTACAAATGAGGTGATTTCTAGTAGGAGTTACATAATGAATTAAAACCTATCTACTTTCAGGCAATATTAGCCGCATTTCCATTGTCGGGCCAGTGCGAGCCAGGGCTTTTATGAGGCCGGGCCATGCCAATAGCCTGGGAGCTTAAGCAGTGAAGCCAAAATCAGGCCGCGTTTCCACAGACCTCGCTTCCAGAGCGCCCTCGATACAAACCTTACGCCTGTTTCACACCGCAAGCGTCAGCGGCGCGTGAGCAGAGCGTGAGCAGCGCGTGTGTTTTCGGCGTCCATGTTAACAGATTAGAGCTTTCATACCGCACGCAGCAGCAGCGCGTCAGAGCGAGGCGTGAGCGTCGCCGAAGCAGCAGTGCAGCGATAGTTTCGGCGCTGGGTCTATTTTTGACGCGCTGCTCACGCTCAATTAAAGTGACAGTGCATTGAGAATGACAAAAACACATTGAATGACAGTAAAAACTAACAATTTTACCCAATAAATGCGTTAATAATGTCAAATGGTTTATATATAGTCATTCAAATGAACTTAAAACGATTAAAAACGGCAACAAACATTTATTTAGGCCCGAACTACAAAACCAAATGTAAAACAATTTTACTATCAGTTTTGCTTAAGTTGCACACTAGTGTTGTAGGAGAGGGGAAATAGAATATTTACGGGATTTGTAGTCCATAGCGAAGTGTATTGTGGGTAGTGTAGTGCGACACGCATGCTGGATTATGTGAGCTCGCTGTGTTCTGTGCAGCTGAGCAGAGCAAGAAAGTTTTAATCGGCTTTGTTTTATGTTCACTCGAATTATTCCTACCGGGAGCTGTTTGCACTGTGAATCTGACAACACGAAAATAAGTAAAAGAATGGCATGCATTAATTACTTTTGTCCGTCTCATCATCTGCACGAGCATGAATTAACGAGCTGTTATTCTGCCGCTGGACATCACTGAAGCGGAGAAATTAACACTAGTTTGATCATGTATAAATATCATTATAACTATATTGTATAAATATGATTATAACTAGGTCTACAGCAACCTGATAATCAAAAAACAAATGACATGATATCACAGGCGATTGTCTTCTGACTGTAGACACTTCTCATATAAGTTAGCTTTAGAAGCATACAGTACTATTTGATCTATAAAATTTGTAAAATAAACATTTGCAGGTTAATGAAACAGCATAGGAGGGGCCTTGGTGCAGATGAAAAGTTTAAAAAGTGTATTTGTATATAGAGAGACATGGGTAACTAGATAGAATAGACAGAGACAGGTTGATCTCAGCAGCAGCTGCCGAAGAGCTGCGCGCTGCAGACGCAGCTGGTGTGAAAGGCAAACGCCTGCGTGCTGCTACTGCTCGACATACGCGCTGCTCACGCTCTGCTCACGCGCCGCTGACGCTTGCGGTGTGAAACAGGCGTTACACAACCCACCCAGTTCAGCGGGAATCAAGCATATGAAGCACACCATCGCATCATCCCCCGAAATGATTAAAATGAAGACAAACGAAACAAACAAATTACTGATTACTGTAGAGCATTACGTTATATGTCCATACGCACAGACCTTTGTATATTCATTCCATATATTTGTTCACTCGCCGACTGACTGTTGGCATCTTACATTGAGTGGTCTCGCCACAAAAGGAGGGATGACCCAATGCACCATCCCTAATATACACCCAAAGTTATTCTCCGATAATAACTCTGTATAAAATGTATTTTATAACATCCTTGTTTTGGTAGAAGCCGTTTTCCCTAGGCTATATGACACTTAATATGTAATTCCCCTTTTGTAAGACGAGGAGTGACTGAAGTAGGATCCATGTGCAGGTTTGTTCAGAGTCAGGCAAGCAATGGTCAACACAGGTGCAAACAGATGTAAAGAGACAGTCCAGAATCGTAGTCAAATAACAGGCGAGAGGTCGTAAGGCAGGCGGCAGACTAAGACAAAAAGGCTCACGAGGCTAAGGTCAAAACACAGGAAAACAAGAGTAGGAAATGCGTTGTAATGTCACTATACAGATGAACAAGACTTGGCAATGGGAGTGAGTGTGTGTGCTGCTTAAATAGTGTGTGTAAGCAGTCTTTGACAATCCACAGGTGGTGCGAGTGTAATCAGTCAAAATGAGGAAGCATGTGTGTGGGCGAAGTGCATGTATGAAGTTGTAGTCCATGAACTGGCGGATTTGTAGTTTGTACGAGTGAGAATGTTTTCCAGTGACCTCTAGAGATCGCTGGTGATTTTGACATCTTTATTTAAGAGAATAATTTAAGGATGTTGCATATTATTTGGTTATCTTATGTAAAGGAAACTGTTAAGTGTTTCAGGACAGAGCAAGTAATAAAATATAGGCTATAGCATATATCTATGCGCTCAGAAGCTATCCACACTCCGCATCAGTTTTAAGAAAAAAAAATTTATCATTTGACAACAGCTTTGGCAGAAATGCAGATCAAACCAAGACAGAAACTCTATTTTTCATTCATTCTTCCTCTGTCTCTTTCTTTTCATGTGTCCTAAACAAATAGCCCCCCAAAAAATCCAATTAGAACCTGTATTTTCTGGTTGTATTTTAATAAAGAGAATTAGAAATAATATATAACGTCATTATACTCTCACTAAAACAACAAATGTAACTGGGGGCCAAGACTTTTGCACAGTACTGTATTTAAAAAGGCAAAACAGTTTGTTTAAATTGCAATAATATTGTACAAAATTACTTTTTTGTCCTTTTCATGGTGAAATGGGGATTATAAGAAACCAACTGGTCTCATTTTAGTGACCAGAGTCTGATAAAATAAAATGCAAAAAGCACCAAAAGTGGTCCATAAGGACTTAAAAGATCATAATGATGAGTTGAACACACATAAATGTAACCATAAAATCATAATTGAATGCTAAATGCTGACATTTGTGTGTATTGTAGTGTCCATGTGTCCAATGAGGACCGGGGACGTAAAGGAGTGTCTTGGACTAAAGAGGTGACCGTGTTTATTGGAGATGTTGTGATACAGCTTTATCAGGACTGGATTGTCAAGGTACAGTAAAAGGTTTTTACATTGTTGTTCAAACCTTATTAGAGTTACATTTTAAATCATTATTAATATCCTACTAATAATCATGATGTCATTGTCATACTGCATTTGCATAATAGTCTGTGATTGGTCTTCTTTCTTACACGTGTAAGAAAATGTTGTGTTTTTTAGTGTTTTTGTATGTGCTGCTAACCTGAAAATGTATGACTTTTTTAATGTGTGTTGAACATTGACAAATTTGTAATGATTTTAATCCCTCAGGTTGATTATGAGCCAGTCTCCCTGCCGTATCTTAAAGAGCCTTATATTTATCTAGAGCGCAAGACCAACACCATCCTCCTGAACACCAATGTTGGGCTAAAGGTACAGTCTGTGCCTATATTTACTCTGTCCCCTATAAGAAAGAAACATCCTAATCTAGATCACAATATCTTAAATGTTCTTTTCTTGGCATATTAGTCAGATTAAAGATAGAGTAAACTGAGAGGTTTGGAGACATTTCCTCTCTTTTAGATTGTCCTCAAGAGTAGAAAAAATGTATAACACAAATTTATAATTTATTTCGCTGTGGTGAAATAAATGTTTGAGATTTTGAGATTAGCTTTGAACAGTAGATGGTTATCTAAGTTAGATTTGAACAGCAGATGTTCCTCTAGGCTTGTTTTAAACAGCAGATTTTGCTTTAGGCTAGTTTTTAAACAATAGACAGCGCTCTATGCTAGGTTTGAACAGCAGTAGTTGCTCTAGGCTAGTTTTTAAAGAATAGACGACGCTCTATGCTAGTTTTGAACAGCAGGTAGTGGAAATCTTTGCTAGTTTTTAACAAAAGACGGCACTCTAGAGTTGTTTTTAACAGCAGCCCTGCTGAAAAAAAAAAAAACAGCTTAAACCAGCCTAGGTCGGTTGGTTGTTTTTTTCAGTAGGAAGATGGCACTCTATGCTAGATTTGTCACAACATAAGTCGCTGTAGACTAGTTTTTAACCACAGACATCACTCTAGGCTAGTTTTAAACAGCAGATGGCGCTCTAGGCTAGTTTTTAAAAGCAGACAGCGCTCTAGGCTAGTTTTTAACAGCAGATGGTGCTCTAGGCTAGATTTGAACAGTGGTCTAAGCTAGTTTTTTACAGCAGACGGAACTCTAGGCTAATTTTGAACATGATGATGCTCTTCTAGTTTTAAACAGTAGTCTAGACTAGTTTTTAATATCAAATGGCACTCTAGGCTTGTTTTTAACATAAAATGGCACTCTAGGCTTGTTTTTAACATCAAATGGCACTCTAAACTAGTTTTGTAACTTCAGAAGCAAATGGTGCTATTGACCTTATTCTAAAATGTGGAAGTGCGCTTGTTTTCGCGATTGTTTTAGAACTTCTGATTCAGACGCCTATGGATAGAAATGACTAGGAATAATAAACGGCAGAAATGGTCAAACTACTTGCTCTACAAACAATCGTTTGCATGACTATACAGACTAAGTAGAATAATATCATAAGGAGATATCAGTCTGCAACATCAAACAGCGAAACAAGCAGTTTTTAACGTCTAAAAATGAATGGAAGTGAATGAGACGGGAAGTCTCGAGCCAAAAACATTCAAATGGTTGCACCCGCTCGTCGGCAAAGAATAAGGTGAAAAGGCTAATTTTTAACATCTTAGGCTAGTTTTTAACAGCAGATGGCGCTCTAGGTTAGGTGAGTCATATAAATTGGCTTTCATGTTACAAGATTAATGTAAACACAGCTCACATACAGCACCATCTGCTGCTAAAAACCAAGCTCAGAATTAATTCAAGAGAGAAAAGCGATGCATTTGAGAGGGGTCTGGATGCAGATGTATTTTCGTAGAGATAACTTTTCATCACAGCTCTACTCAGGCAGAAAAAATATATCAAATATGTTCAGATCTGCCAAGAGAGACATGAGAGATCTTGATATAAAATATATATAAGATCCATGAGTTTAATGTGAATTCAAGTTACTAATTCAATTCGTCCCACACTAGATTATCTGCATGGCCAGCAGATCTTTCAACTTTCATTCATCTTCATGAGCAATTTGGATATGGTAGGACTTTCAATTTGTTTATACAATGTTTGTGATTAAAGGTGTTGTGGAATGGTCGTTCTCATCTGGAAGTCAGTGTTCCCGGCACCTACAAGAACCACATGTGCGGGTTATGTGGCAACTTCAACAATTACCCTCAGGATGATATGAAACTGCGCAATGGACAAATTGCCACCTCTGAAGCAGCATTTGGAAACAGCTGGAAGGTTAATTCAATCAAAAATACTTATACCTATGCATGTTTATTGATATATGGGTTTGTAGTATATGTAGCTGCATGAGTAGAAATTGTTGGTGGAGAATGCAGGCAGCAGATATTTATATTGAAAACATTTTTCCAATAGCTCTGACATGAAATCTTTAATACATTGAATTAATGTGTCCCGCTTACTCTTAATTCAGATATTGCACATGATGTAGGGTTTAAAATGGTTACATGTGACTTTTTTATACTTTCCCTAAAGAATGAACCAATTCTAAGCTCATTGAAAGGAGTCTTCAATACTTCAAGCTTTATTTTCTACACAAACCTACCTAGGCCTGTCGTACATTTGCAGTCTATGGTCTTCATTGGCTCCTTAGGAACATTTAATTTGGCCCTCAAACACTGTAGAGGCCTGGAAAAGTTTGGTTTGTGTTGACATATGTTGACAAGATTTTCTCTTTATTGTCGAGTATATAGTGTTTAGAGCTAAGAAAGAGCTAAGACTCAAATATATATTAATTAGTTTGTGACATGCACTGTAAACAGTGCAACCAATTGCAACACACTGGGCCAAACCTGACCAATCAGAACAGAGTAGGCTTTCGGGAAGGGTGGGGTTTAGAAAGATCAGACATAAGGCAAGGCAAGGCAAGTTTATTTATATAGCACATTTCATACACAATGGCAATTCAAAGTGCTTTACATAAACAAGAATAAAAGAAACAAGTAAAATAAAAATAAAAACAAATAATAAAAATGCGTAAAAACAAAACAAAACATAAAAACAGGTAAAATGTGATATGAAAGAATGAAGAAGAAGAGAAAAACATGATAGTGCAATCTGTCGGACGCAGCACAGTGCTCATTCAGTAAAGGCACAGCTAAACAGATGTGTTTTCAGTCTTGATTTGAATGTGCCTAATGTTGGAGCACATCTGATTATTTCTGGAAGCTGATTCCAGCAGCGAGGGGCATAGTGGCTAAAAGCCGATTCACCCTGCTTTGACTGAACTCTTGGAACTTCTAGTTTATTTGATCCTAAAGATCTGAGTGATCTGTTAGGTTTGTTTTCAATGAGCATATCTGTAATGTATTGAGGTCCTAGGCCATTTAGTAATTTATAGACTAGTAATAATACTTTAAAATCTATTCTGAATGTGACTGGCAGCCAGTGTAAAGACCTGAGGACAAGTGTGATGTGCTCTGATTTTCTGGTTCTGGTTAGAATTCTGGCTGCAGCGTTCTGGATGAGCTGCAACTGTCTGACTGTCTTTTTAGGAAGACCAGTGAGGAGTCCATTACAGTAATCCACCCTGCTGCTGATAAAAGCATGAACAAGTTATGTAGACAAATGCAGCTTAAACCGATTTCCCTAAAAGCGACAAGTTGACTTTACTTAAATTTGTGAGTAAACCCATTGCAACTTGAAACTGTTAAGTTTAATGAACTTAATATTTATAATTACACACTTAGTTCATTTGCTTAAAGATGTTAAGGCAACTGGATTACTCACTAATTTTAAGTGAAGTCAACTGATAATTATTCATACAGTGCGGATGTAATTTTGTATTAATTTACTATTAATATTTAATATGAATAATTTTTTCAGGTGGGCAATGGAAATTCCAGTGTTCAGTGTCCTGACGTGAGGAACATTAACCCGTGTAAGGAGGCCGGATACTCTGCTCGTAAGACAGCAAACTCTCGCTGCGCAGTGCTGAAGTCTCCTGTGTTTGAGCGCTGTCATAAACTGGTTCTGCCCGAGATGTTCTTCGCCTCATGTGTGTATGATCTGTGTGCCTGCGGGTCCAATATGGACGATTGTTTGTGTGACGTGTTGGAGGTTTACGCGTCTGAATGTCGTGAAGCTGGGATTATCGTGCAGTGGAGGACGCCGACGCTCTGTGGTGAGTGAGATAAATGCTTAATTAGAGAACATTTCATTTCAACTTATGTATTAAAGTATGTTTACATCAGATTTAGACAGTGGTGGTAAGAGTACAAAAAAATTGTACTCAATTACAAGTACTGTTACATTGCTGAAATTGTACTCAATTACAAGTAAAAGTACTGGTGTTAAAAAGTACTCAAGTAAAAGTACAAATTACTCTTCGTAAAAACTACTCAAATTACAAAATTACAAATTACTTTTTTAGCTTGGCGATATTGGTGGAATTATCCATAAATGCGGAGTCAGACAAGATTCAGGCAGTAAAACACATTTTACATAACACATTTAAAGATACTATAAACACTTTTAAAACTGTGTAAACAGCATTAATTATAGATTATAATTATAGAGCACCTATAGAGGAAACCCACGCCAACATGGGGAGAACATGCAAACTCCACACAGAAACACCAACTCACTCAGCCAGGGCTTGAACCAACAAACTTTTTGCTTTGAGGCGATAGCAATACCCACTGCGCACCATGATTATTTTACAAAAACAATGTTTTGCTATTTTGAGTATAAAGATAACAGAAATATGCACAAATGCACGACTTTTAATCATTTCAAATGATGCCTTTCTATCTGTACGATCAATAGATGATTTAATAAATTAAAAAAACACTTGCAAATTATGGAGAAACTTTGTTAATTACCTAATTTGCGAACTGAACCGTCAGAAACCACAGAACAACACTGCCTAGTGCCTAAACATATTATTAATAAATTAAATATCACACAAATTAAGTTGTCTTCTTACCATAATGTTTTTTTTTTCAGATTATAGACTGAAGTCTTGTAAAAAAAAGGGTTTCTGCAGATATCATAATGTCAAATGTAAGACTTTTTAAGACTACGTCATATTTTTAATATTGTTCAAGATTTTAAAAATAATTATTTTTCATTATTTTATAATTTATTATGATTACAAAGTTGGGTAACGGGTGGGGCAGTGGGTAGCACTCTCGACTCAAGGCAAAAAGGTCGCTGGTTCAAGCCTTGGCAGGGTCAGTTGGCATTTCTGTGTGGAGTTTGCATGTTCTCCCCGTGTTGCGTGGGTTTGCTCAAGATGCTCCGGTTTTCCCCACAGTCTAAACACATGCATTTTAGGTGAATTACCTAAGCTAAATTGTCTGCTGTTGTAAATGAGAATGGGTTGCAGCTGGAAGGGCACAATTGCTGGATAAATTGGCGGTTCATTCCGCTGTGGCGACCCCAGATTAATAAAGGAACTAAGCCAAAAAGAAAATTAATGATTATAAAGTTTTATAACTTTTCAAGATTTTTTAAATCAAAGTTTGATGCATCACTCACTTTTGTTTATATCTCGGACAGTTCTACCTATTAAAGTTAAATATCAATGACAACAGAACATGGGTTACTCTACAATTATTTTTTTTATTCTGGCAAGAATAATAGCAAAAAAACAAAAAACATTTTTTGCCCACTCAACAATTGACACATTATTGTCTGGCTAGTTTCTGTCCTCTACTAATGAGCTGAAAAGGCAATAATGGTCAAACAATCCTGTCCATCATCACCAATAAAGCCTAGAAATTGGGCATCAGTTTACTGTAAGTCGATGGGTTCATATTGTCCAGTTATTAAATACCTTATTTGTTACTTAATTTTTGTTACATTGCTTTAACTTCAAAATGATACATCAGTGTAAAACCTATAAATGGTGGAAAAACATATTCTGTAATCTTAAAACCACCTGGGTCTCCACTTTTGCCATGGCCTCTTTTTTGTTGTAACAAACTTATCCCCCAGGTTTTTCCAAACTTTAACAAAACACTTCCTTTCCATGGCTGTTGCAATTTCTAGCCAAGAATTATTGGTCATCTGGTTATCTCTATGCTGATCACGCATGGTCGGATAGTTAAGATGTCTGTACAGTCGTACTGTTACAGACAAAATCTCTTCAAAGCGATTCAAATTCAACTCAAATCAAGCGCGGCGCCGCGCGAACTGTTCACCGGAAATCATGTCGCGCGCATCCAAAGTGAACCTCCGCAAACACGGCGATGACGTCACATTCGCCGCTCGCACTGAGCTATTGCATGCTGGTATTATTTGTAGTTTTAATACTGCAAATCACAATAGGACTAGTGAAATAAAGAACTACACCACCACGAAACCAAGCAACAACAAAAAAATTATTTAAATGAGAATTAAGAGTAGCGTCTCACGCCTTCAAACGCCAGCGCGCGTTCACTGCGTGCAGGATTGCCTTCTGATGCGCAAGTCACTTAGTAAATGAAGATAATTTATTCATGCAGCTGCTCCTACTGATGCAAATTCTGTTTTTACTTTTGATATTTGTCGCCAGTTAATCAGAAGGTGGCAATTTTGTTCTCTTTGACTTGATGGACAGAAAAGCTGCTTTATTTGCTGTCTTTTATGCGATATTCCAGTTTTGAGCATACATTTAATTAGCATTTTAGATGATAACATAGCTATTCACATCAGCGCATCTATCCCCTTTCTTCCCTATATACCTGTAGGTGAACAGCTCCTCCGGGTGTGGCCATGCATTTATCCTCTGCTATTTCTTCCTCATTTCTTCTGTCTTAAATCTCCATATGTCAATTGATAACTTTGTGACTGTATGATGACGGTCACGTAAATCTGCAGTAGCCTGAACTTGTTTTTCGGTTCAAATAATGTACCAGGATTTTCATTGGTCCGTTAAGATGAGCTTTTTTTATTGGCTACCGAAATGCTGGTCAGTGCGTGGCTGAAATATTAAATTATTTACAGTACTCTGTAACGAATTGTGATTTTAAAAGTAACGAAGTAGATTGCTCAGCTTAATTTGTACTCAAGTACAAGTAAAATTACAGGCTTAAAATTCTACTCATGAAAGTACAATTACACCAAAAATGTACTTAATTACAGTAACGTGAGTAGTTGTAATTCGTTACTCCCACCACTGGATTTAGATCAGAACTTTTAGTACAAATACTCTTTAAGGTAACGTGAAGTGCTTTGAAATGTGTATTCTTAATTCGATGTTTGACCTAATCTCAACTGAAACATGGAAAAGAGGCCGGGACATAGAGTAGCTCCTCGCCTTTTTATCCAACCCAGGCTTTACTTATTGTAAAGTGTGACCATTTTTCATACTGTGCTTCAGTATATATCCCACAGTCTCTTGAACTCTTATTTGCATAGCTTAGAAAGCAAATAAGCAATGACCTTAAAGTGTAGGAAATATCTCTACTTTGTATTCCTTATTTTGGGATTTATTGTGCTGTACTCTGACGTTGTCTTTCCTTTTTTCCACCCCTGCAGCTGTGGGTTGCCCACTGGATCGTGGTTATGTGTTTGACGAATGCGGCCCACCATGTCCCAAGACATGTTTTAATAAAGACGTGCCGCTCGGTGTCATCGAGGCTCATTGTTTTAAACCCTGCGTCCCAGGATGTCAGTGTCCCGCTGGACTGGTGGAGCACAACGCCCACTGCATCGCCCCTGAAAAATGCCCCAAAATTATCCACGACAATCTCTGAACATCCTGTGGAGTCAACTCTGTTTGTCTGCAGTGTCTAAATCTGATTCAGTCTTGCTTTTAATGAATTAATCCTGACATACTACGATTCAAAAACCAGCGCTTAAAGACAGCCTGACATCACAAATTGGCAACCCAGGCTTATTGTAAATATGTACCCCCGTATACAATTCTGGAGAGCACAAATTATGTAGCCAGAGCTATGTCTGGCTTCATTAGTTCCTTTTAGAGCTTACCAGGTGACCGTTTACCTCAGTGTAGAGGGCTTTTACACTGTTACCAGTTTGCCGAGTGGCATTACAGTTGACACGCAGAGAGGAGTTGACCGCGACAACGGGGTTGGAGTACACTGAAGAGCAGTTCCAGAAAGCAAGTAAGACAAAAACAGAGGCAAAAAATAAAATAAATAAGTAAATAACAGTGGGAGAACGTGGTAAGATCTGAAAATATGGTAAAAATTAGGCTGCCGCAAGGGCTTTTCTTTTTTCTGGATTGCTTTTAAAAAACACTGTCGTTGGATTTAGGGAAGGTGGTGGGTGGAGGGATCGGTCATGTCAGTTGGTCAGTCAATCAGTTGGTCAGTCAGACGACAGCAGCCTTTGGTGGATTTATGTGAGAATAGCAAGTACAAATGGGACTCGCAAGAGAAATTTGAGATCTTAAAAAGTGTACACAGCTGCCTCTGCAAAAACAAAAACTGCAAAAAAAAGTAGCTCCTGGGACGTATTTGGTGCTCTCCAGAAATATATACAGGGGTACGTATCCATAATGAGCCCAACTTGCTCTCATTTAAATGAATATTTCTGATCAAAATACTTCTTACAGATATATGAATATGTGTTTCTGTAACTTTAACTAACATTTATTAATCCTTCTTGGTTAACAACAATCCTTTAAATTTCTGATTCAATCTAGCCGTCTGCTGATGGATAGAAAGGTATTGTGATACAATTTATTTTCTGTTTTCTGTTGAGATTCATGTAAAAAGAGTTGCATATGTTGTTTTGTGTTGTCTTTAAAGTGCTTATACAGTAGGGCATTCGCTGAAATGCTCATTGGAAAAACCCTGGAGTATTACTGGTATGACTTTTATAATTGTTATGACTTTGAAAAAATTATATTGTCATGGGTGTAACCGTATATGGTTCTTTGACCGATAAAGGGTTAACGCACATTTAATTTTAACTTTGTATCTAAAACTACATCCACCACTACTGTATACTGCATTTAGGGTTAGTTTTATGAACTGGAAGTGTTTGTTTTTACTGGTGCTACTGTCTGTGTTAGTGTTCCTGACACTGTTGAATACAGATAGTTTTTTTTTTGAGCCAATTGGAAAAAGTATTATGTTTTTCTCATTAGAAGCAATTGTGTGGTTCTTTATAGCGCAGCTTCTTGCCTTAAAATCTAAAAACTCTTTGATTTGAAACAAATGTATTAATTTTCCTTTGGCTTAGTTCCTTATTTATCAGAGGTCACTACAGTGGAATAAACCACCAACTATTCCAGCATATGTTTTACGCAGCACATGCCCTTTCAGTACTGGGAAACACCCAGTAACTCTCACATTCACACACACACATACAGATAAACTATAGCCAATTTAGTTTATTCAGTTCACCTATAGACTGGAGAACCCAGAGGAAACCCAAGCCAACACTGGGAGAACATGCAAACTCCACACAGAAATGCCAACTGGCCTAGATGGAACTCAAACCAGCGACCTTCTTGCTGTGAGGCAGCAGTGCTAACAGCTGAGCCACAATGCCGCTCTGAAACAAATTCATCTGTTGGATAATACAGACAATAGTACTAATAATAATACAGTTAAATATTAAAGAACTGCAAATATTATTATTATTTTTATATGTTTTAATAGGTCTTTTTTTTAGTTTGTTGTTGCACTGGTGTTGTCGTTTAAATATTTCTTTACTCTCTTTAAATACAGGACTTTAGTAATAACCAGTACTGTATGTTATTTTGACACTACTATTCATATGCAACGATGACAGTGAATCTATGTAGATATAGAAACACGATAACAGCTAAATCTTACACAGAACCATCACAGAATGATTATGTATGCTTCATATTCTTCAGGTGCATCGATTTTGTTTCTATAAAAGCATTCTGTATTTGTGTGTGGAATATTATTGAATTCTTATTTTCACTGTATGGCACAGAAGTCTGCAGATTTTTCATAATTTGTATCTAAAATGTATTACTTAAATTTCTTTTTAGAAGAAAAACTAATAAATTATCGATTTCTACAAGTCACTTTCATATTTTTTTGTACATTTGGCAGACTCTGAATGTAAAATAAAATAGTTTTAAAAAGCAGATCTGTTTTGATAGATTTACCCAGATAAGCAAAATGTTTAAAAAAAAGAGCCTTAATATCATTTTAATTATGAAAATGTAAAAATTAATTTAATACAATTCCAGACACTGTCAAACTGAAGATTTTTTTGCTCCTAATTTTTATTGATGTTTTAGGAACACATTACAGGTGAATATACAGTATATACACAACACAATATGGGGACTCAAAACAACTCTAAGAGTTCAATTCAACACTTTAAAAACTTGAGCACTCACAACTACAGCTCTGGAGCTGTAGATAGAAACATAGTTCCAGGGTGTGTTCTATTCCCACTCATCCCCCCTATGCCCTATTCATTTAGAACATTTTAACATTCAAAGTTGGAATTATTGAAAATAAAAAAAGCGTCAGGTCATCTCTCTCAGATGTAATTTGCTTTCAGACTAGTTTTACAGTTCAGTTTAGCGATCTTCATGTTTACAGTTGAGCAGTGCACTTAGAAAACACTGATGTCGTTTTGAACACAACCTCATGGCGAAAGCTATAGGTGACCTGTTATTTAAAAGCGGAATTAATGTTACGTCTCCAAAGCTTGTGAAAACAAAAAGCATTCGTTAATTCTTTTAATTTATTGTGGGTTCTTTATTAATTATCTGTACTGTGTATGACATGGGCCAGCCGGTTAGAACTTTCTGCAGGGGTTTACATGTGTTAAATTGTAAAACTAGACTTTTCAAATAAATAACAAATAAATAAACAATAACCTACTTAATTATTACCATCATCAACATTATCATTAATATTATTATTAAAGTATGATTTTTTCATTTCTAATGAATAATAAATATGACATTTCATTTTATAATAAATAGCCTCTATTTATATGATTAATATATGATATTAGAATACGTGTTAGCTTTTGTAAGGAATTTTATGTTTTAGAATAGAATATGTAATGTTCAACTTCTCAATAATATTAGTAAAGCAAACACGGGCCCTATATGTGCCATTTACATATATTTCAGTTAATATGGAAATCGAGTGCATGTTTTTACCAAATCTAATATTGGATTTTCAAATTAAATCCATTTGTGTGTAAAACAATATCATTTGCAGAAAGAAATTATAGGGTTTTTCTCTAAAGAACAAGTAACTCCACCCAGTTTAAAGCATCATTATGGGCATTTTACGTTATAACCAACATGGTTCAAGCAATGGATCTGCGTCAGAGAAACTATGCGTTTTGGGAAATACTCGTCACTGCATCGTTCTTTTCCCAAACGATGCACCGTACTATGATAGTTCAGCCACGAGTTATGTTGTTGTTTTTGAAACGCACCCCTGGCCAGAACATTTAACTACCCAACTTTAGAATCTGGTCATTTGAATAAAAATAAACAAATAAATAAATAAACAATAATAATGAAGAGCTTCACGATTTTTAGAGATTTTTCACTTGTAAAAAAGTTACATTGAAAAATCATGGATAAAAATAACCTGATTAGTGTTCAAATTAACTTTGATATGGGCCGCCTTTGGTGCTTCGGACCTTTTTATTGCTCATTTCTGTTTCATTAATTAGTCGGAGGTTCAGAAGGAAAGTCACTTGTATAATGTTTTCTCTATTTAACAGCAATACAGTAGGTCAGTAGTGAAATATGACGTCACTTTCCGCAGATTGATTCTCTTGCACAGAAGTTTGATTGGTGAAAAATAATTGTTTGCATTGTTTGATTAGCTGAAGAAACAACCGGATTCCACTTGGTCCTAAAGCCTTCTTCGATGGGTTATTTTTTACAATTTATGATGAAATAGCAGTCAAAATAGGACAAATGAGAATATGAATGGGACCCCCCCACCCCCCATGAATTCCCAGATGTTGGAATCACACCACCAAGTGTTGGATACGTAACTCCTTGACTCTGCACTGGATCGAATCAACTTTAAACGCTATATTAATTTATTGAACTATATTCATTTATTAAAAGAAATGCATTTTTGCAGTCTTAACATCCATCTTCAAGTAAATTTATTTGACCGGTCTTCACTTTACTCTGCGTTGTGTTGTGTTTAGGTGAAAGAAACCAGTCATATGGGAGTAAACTGCCTTTTATTCTGCACAAATAAAGCAAACAATTGACACAGCCGAGTCTGTGGCCTTCCTCAAGAGCTCACCAACCTCTCCTCAATCGCGTTTCCCGTGAACTGACATATGAAGTTATAGTGCGTTTAACACACACCAAAAAAAAAAAACAAAAAAAAAAACAAAGATAGAAACATTATACATAAATTCAAAAAACATAACAGAAGCATGAGTAAACACATACCTGCATGAATAAAACAAACAATTGACATAGCTGAGTCTGTGGCCTTCCTCAAGAGCTCACCAACCTTTCAATGAAAGGGACAATCTTCACCACAAAGCCCGCACACTCATGCTTATGAACTCTACCGACATGCTTCATATACATTACACAACCTCTCACACATGTTTAAACAACAATGTAATGCAATTTAGAACATTACACATGTATTTGGGATAAATAACACTTATATGATATGTTTTAACCGGAGCTTCGGTACAACTCAGCTCTTCATTTGCCGCGAACTGAGCGAGAGCAGGCGGGACCGGAAAACGACACTTAAAGGGGCCACGTGCCATTTTCCGAAATACACCAATGCATTGAAAACAAACACAGCAATGATTTTATTAACTCTGAATAATAATATATTTAAAGAACAACTTTGAAAATATGAAATTTAATAAAAATAATTGATGATTACAGGGAGAATTTTGAGTGAAATTAATATATATATAATGTAACACCTGTTACTTTTACATGAATTGAGGTTTTGTTTTTGATTATTAAGGCTTTATGTTTGCTTATTTGTTTAATCATCGTACAGTAGCTACACGATAGTCATCATTTGTCTGTAATCTGCCTCTGCAATCTGATCCTGATGGTTTCCCGAGCAACAGACGTGGCTTTGTTTTAATCATGCATCATTAATGCTGATAGACCCATTGAGCAGGTGAGACACTTTCTCTCTCTCTCTCTGTGTGTGTGTGTGTGTGTTTGCATTATATATTGTATTTGCAAGAACACATCTGATTATGTAGACTGTTTATTTGCTGCTTATTGTTCCATTTAGATGCAACTAATAATTGCATAATTTGAGGATGGAGGAGTGTTTGCATCTGGTCTGCGAGTCTGTCGGTGTTGGTGAGGATGAAGAAGTCGGTGTGGATTTGATCTGTTCACTTTATAAGAGTGTCTTCCTCATCTCTGCCAGTCTGGATGAGATGAAGACAGCCATTTCACAGGTGAACCAAAGCGCTGAATGTTATGAATGAGACGCAAGATCTATCTATCTATCTATCTATCTATCTATCTATCTATCTATCTATCTATCTATCTATCTATCTATCTATCTATCTATCTATCTATCTATCTATCTATCATCCATCCATCCATCCATCCATCCATCCATCCATCCATCTATCATCTATCTATCTATCTATCTATCTATCTATCTATCTATCTATCTATCTATCTATTTATCTATCCAATTCAAGTGTTAAATTACTACTAAAGTAGGGGATAGTAAATGAGGGTATAGGGGGTGATTTGGGATCCAGCCTGAGTGTCTGTTGTGTTCAGGTCAGCGGTCGGAGCGGAGGATCATCATGTTCGGCCAGAGGAGTCCTGCATGTGCTCCTGCTCATAGAGAAACAGAGAGAACACAAACAACAGGTATTTATGATAGCCAACTTAAAGAGATAGTTCAGCCAAAACTGAAAATCCTGTCATCATTTACTCACCCTTCACTTGTTCAAAACCTGTTTGAGTTTCTTTCTTCTGATGAACACAAAAGAAGATAGTTTGAAGAAAGCGGGAAACCTGTAACCATTGACTTCCAGTGTTGTGTTCAGAAGAATTAAAAAAGTCATAAAGATTTGGAATCACTTGAAGATGAGTGAATACTGAGCAGTTATTATTATATTTTTGTGTGAACTATCCCTTAAATTTTTTCTGTATTTCTCATAAACCGTTTATTTTTGTGCATCAAAACAAAAAAAAATGTATAATATCATAAAATCATAATATCATAATGTGTTTTGTATAATATTATATTTGTTTGTTTGTTTGTTTGTTTGTTTGTTTGTTTGTTTGTTTGTTTGTTTGTTTGTTGAGCAGAAAAAAAGACTCATGCATGATTTAAAAGGACATTCAATAAAATGTTTTTTTAATGTTATATTACTAGTTTATACAAAAGATGTTAATGGTCATGCATATTTATAATAATAAATGAATGCCATTTTAAACATTTAATGCCATATTAAAATACATTATTTAAGGATGTGAACCCACAAATCAAACATAAATCTAAATACTTTTTATTTTGCACTGTGCAAATTCACATTTTTAAAATATATTTTTAATATTAGTTATTTGACTAGAGAATTCTGGAGTTGAAAATTATTATTACTTTATTTATTGATTGATTTTATTTATTTATTTTATTTATGTATATATTTTATTTTATCTTATTACTTATTTATTTTATTTATTTATGTATTTTATTTTATTTATATATTTATTTATTTACGTGTTTTATTTCATTTTATGTATTTTTATTTATTTCTTTATTTCTTTATTTATGTATTTTATTTTATCTTATTTATTTTTATTTATATATTTATTTATGTATTTTATTTATTTATGTATTTTATTTCTATATTTATTTGTTTATCTATTTTTGTGTTTTATTTTATCTTATTTTATTTATTAATTTATTTATTTTATTCTTATTTATTTATTTATGTATTTTATTTTATCTTATTTTTTTATTTATGTATTTTATTCTATTTTATCTTATATATATATATATATATATATATATATATATATATATATATATATATATATATATACTTATTTCTGTATTTTTTTTCATGAATATATGTATTTTATTTTATCTTATCTTATTTTATTTTTTTACTTATTTAATTTAATTTAATTTATTAATTTTATTTTATTTATTTATTTATGTGTTTTCTTTTATCTTATTTTATTTTTATTTATTTATTTATTTATTTAATTTTATCTTATCTTTTATTATTTTTTTTCTTGTTTATTTATTTATTTATATATTTTATCTTATTTAATTGAATTTATTTATTTATTTAATTTAATTTAATTTTATTTTATTTTATTTATTGTTTATTTATTTATTAATTTATTTTTTAGCTGCACTGGGAGCTCCAGATGTTGAAGGCTGGTCGAATTAATAATACTCTGAAACAAAACACACAATCATCCACAATCAACTTCAGCTCCATACAACAGGTAAAATCAAGTTACGTTACGTTACATTGCGTTACGTTAAGGTATGGTATACTCATGAACTCAGAATAATTATTTTATTTTATCATTTATACTGTGCTCCGGTTTCCACCACAAGTCCAAAGACATGCTGTATAGGTGAATTTGGGTATGCTAAACTGTCCATAGTGTGTGTGAATGAGAGCATATAAGTGTTTCCCAGTGATGGGTTGCAGCTGAAAGAGCATCCGCTGCGTAAAACATATGCCGGATAAGTTGGCGGTTCAATGGCGGTGGAATGGTGATCATGTTAATCACTTTAGAGAAAGGGTTTTGCATCCTTTGTGATTTTTCATATTGTTTTTCTTCTATAAGCAGGATCCAGAGCAGATCAGTATCTTGTGTCTTCAAAACAGAGCCAGGAGACTTTACACCAGGTAAACACAGACTCTTTCTCATACTCACAGTCTGCTATTGCTTATTATTGACAATAGACAAAATGAGCATCCATTCCTCCTCTTTTATTTTCAGACTCCTTCTTGATGGGGTTTGGAGTGTCCTTCCATCGATTACTCAGAGAAACGCTGGCATAATTCGACCAGGAAAGATTTATCCCAGCATTTCTGAAATCCTGCAACTCCTGGACTACAAATATGACATGATCAGAGAGCGACTGTACAGAGAGATGTTACAGGATGAGTTTGGTAAGTGATAAACAGGCTCATTACAGATACGTACCTGAGTCTACATTTCTGGGCGCAGCGAAATACATAACCGGAGGTTCTTATGTTTGCAGTTTTTGTTTTTGCAAATCCACCAGAGGCTACTGTGTACGCTTTTTAATTATCACAAATTTCTCTTGCATGTTCTCTTCTTGCATAAATCCACCAGAGGGTGCAATATACACTTCAGCTGACCAGGCCAGCTTGCTGTCGACTGACTGACTGAGCGACAATGAATTACACACCCTCTTCCCTAAACCCAACCGATAGTGTTTTCAAAAGCAATCTAGAAAAAGAAAAGGAGTCGCGGCCACTTGATTTCACCATGTTTTCAGGCTGTTGTTTCTTTCTTTCTTTATTTTTGTTTTACCTGGTTTCTGGAATGGCTCTTCTCTGTACTGTAACCCCTTCATCATAATCAACTCAGCCCCGCGTCCCAAGTTCATTGGTGTACATGGCGAGCTACTGGAAAAGATGGTAACACCGGAAAAGCCATCCATATGAAGGTAAGCGGTCTGCTGGTAGTGCTAAAAGGAACAGAAGCTGTTGGCGGCGTCATACCATCCCGTAGTTTTCATTTTAAATAAGAAATGCAGCCAGACGTACCTCTGGCTACATAATTTGTGCTCTCCAGAAATGTAGACAGGGGTACGTATCCACAATGAGCCTGTGTTGCAACATCTCTTTGTATAAACGATGCAGTTTGCAAATGCTTTCTATGGAAGAATACTTCAACTGTAGTTTTTGTACATCATCAAAGGTGTTGTTTGGTGGGACTCGATGTCAGCGTGGGATCAGACAGAAAGTGTTTGTGAACTGGGAGCGTCTGCAGAGCAGGCTTTCAGACACAGAGACTGGCTTCAGGTGTGCGAGCTACCCGGGGCCCTCCGGTGCTACAGGTACGACAAGTTCTTTGTGCATTTGTAAGTGGGTCAAAGAAGAGACCTTATTAATCTTTAAATGTCACTTTAATAATAATAATAATAATAATAAATGTTATTTGTATAGCACTTTCCCAACATACATGCAAGTCAAAGTGCCTCACAAACAACAACAAAAAAGCATTCATTGACTGACGTGATGTATTCGGGAGCGCTGATTCATTTAGTAATGAAATGGATGACTCTTTATGAGTGGAGTGGGTCTTTATATGAATAATTCATTGAATCCTTGATTGACGTGATTTGTTTGGGAGTGCTGATTCATTTAGAAATTCTACAAGTGAGTCTTTTTATGAATGATTCACTGAATCATTGACTGATGTGTTTTGTTTGGGAGTGCTGATTCATTTAGAAATTATACAAGTGAGTCTCTTTATAAATGATTCATTGACTCATTGACTGGCGTAATTTGTTCGGGAGCGTTGACTCATTTAGTTATGAAATGGATGACTCTTTATGAGTAGATTGTTAAAATTATTGACTCAAATGATTTGTTCAGGAGTGCTGATTCTTTTAGAAATGAAACAAGTGACTTTATGAATGGATCATTGAATCACTGACTTAAATGATTTTTCAGAAGCACTGATTCATTTAGAAATTATACAAGTGAGTCTTTATGAATGATTCACTGAATAATTGACCGATGTGTTTTGTTTGGGAATGCTGATTCGTTTAGAAATTATACAAGTGAGTCTTTATGAATGATTCATTGAATCATTGACTGACATAATTTGTGTGGGAATGCTGATTCATTTTGAAATTATACAAGTGAGTCTCTTTATAAATGATTCATTGACTCATTGACTGACGTAATTTGTTCGGGAGCGTTGACTCAGTTAGTAATGAAATGGATGACTCTTTATGAGTAGATTGTTAGAATTATTGACTCAAATGATTTGTTCAGGAGTGCTGATTCTTTTAGAAATGAAACAAGTGACTTTATGAATGGATCGTTGAATCACTGACTTAAATGATTTTTCAGAAGCACTGATTCATTTAGAAATTATACAAGTGAGTCTTTATGAATGATTCACTGAATCATTGACCGATGTGTTTTGTTTGGAAATGCTGATTCGTTTAGAAATTATACAAGTGAGTCTTTAGGAATGATTCATTGAATCATTGACTGACATAATTTGTTTGGGAGTGCTGATTCGTTTAGAAATTATACAAGTGAGTCTCTTTTTGAATGATTCATTGACTCATTATAGACCACATAAACTTGTCGCATATACACAGATAAAAGCATTCATGTACACAAAATATAAGCATATATAAGCACACAATAGTCCTTACATATGCAAGCCCACACCATACATACACACATAAACCTACAACAATATAGATAAAATGCAAACACCTTAAAAGCTTGTGTATTCATACGCAATTTTAAAAAGATGTGTCTTGACACGCTTTTTAAAAACATGAATACTAGGGGATTCTTTCACTTCAAGAGGAAGACAGTTCCAAATTTTTGGAGTATAATGGCTAAAAGCTTAAGCAGAAAACAGGTATCTTAAAAATATCTAGTCAAATATTATGTACTGTCATCATGGCAAAGAATAAATAAATCAGTTATTAGAGATGAGTTATTAAAACTATTATGTTTACAAATGTGTTGAAAAAATCTTTTCTTTGTAAACAGAAATTGGGAAAACTATAAACACAGGAGCTGATAATTCATGTGAATTCAATAATTCATTTGTATTTGATGATTGTAGGAGCTGTGGTTCTGTGGTCCTGCGAGGCTGTCCTGAGAGTGTTAAACCCAGAGGTCAGGCTTGGTCATCCAAACCGAGGGAACAGGCCTGGTCTGCTGTCATCATCCTGTCAGAGCTGGAGTCACATTATCAAGATGAGAAGGAATCCATCAGTGCACTTATGAACAGGTCTTTCTCTCTTATTCATTGTTTGATCAATGCTATTTTGAACTAATATTTGCATTTTAAAATACTGATATTGTTCATTTCAATTTAATTCAAGTTTCATCGTATAGCGATTTTCACAATAATGACTTTTTTTCAAAGCAGCTTTACGAAAGGTTCACATTATTGCATTGCAATCAAATTCAGAATAGCCAAGGTTATTTCGAACACAAGTGTTACGTATTTCTAACTAAATTACTAAATGTGTGCGTAATATATTTAAAACACAAAAGTGACCGCAGGTTTTTAAATAGTGAATAATCTAAATGGTTCCTATCATTACAGTTTTATATTTTTAAACTAGTTTTTATTTCGATACTATTTTTAAATTTGTTGTTCATTTGGGTTTAGTGGTGACGTAGTTGCGCAGTAGGTAGTGCTGTCGCCTCACAGCAAGAAGGTCGCTGGGTTGCTGGTTCGAGCCTCGGCTCAGTTGGTGTTTCTGTGTGAAGTTTGCATGTTCTCCCTGCGTTCGCGTGGGTTTCCTCTAGGTGCTCCGGTTTCCCCCACAGTCCAAAGACATGCGGTACAGGTGAATTGGGTTGGCTGAATTGTACGTAGTGTATGAGTGTGTGAGAATGAGTGTGTGTGGATGTTTCCCAGGGATGGGTTGCGGCTGGAAGGGTATCCACTGTGTAAAAACTTGCTGGATAAGGTGGCGGTTCATTCCGCTGTGGTGACCCCGGGCTAATAAAGGGACTCAGCCGACAAGAAAATGAATGAATGGATTTGGGTTTAGTTTAATGTCATTACATTATTGATTTTCTTTTTTTAGTTTAGCTTTTATTTTGTGAACACAGTTCTGTTTATTTTTTAAACATTTAGTTTCAGTTTTAGCCATTCTAGTTTAGCAGAGTAAACAGAACATCTTTTTGTTGAGTTCAGCATTTAGTTTACTGTTTGCACATCTTACATCAACTCTTGTAAAAGCCTACTGGTGATGAAAATAAAACAATTGTTTGAATATAACACTGACCCCAAAACCACACAAATGCAATGAATAAAAGTCCAAAAATAAAGAATTCAGACAAACTTCTTCATATTTTTGCTGAAAGTCCATGCTTTTATCACGTCTCGCTTGGATTTTTGCAATTCTCTGTTTTGAGGGTTACCAGGTAATTCTCTCAAGATTTTGCAATACATCCAAAATTCAGCTGCACGTGTGTTGACAAATAAATCGTCTCGATCTCACATCACTCCTATACTCCAATAGCTTCACTGGCTGCCCGTCAAGTCTCGTATTGATTTTAAGACATTGATTTTAAGAGGTTCATGGTTCGCTCCAGGTTACATTTGTGACTGTGGAATGCTCTTCCCACTAACATTAAGAATGCTGGTTCATTGGACGCTTTTAAAAAGCTACTTAAAACTCATCTTTTTATCTTTTTAATTTGTGATATCTTTAATTCTTACTGTGTTCTTTACTGTATTTGTTTATTGTTTTACTGTGCTTTGTTGTTTTTACCTTCTTTTAAGCGCTTTAGGTTTTAGAAAAGCATGTTATAAATGCAATATATTATTATTATATATTTTGGATCATACTGTACATGTACTGTAGTTAAATGTAACCACACTGATTCTACGCCACCCAACCTGCTACGAGCTGGTATCAAACCGGCGACTTTCCGCATGGGAGTTGGTTGCTCTACCAAGGAAGCTAAAGTCCATGGCCTCTAGTGTTTGTCGCTAGAAGTCAGAGGAGTGAGATTTACCTGCACAGCACTTATACTTGCTGGCCTCTGTTACGTAAACATGAAAACACTATTAAAATGTGTCATGAATTTTCACCGGAATTTTTTCACTTGAGTTGAACATATTAAACACAATTGATGCGATATGCATATGTACAGTACATTTATGCTATGCATAGCTATATGTGTATGCTATATGCACAGAGACCTTTAATTTTGAATCAACTAGCTCAGGAGCTTCCAGTGAACTGTCATGCCATTATAAAAACACCGCATTTAAGATTTGTTTTTGTTTAAAATCATTGATCTTTAATGGTGGCAGAAGTAGTGAATGTGATTTGTTGCTCCTGCAGAGCGGGTCCTGAAGCACTGCATCTGATATATCTCAGTATGTGTGTCTCTGTACGGAGAGCTGAGAGAGAAGATCAGTCCCACACAGCAATGCTGACCGCCAGACAACACTGGGAAAGATGGTGAGTATCCGCTTATCTGGAAGAGCACATACACTTGAAACCAGGCCATAACCATTTTTTTAATGTCTGATGGTAGATCATACTAAACGTGTACTATTTTAGGTCTGTTAGGATTACCTAAATGATTTACATTTGCTAAATGCTAGAATATTGAGCGATTTATTTTTTTGGAGGTTTTTTTTTTACTAATTTCTAGACAGTCAAAAGTTTACATACATTTCCTTGCTATTTTTTTAGCTTTGCTTTTAAACTGTAGAACTTTGGTCAAATGTTTTGTCCTTCCACAAGCTGCTCACAATAGTTGGAAGGAATTTTGGCCCATTCCTCCTGACAGAATTGGTGTAACTGAGTCAGATTTGTAGGCTGTCTTGCTCACACAACCTTTTTCAACACTGCACACAGATTTTTTTAGGATTGAGCTCAGGGCTTTGTGATGGCCACTCCAAAACATTCACTCTGTTGTCCTTAAAGCACATTTTAAGCTTAATTTGGCAGCATGCTTAGGGTCATTGTCTGGTTGGAAGACCCGTTTGTGGCCAAGTTTTAATTTTCTGGCTGATGTTGCTTCAGTATTTCTACATAATGTTCTTTCTTCATGATGCCATCTATGCTGTGAAGTGGACCAGTCCCTCCTGCAGCAAAACAGCCCCACAACATAATGCTGCCGTCCCCATACTTTACATTTGGGATGGTGTTTCTAGGCTTGTAAGCTTTTACCCTTTGTCCTCCAAATGTAACACTGGTCATTACGGCCAAACAGTTCAATCTTAGTTCCATCAGACCACAGGACATGTCTCCAAAAATGATTATTTTTCCCAGTGTAATTCAGCTAATTGTAATCGGGCTTTTTTGTTGATTCTGGCTTGTTGATTTTCTCATGTTGTCACAAGGAAGCAGTGTGTTTGAGGTTTTCCTTAAATACTACTCTACAGTTGTGCCTCCAATTAACTCAAATGTTTTCAATTAGCCAATCAGAATCTTCCAAAACCTTAACACCATCATCTGAGCCTTTTCAGAGGCATAATAATTTTATTGTACGTAAACTTTACTTTCAAGAAAAGTTAAAACAATTTCTCTAAAAATATCATAACAGAAACGTGATAATCCTAACTGACCTAAAAGAGAAAAAGTTTAGTCGCATTAGCATCTGGCTTTTTAAAAATGGTTATGTGCCTTTTTATACAGTGTGTGTAAACTTCTGCTTTCAACTGTGTATGTATAAACACTGCATGCTTACACATATACATACTAGGGGTATGCAATATTTCTTCTCAGTTATTTTATCAAAATTATTGCTTTAACAATGTGCGAGCTAAATCAAAACACTTCACAGAAAAAAATATCCATACAACATGTCCAAACTAAGCCACCACCTACTGGTGGTTTTAGTGTCTTTATCGTTTATTTATCCAAAATATAATTTAATAATGTGATCAATAAACTCCAAAAAAATTTTCACGTATACAATGTTTATCAATACTGTGCACCTCTACTTTAACCCCAGTGCATGCAAACTTGAAGGAAAACCTTCTCTGTGTGCTTTAGGCCTTATATGCGAAGTTCAGTCAGTCAGGACCTCGCTACAATCTGGCTTCAGGAAAATCTGGAGCCCACAGCTCAAAAACAGCAGGGATTGCAAACGGGAGCTTGCACACAACAGGTACTGCGTGCATTTATATACGATGCAATATACCATATTCACTGCCTGAAAGTCCTCCAGATTCCTATTTTTGCATTTTTATGTTGTGATATTTGCTCAAAATTGAATAAAATGAATGTGCTGGGCAATCTGTATATGTAAAATATATATATACTCAAATTCATGCATATATTTCAATTTGAGAAACTTTAATTTTTATTTGGATATAAAATATATGCAAACGATTCATTCATTCATTCATTTTCTTATCAGCTTAGTCCCTTTATTAATCCAGGGTCGCCACAGCGGAATGAACCGCCAACTTATCCAGCAAGTTTTTACGCAGAAGATGCCCTTCCAGCCACAATCCATCTCTGGGAAACATCCACACACACATTCACACACACACTCATACACTACAGACAATTTAGCCTACCCAATTCACCTGTACAACATGTTTTTGGACTGTGGGGGAAACCAGAGCAGCCGGAGGAAACCCACGCGAAGGCAGGGAGAACATGCAAACTCCACACAGAAACGCCAACTGAGCCGAGGTTCGAACCAGCGACCCAGCGACCTTCTTGCTGTGAGGCGACAGCATTACCTACTGCGCCACTGCCTCGCCCATATTTGCAAACGATTATATATAAATTTACATAATCTATACATAATACACACATATCTAAATAAACTTTTATTTTGGATGTGTTTAATCACGATTAATCTTTTCCAACACAAATCATTCTTGTGCTCCAGAGAATGAGGGAAACTGTAGGGAAACCAATCAGAAATTGTTTATTAGTATAATAATAAATACCTACATTTCTTTAGATTGAGATTGGGGATTTCCTATTCAGCAAAGATGCATAAAGGGAACTGTATGTGCAATGATTTATTTATCTGTTATTAATGTTTATTTTCGTACTCATCAGGCTTTGCTGCAGCTGTTGGTTCTGTGTCAGGAGCAGGAAAGGAAACGATTGGTGGAGATTTTGCACAGGGTTTCTCTGAGTGACCTCCAAGGGCTCCGAAACACGCCTGAAAACAACGGTTAATCAACTACATATGATTACACAAATCATTAAAGGGACGTTTCATCCAAAAATGATCGCTCGGACATCATTTAATCACCTATTTCCTAAGACATTTTGTGATGGAATTTTAGGCTTAAAGGGATAGTTCACACAAAAAATGGAAATCTACTTATATTCGTATATTCACCCTCAAGTGGTTCCACACATTTAGAAGTTTCTTTTTTATGTTGAAGATATTTTGAAGAATGTTGGAAATTGGTATCCATTAATTTCCATAGTAGAAAAAAAATAGTATGGAAGTCACGTGCTACCGGTTTTCAACATTCTTTAAAATATCTTCTTTCGTGCTCAACATAAGAAACTGGAATTTAGGGGGGAGGGAGACGTTTAAACCCCAAAGTCTCTCTTATTTATTGACCTTTTGATCTGTGAATGTCAGTTTTAGATGTATTTATTGCTGAATATTGTATTCTTCTATATCTGGCTTATTATAGTTAAAGCCAAATTGTTACTTGAAAAAAGGTTTATTTTATATGCAAGTATATTTACTTAATTTCTGAAAGTAGGTTTCAGATAATAACACTATTCATTTAGTTTAGAATCATATATAGTGGAGAAAATAAGCATTGAACACGTCATGTTTATTCCTGGGAATAATATTTCTGTAAGAGCTGTTGACATGGAATTTAAAAAGATTTTAGTAAAAACCCAAAAAATACAAACATAAAAACAAAACCAAACTGTCTGAAAAATGAGTCTGTGTAACAATGCAACTACACACAGAGAAAATACTACTGAAATGTATTTAATACTTCATATAAAAGGCTTTATTAGTGATGGCAGCTTAAAGACGCCTCTCATATGGAGAATGAAGTCACATGCGTTGCTCAGGTGTGAGTTTTTCACAGAATTCAACAGAGTCTTGATGGTTCTGTGGGTCTCGTCTATCAAATCTGAGCTTTATTTTGTATATTATATTGGATTCAGGTCAGGTGATCGGCTGGGCCGTTCTACAGTTTGATTTACTTTCTCTGAAAGCATTTGAGAGTTTCTTTGACTGTGTTTTGGATCATTGTCTTGTTGAAATGTCCACCCTGGTTTTATATTCATCCTCCTGCTAATGTGTATGTTGGACTGAAGCAGCTGATATTCATTTACACTGGTGAAGGGCAGAGGGTTGCTGAAGATCTACTGAGATATTTCAGTTGCTGTCTGGGCTTTCACTGCCTTTCTACAGCAGGGCTCAACAATAAGGACTGTCCGGTGGCCCAGGGCCAGCGTGAGAGACACTTGGGACAGTAGACCGGATCATTACTGGCCCGGTTGGGACAGTGCTGCCTTGTCACTAACATTTAATTTGTCTGTGACTATTTGTCAATTGCATGTATTTTAAGTTAGTGCTTTTAAATCTTTAAATGCTACCTTCTCTGTAATGTCGTTAACAACATATTGCTTTCTGATTCGTCTTATCTGATTGATTTGACCATGCTATTTTTTTTTTTTTTTGTAACCTGGTAACAACCAGTAAAGCGTAGAAACAGCAACATGGCGGCAACATCAAATTAAAAGGCTAAACGAAAATGTCTGTCTCTAACGTGTTGGAAGTTGACATTTACATGGAAACAACCAGACAAAAAATAATGAAGTGATGTTATGCATGGTTTGCCGTCAGTTTGACAAGTCAGCCACCTTTTTAAAAATAATTTCAAACTGCAATAAAATGCCTCCCCATTTTCCATACTGCTCTTTTTGTTTGCATAACACTTATATTTACAATTGTTTTTTAAGTATTGAAATTCTAGATTTACAGACTTTATTTTTGACACATTGTTTAAAATATGTGGTTAAAAATAGCTATTAACTTCTTCTTTTTTTTGGTGGGGCCAGTGAAAATTTTGGCAGGGCAAGTAAAAATCTAAACCACTTGCCCGATCGGACCAGTAGAAAAAATCCTTAGCGTTGAACCCTGTACACCTCCCTTTCTTCATGTGTTCAATACTTTTTCCCTGCGTCATTACACAGAACTTCATTTGTAATCTAATTAGTTTTGTTTTCTTTGCGAATATGAATTTCTTTTTAGTTGTTACCAACATCCAGGTAAAATTTCAAGTCAACAGCACCTTTAGAAATATGTTTTCTGAGAAAAATGGTGACGTGTTCAATACTTATTTCCTCCGCTATATTACAAACATAATAAAATAAATGTTATGAAGCTCATCCAGGTTTGGGTGAAATCTCCCCTTCAGCACATCAGCAGTAAAATACACCTCTCTGGTTTTGATTAACTCTGTGCATGTGTGTGTGTGTTTAAGCTGTGCCGCATGGAAACGCAGTGGACCAGAGCTGTGTTTCCAGCCTGCAGCAAATTAAATCCTCCCTACAGGAAGCTCATGGTTCTCCTAGCGGACCCTTCGCCCCAGGGTGTTCTGGGATTGATGTGTCATGGGGCGACTGTGCCATTCATTTGCTGAACCAGCTGACACAAGCACATGAAGACGAGGCCTGGACTGTCCTATACTCTCTTCCAGATTTGGTAAATCTCTCACACACAGGTTTATTATATTATATACATATTACTATATTGTCATTAAAATGGTGGTTAGTGGTTAGCACTGTCGCCTCACAGCAAGAAGCTCGCTGGTTTGAGTCCCGGCTGGACCAGTTGGCATTTCTGTGTGGAGTTTGCATGTTGTCCCCAAGTTGGTGTAGGTTTCTTTCGGATGCTTCGGTTTCCCCCACAAACACATGCGCTCGGTGAATTGAATAAGCTAAATTGGCCCTAGTGTATGAGTGTGTAAGTGTGTATGGGTGTTTTCCAGTACCAGGTTGCAGCTGGAAGGGCATCTGCTGAGTAAAACAAATGCCAGAAAAGTTGGCGGTTTATTCCGCAGTTGCGACCCCTGATAAATAAGGAAGTAAGCAGAAGGAAAATGAATGAATGAATGGATTTAGCAATGTTTTAATATTCTGAATGTGTTGTGACAGCGAGCAGAGCGGGCGATGTTTATTTAGTGAATGTGAATAAGTGTCTGTTTGTCTTCTCAGGATGCTGAGGGTCTTTGGACTTTACTCCACAAGTATGAGCGTGAGCTTCACAGACCCAGCTTCCACAACCTGAATGAGGTTCTACAGTCACGTGACCCAGCACACGTCAACAGAGACGCCAGCGCAGTCAACGCTAACACCGTAATGACAAACTAAAATACAGCTACACAATGCTCTGCACTGACACCTGTAACAACCTGTATAACCTTAATGTACAGTTGAAGTCAGAGTTATCAGCCCCCCTGTATATTCTTCCCCAATTTTTGGTCAACACATTTCTAAACATAATAGTTTTATTAACTGATTTCTTTCTAATAACTGATAACCATGATGACAGTGCATAATATCTTACTAGATATTTTTCAAGACGCTAGTATTCAGCTTAAAGTGACATTGAAAGGCTTAACTAGGTTAAGTTAGGGTAATTAGACGGTCATTGTAACCATATATTGCATAAGGTGGTTATTAATATTGACCTTAAAATGTTTTTAACAAATTAAAAACTGCTTTTATTCTAGCTGAAATAAAACAAATAAGCCTTTCTCCAGAAGAAAAAATATTATCAGACATACTGTGAGAAATTCCTTGCTCTTTTAAACATCATTTCGGCTTCAGCTGTACATTTCATAACTGTCCATTTTGGACTTTTATTAATACAAATTTTCAGTCATAACCATATTTATGTCTGCAGAACCATATTGCATGGGTGTATGATATTTATCATTTACAAATATATTGTAATTTTTGTTTTAAGGATGTAAACGTTGACATAACAGAGTAAATTACACAGTAAAAAGCATTTACTGTGTGCTAAAGCCTAAGCAGAAAGACAACATAAATCAAGATGTGAAACATAAAACAGCCGTATGTCCTCATCTTTATTAGGAGAGAGAGAGAGCTGCACAGAGAGGAGAAGAGCCGACAGAGGGTGAAAAACAAGAGGTCTGCACTGGTAAATGACGCACATTGATTTCATGCACTTTTCATATAGTTTCTTTTTCAAATTTTTCACAAATGATGGTTAACGAGTTTTTCTTGCAGTATTTCCTATACTATTTTTCCTCTGGAAAATGTTTGATTGTTTTATTTCGGCTATAATAGAAGCAGTTTTAAATGTTTTTTTTATTTTAATTTTTCATTTTTAACTCCAACCAATCAGATGATTTCTAAGCCACTATAAATACTCTCAGTTCCATATAACAGCCATCTTTGTTTTGAAGAATCCCCCCTTCCACCCCTACTCCTCCTTCATTACTTACAGTTTTTCTCGATTGCTTGGATGCAGTTGTCAACTGAAACTCCACATTTTCAAAACAGTTAACACACAGGCCTAAACAGCGGCACTCATGGTCAAAATGACACATTTTGCTTGCAAAAGGCACATATCGTGTCAAAACATTTAACTATAACAGCCTTCCATTGCTGTTATCACCAGAAATGGGGGTGAGCACGTATTTCACGCGTGCAATCAGAGTCCATGCGTGCAATCAGTGTCCATGCATGCTAAAGTTGTTTTTAAGCAGAATGTCTTTATTTGTGTGGGTGAATTAAACAAAGCCTCAATCTTTGCTTCTCCTTTCTTCTTTATCATGTCAATATAACATTCACTCCATGTATACACAGCACATATCTAAACACTGCTGTTTTCTGGCTAGCAAACAAGTTACTCTGTAGCACGGTCAAAAACCGTGTGCTTTCCCATACCTGACGCTCTTCCTCGCTTACACAGGCACCTCAGTTATAGTTTTCAGTTAGTGACACCTAGTGGACAACATAAATCACTACAACACAAAAAATGGCTCCTACATAACATATGCAACAAAAGCTAGTTTTACCTTCAAACTACACAACTTGCAAACAAGTATATGAGCTCTTTCAATTAATCATTACACAATGGACAACAAAATACAAAATACAGAACTCAAAATTACAGAACCACCATTGCTTGCCATTGTAGCTTATAGCCAATGGCATTTGTTGTCTCTATTTGGGCTGTCAAATTCGCCTTTTTGCAAAGAATTGGATCAAGAATAAGATGTGCTTTGATTGAATATATATATTGAATTCATGACATTTTTCAAACTGTGGATGAAAACTGAAATACTGTATATAAAAAAAACAGACAAAAGTAATAAAATACTGTAAATATTAGAGAAAACACATGTAAACTAATATACAGTCAAAACTATTGGGAGTATAGGACATAGCCATATTGACCTCCTCCATCAATGCTGGCACAGAACAACACAGACCTTCCATCGTTTTTATAACGTTTGCAGACTGATTGCTAATTGAAGATTTGTGTGAAGGAGTGTCAAACCGGTGCTTCAGTGATTTCATACTGATGTTGGTAGTTTTTAATAGTTAGGAATAGATGGTTTCTGTTTGGTTACCAAAATTAAACAATGGAGTTTGGACTGCTTGAATGACATCTGTGTTAACTGTTTGGAAAAATGGTGGGGAAAATGTGTCAACCCAATGAGAAAGGGTTTACACATTTGCAAGACCTGTCCTCTGCTCTGCTGGGATAGTGATAATGAAAATGAAGAGGAACCTAGTTTCTTTAACCAGGTCAAAGCAAACTAGAAAAACTGTAATAGGTGGCACGGTGGCCCAGTGGTTAGCACTGTTGCCTCACTGCAAAAATGCCACTGTTCTAGTCCTTACCAAGCCAGTCTACGCTTCTGTGCGGATTTTACATGTTCTCCCCGTGCTCACGTGGGTTTCCCCTGGGTTCCTTGGTTTCCTCCCACCATCCAAAAACATGCAACTTAAGTAAATTGACTAATTCAAATCAGCACCATAGACATGCTCCTAGTAAGTAGTTATCTCTTAGGAGTAATCATCTGTTGTAGCTACTACAGCAGGGGAATTCTCGAGATCTACCTGAGCTCAAACTCCCCTCTTCCTTTGCAAACTGTAAAGTGAGCCCCGGGCTCGAGGATCTTATGAACTCAGGGCTCTCTTCCGGGACAGCATGCCAAACAAGCTTTATAATCAATCATCAGCTAAGTGTTGAAACAAGATATTCTGAAGAATGTTGGGTAATAAAGCAATAAAAGTCAATGGCTGTTTCTTCAGTGTATCTTTCAGCAGTATGAAGAAACTCAATCAGGTTTATAACAAGTGGAGGATTAATTAAGAATGACAAAGTTGACATTTTTAGTTGAAGTTTCCCTTTAAACATATAGCACTTATAAATATATATACAATGCATTTATTGTGTATTTTTATGACTGAAGGTTGCGGCATGGCTTTAGATCCAGAAGACACTCCATATTTAGAGATCCTCTGTGTCCGAGATCCACGAGATGAAGACATGATGGAGAGGAGAGACGGAGACAGAGAGAGAACAGGAGAGCAGGAGGAAATTTCAGTGGAGAAGCAAAACTCTCTGATCACACTGGCCTGGAGCAAACCAACACACACCGACAGTCACTTTCAGGTACACACACACACACACACACACACACACACACACACACACACACACATACACACATGCATCCTTTCTGTATTAAATTCCCCCTGAAGTCAGCATGAAATCAAATGTTGCTCTTCTTAAACTTTTATTGGAGGAAAGTTTACTCGCATGTGACTTGTTTTAACTCTTTTGGTCTGTTTAGAAACTTCAACCAAGAACAAAAAGCAACATTGTAACAATTTTAATCCCTGTTTTGTAACAAAACAATCGATCTATACAGTGTAATAAAATGCCCGTAGTTTTCAGGGTAAAAGATTGTAACTTGTAACTTAATTATAAAACATGAAATTCCAGTTGAATTAACAGTTAAATTCTGTTAATATAAATACAAAAAACTTGATATTTTTTACGTTATTGTTTTGCTAAAATTACATTATTTTATCGTAACAACCCTTAAAACCATTGAAAATTCAAAGAAACACTAAAAAGTAGCCACTGTTTATTTATTTATTTATTTTATTTATTTTTTTAACAGATGCACTGTATACTGTTATAATGTTGTTTTTTTAAATAGTAAATCACAACGATATGGTCTACCGTAATATGTGTGTATTTATATGGACGTGTGCCATTTTAGGCTTGCATTAGTCTATTTCTAAAATTTAAATGCATGATTATAATTTTTTGGTAATATTTAGATTTTTATTATTATTATAACTATTACTACTACTACTATTATTATTATTATTATTATTATTGTAAAGGGATCCTTCAGATTTAGACAGGATCTAACTGGAAGTGTTTTCAAATGCTCAGTTGTTACTGATTGAAGAAATGAACTAGTGTCATGAAATTGTATTCAAAATTTATATTTAATTTAATTTGTGATGTTTCAAAGGTACTGACTTCATTTTAGTCTGCTGGTCATAATAATTGTACATGTTGCATTCTCTTAATGTTATGTGCAACAGTATATATTTATCTGTCTTTATTTTAATGACTTTTACAGTTCCCTTAATTAAACCGTAAACTGAAAAACATCTCAACCACAGCTGCCAGTTTTTTTACCGTAAATTTTACAGGATTTTTATTTATAGAGAAGGTGTGAAAGCACCCTAAGTTAACAATGTTTCTTCTTAAAATTATTATTGTTGTTGTTTTTTGTCAGTTCTAAGTTATTTTAAGTCATTTAACCTTAAAAAACACCTTAAAACGGACTCATCATGAGGGTAATTGAATTCAAAATAAATATTTAATGCTATTACTACATATTTAATTACTTTTACTATTATATTTAATGAAATACTATTAATGCAACAATAATTACTGTGTATTAATAGTAACACCCAAAACACTTTAATTTTGGTTTCAGGGGGACTTTAAAGGGATTGCTTACCCAACAATTCTAACTTTTAATCCAAACCTGTATTCTTTTTATACAGGCAAATGATGACAGACTTTTAATTTTGGGTGGTTTGTCTATTAAATCAGCACATTGATTTATACATAGACCTATTTGATTGTGTAGGAAGGCAGCTCGGCTGGACAGGAAGAAGAAGTGGACTCTGTCACAGTGCAGGAGGAAAAACCTGAAAACACAGTACCTGTACCTGAGACTAATCCCTCAGATGTGAACATTTACACACACCAGGAGAACACGAGCAGCATCTCGGTGCAGCAATGCGAACACTATGAACAAACACATTCAGATCACACTGACTGTGTGGAGGGAGAAACCCTGGAGGATTCAGGCATCATCATGGTGAGATTATTTATTCAGATGACTTCCTGATTATTTTAAGCTGATCCACAACAAAAAGTGTCTTTTGCATAATATCTGTAATGTGTAATTTGTGAAATTATAAATGTTGGATAACAGGATCTCAACCTTTTTTCTTTGGCTTAAACCATGTGATATAAACTATATATGAATATTTTTACGTAAAATTAGATGAATTTTTTTTTAAAGTTTTTTAAAATCTATCTATTTGTCGTATTTCTAAATTGACTTAATGCTTAATATTTTATTATTTTATTCATGACAATAAAATAACCCCACTAGTGTTCCACCAGTGACGATATACAGCCATATTGCACTGCTACGAGTGTGATATTGCGTTTGTACAACAGTTCGACAGCATAATCATGTATATGAAAAAGTCTTAAATTCCTTTTATAAGAGGAACTACTTTCTTCCACCATTCATTCACATCTGCAGCTGATGTCAGAACAGCAGAAACCGTTGCTCATTCACCGACGTCACTTTAGAGCTAGTCTTTGAATGATTCTCTAGCGTAATGTCTAAAGGGATGACAAAACTGCTGATTTTACTGACATTTTAAGATTTCCCAGTATTTCTCTGTTGAAAATGTGAGATCACAATATTACTACACTCTAAAAAATGTTGAGTTATTTATTTAACCCAATGGTTGGATTATACATATTTGGTGCTTTGCTGTTGTTTTTTTTAAACCTTTATTTTGTTTTGTTAATTACTCAACCAGTTGAGTTAAATATTTGGTGCTTTGTTGGATTATTTTGAACCTTTATTTGGTTATTTATTTAATAACTCGACCAGTTGGGTTAAATTTTATAATTTCAGCAGTCAATTGATTTAACTGACACAAAGCAGCTGTGTTAATATGCGTGAGTAATTAATAGACCCTAAATTAATAAGTAAATTAAAGATTAGATTTAGTTTAATTTTGTCCATCACAATAAAATAAACCCCCTAAAATTCTCATTAGGAAGTTAGGAGCTGCGTGTGTAAATAAATAAATACACAAATACATTAATAGTTATTTTAATAATTAATAATATTGTAATAATTTTATAATCATAAAAAACTTAAAGCTAGAACCTAAATTAAAATGTAATTAAAAATCAATATTGAGTGTTTCCCTCAGAATTCTGTTTCTTGCCAATCATATAAACTATTTATGAATGTTTAGAATTAAAATATCATAATTTGTATGTATTTTTGTAATTCATTTATTTGTATTTTTTCTAAATCGTCAAAGGTTAGAAAAATACACATGAATTAAATTAAGTTTAATTTAATTTAATAAAATATTGTCCCTCTCAATAAAACAAACTCCCCTAAAAAGTTAGGAGCTGCGTGTGTAAAAAAAAAAAAAAAGATAAATAAATACATTAATATTTAGTTATAATTTTACAATGCCTTTCACAAAGCCAAGGCTTAAAGATAAAGCCTAAATTAATAAGTAAATTAAAAATAAATGTAAAACCACTTTTACTTTTTTATGTTACTTTGTCTTTCACTTACACCAATCAGAGCACGTCCACTGAAAATAATTAAAAACACACCAAATACTCTGATTGTTTTATTCAGGCTGATCAGCAGCAGGACTTCAGAGATGGATATTTTCCCCTCAAGCCTCTCACTGACATCCATCAGCCCGACTCAACAGCAAACACTGACACAACAGACACAAACACACACACACCACCAGCAGCAGCAGCACATGTGTGTTCCTCAGACAGTGACACCACACACACACTGGAGATCCCTGAAGATCAGCAGATGCAGAGAGAGGAGACCATGAGATGTTTGGTGGACATCCAGAGGAGAGCAGAGCGACGCTGGCAACGAGACCGAGACCGACAACTGCTCAGGGTGAGAAATGCAGAACATCACACCCAACAACTGCTCTGTCCGATGTGGTTTATGGATGCTGGAAAAATTATGCTTTGCTAAATGATAGTTATTATATGCAAATGAGATAACTCTATATGTTTAGTTGACCTAATGACATCTACAAATAACAGTAATTGGGGCTGGGTTATATGACAAAAATCTCATGTCACCAAATAAGTAATCTCAAACCCTGATAACGATATACAGTTGGAGTCAGAATTATTAACCCCCCTGTTTACTTTTTCCCCCCAATTTCTGTTTAACGTAAAGAAGATTTTTTTCAACATTTCTAAACATCATAGTTTTAATAACTCATTTCTAATAACTGATTTATTTTATCTTTGCCATGATGACAGTAAATAATATTTAACTAGATATTTTTCCAAGACACTAGTATTCAGCTTAAAGTGAGACTTAAAGGCCTTACTAGGTTAATTAGGTTGACTAGGCAGGTTAGGGTAATTAGGCAAGTCATTGTATAACGAAGGTTTGTTCTGTAGACTATCGAATAAAAATATATAGCTTAAAGGGGCTAATATTATTGACATTAAAATGGCCTTTAAAAAAAAATTAAAAACTGTTTTTATTCTAGCCAAAATAAAACAAATAAGACTTTCTCCAAAAGAAAAAATATTATCAGGCATACTGTGAATATTTCCTTGCTCTGTTAAACATCATTTGGGAAATATTTATAAAAATTAAATTAAAGGGGGGCGAATAATTCTGACTTCAGCTGTATATAATGATATAGTACTTTTGGTAACACTTCAGTTTAAGTACAATTTACTACTGGCTTATTACCTGTCTGTTATGAAGATATTAACTGTTTGTTAGTAATTAGTAGTTTATTGAGCTAAACATTTTAGTTAATGGTTAATAGCATAAATTGGACATTAAAGGTGCAGTAGATTGTCTTCAGAAACATTTTTTTGTTGTGCTGGTTGAAAGTCTCTTCACAGTCTAATAGTAATGATTACAGTAAATGATCTAAATGTGTTTATATGTATTTTTATATTCTGGGTAAAGCATAAAACTAAAAAATGTTTATCCAATTAAATAGAGTCGGACCGTCATCTCCCTTAATTCCGATAGGCAGGTCAGACTGTCTGTCAGCAAATGTAGATTCCGACTTCTGCGCAAGCTGCGGGCCGCTCGCAGATGTCGAGTCGGAGCCGGAGGACAGACGAGCTCGGGCCGATTACTGTAAAGCCAGGCGCGGGTATAATTCGCCCTTAAAGCGGCCGCGCGGTCACCAGACGGACCGGGAGAAATCAAATGCTGAATTGAAACTTTTAAAAACCTGAATCAGTATTGGAGTTACTTTAGCACGCTGGTAAAAGGACGACACCATGGCTGAAGTTTTACTGTTAGACAGGTCATGTTCTGTTTTGAAACTATTTTATGTAAGATTGTGTTTTGTTATGAAGGACTTATATGCACAGACGTGTTGTTCAGCCACTGAAATCTCCCGGTGAAAGACTGATGTGATTATTTTCAGTTTCATAAGGTTCTTTGACAGCATCTATAATGTAGATTTATATTTAGTTTAACAACAAAACACCAGTAAATAGCGCTATTCCGCCTAACCTGCTTTACTGAGCTGAAGTTGCTTTTATTTTCACATTGGGTCATTTTTGAACAATGATAGCCTTCCTATACTGTTTACCATGCTACTCTGAATATTCGCTCTGAAATAGCATGTAATTCCTGCACGGCGCTGGCACTAACTAACTGGCGAAATGATATGAACTAGTGGGTTGTCTGTCGGCTGTTGTGACGCGGTGCGCGCGCTTGCGATTTCAGGGGGTGTGGCTTTGAATCACAGTCCCTCCCCGCCGTCCAAAGATAATATGTTAAGCGGTTAGCTTTTTGGCAGATCACCTACTGCACCTTTAAAAATACGGAGTGTATTTTAATCTGTATTTACAAACTCCAATGTGACCGCAGCTTCAGAACATACTTTACAACTAGTAATGAACAGTTGATATCTTAATAATAGGCAGGTAATAATCCAGTAGTTAATATAGCATGAATTGTGAGCTAAAGTGTCACCAAAGGTTTGTCATGAGTGGATTATTTTCTTCTGCTCAGGTTCAAGAGCGTCTGGCCATCGTCCAGAGCCGGAAGGCAGATGAAGATCTGTTGGGCCTGACGCAGGAGGACACACTCCGACATCTGACCGACACACTGCGACAGGTACACACACACTATAATACACACTTTCAGACATCAGTGTGCGGATGTGATGTTGATGAGTAGATGTTGCAGGAGGACGAGCAGCAGCAGAAGACATTAGTGCGAGAGAAGCTCCAGCAGATGAGGAGAGAACGCTCCTGCATCCTTCAGACCAGACGAGAGAGGTAACACGCACAGCTGAAGTCAAAATGATTCGCCCTCCGGTGAATGTTTTTTTCCCAAATGATGTTTAACAGGGCAAGGAAATTTTCAGTGTTTCCTATAATATTTTTTCTTCAGGAGAAAGTCTGATTTGCTTTATTTCGGCTAGAATAAAAGCAGTTTAAAAATGGTTTTTAAAAGCAGTTTTTTTTTTAAAAACCATTTTAAGGCCAAAATTATTAGCCCCTTAAAGCTATGTATTTTTTTCCCAATAGTCTATTTGACTAATTTCCCCAAAACACCTGCTTTACTACATAGAATCAGTTCATAAATAAGCGAACAAAACACGACCTGTGACCTGTGTATCATTCAGTATTTAATCTCTCGTGTGTCTTCTGTGGCAATACAAAAACATTGGTTATTAAACAAAAAGTTAATTATGAGGGGCTAGTGTTAATTATGAGATAAAATGTTGAAATTATGCCAAAAACATATATAAATATTGTGGACAATAGTTTTGACACTGTAATAATTTCACATTTGTATCATAATTATGACTCATTGTTTGACTAGAATTTGACTTTGAATATGACTTCATGATTTTTTTTCTTGTGGTAAACGGCAGAAATGAGCTTCAATGACACTGCATCTGATTTTAAAATAAGAGAGCAGCATCAACATGCTGCTAAACTTCTTAATTTAAGAGGAAAGAAATTTAACAACTAAAGTATGAGAACTAAATTTTTATCTCTCACAAAAAAAAAAAAAAAAACTATCTCTATCAAATCTGCTTAAACCTTTATTTCTTCTGATTTGACCTGTCATGATTTGGGCTTCATTATGACACTGCATCTGATAAAAAAAAAGAGCAGCATCAACATTCTGCTAAACAAAAATCAAGACTGAACTGAGATCAAAATGTTTACCTCTCAAAAAACGAGCTCAAATCCACTTTTGCCTTTATTTGTTCTGATTTTAACTGTCATGATTTGGGCTTCATTATGACACAGCATGTGATTTAAAAATAAAAAGAGCAGCATCAACATTCTGCTAATCTTCTCCATTTAGGAGAAATGAAAATCGCAACTTAACCATGAAATCAAAATGTTTAAAAAACGAGCTCAAATCTGCTTTAACCTTTATTTGTTCTGATTTTACCTCTCATGATTTGGGCTTTATTATGACACTGCATCTGATTTAAAAATAAAAAGAGCAGCTTCAACATTCTGCTAAATGTCTCCATTTATAAGGAATGAAAATCACAACTGAACCATGAGGTCAAAATGTTTAAAAAACGAGCTCAAATCCGCTTTATCCTTTATTTGTTCTGCTTTTAACTGTCATGATTTGGGCTTCCTTATGACACTGCATCTGATAAAGCAGCATCAACATTCAGCTAGACTTCTTAAAAGGAATAAAAATCATAACTGAAGCCTGAGATCAAAATGTTTACCTCTTTCACAACAAACGAGCACAAATCCTCTTTATCCTTTATTTGTTCAAATTTTAACCGTCATGATTTGGGCTTCATTATGACACTGCATCTGATTAAAAAAAGAGCAGCATCAAGATTCTGCTAAACTTCTTAATTTAAGAGGAATGAAAATAACAACTGAACCATGAGAACAAAATGTTTATCTCTCACAAAAACTAGTTCAAATACGCTTTATCCTTCTGGTTTCTGATTTTAACTGTCATGATTTGGGCTTCCCTATGACACTGCATCTGAGTTAAAACTAAAATCAAAGAGCAGCATCAACATTCTGCTAAACTTCTTCATTTAAGAGGAATGAAAATCATAACTGAAGCATGAGTTCAAAATGTTTACCTCTCTTACACAAAATGAGCTCAAATCTGCTTTAACCTTTATTTGTTCTGATTTTAACTGTCATGATTTGGGCTTCCTTATGACACAGCATGTGATTTAAAATAAAGAGCAGCATCAACATTCTGCTAAACTTTTTCATATAAGAGGAAAGAAAATGTGATCAAAATGTTTATCTCACTCACAAAAAACATCCACAAATCCACTTAAACCTTTATTTGTTCTGATTTTAACTGTCATGATTTGGGCTTCCGTATGACACTGCATGTGATTTAAAAAAAAAAAAAAAGAGCAGCATCAACATTCTGCTAAAGTTCTTAATTTAAGAGGAATTAAAATCACAACTGAACCATGAGAACAAAATGTTTACCTCTCACAAAAACTAGTTCAAAGATGTTTATCCTTTGTTTGTTCTGATTTTAACTGTCATAATTTTGGGCTTCCCTATAACACTGCATCGGAGTAAAAAAAAAAAAATAGCAGCATCAATAATCTGCTAAGTTTCTTAATTTAAGAGGAATGAAAATCACAATTGAAGCATGGATCAAAATGTTTACCTCTCTTACACAAAATGAGCTCAAATCCGCTTTAACCTTTATTTGTTCTGATTTTAACTCCCATGATTTGGGCTTTCTTATGACACAGCATGTGATTTAAAAAAAAGAGCAGCATCAACATTCTGCTAAAGTTCTTAATCTAAGAGAAATGAAAATCACAACTGAACCATGAGATCAAAATCTCCATCAGCTCCATCAAATCCACCCTAACATTTCTTTGTTCTGCTTTTGTAGAAACACCGCTGGCTTTAAAGAGCTTCTAGCCCCCACAGCTCAACGCATGACAGAGACTGAAGAAGGACACTAAACACCGGTTTCCACAAAAACACACAGCGCACACGGTCAAAACATTCATCAACTTTATTGATGTATGAGCACATAAGTAACTGTGTTTGAACGATGGCAACTTGTGTTCGCGGTTCAAACACTTTCCAGGTTGCCAATGATAAATGTCGCCCCCTACAGGCTTGTATTAGTGCTTACGACGCATGCACACATTGGCTGTTGATCTCAAGAAGACTGTGGTGTTTCTTTGGCAAATAATAAATTGCATGACTCGAATACCATAAAAACGCGCTATTGGGTTTGGTTTGCTTCGTGTTAATCTCAGCGTGTCGCCCACATGCACGTTACTCCGCTGTCGAATACAAACCAGCGATTTTCTCCGAATTTACCGTACAAGATGATGTCTGAACCGCCTCAGTCTTGAACACATTTGTGCGTGCGTGCGTGCGTGTGTGTTAGTTATAACTTAAACAACAGCGTCTGCCCCGCCGCAGACATTCAGCTTTAGATTTTCAGAGAGCGTATATACTGAGAACGTCTACAAATGGAAATGAAAGGAATGATGAATAAATTATTTCGCTTTGCTTTGATTCTAGTTATGCTTGTCTATTCTTTTAAAATCGGTGCATGGATGAGTGTCGACTTGAGTAAGTGGTCAAACTATACTATAAGGTTCCATTAGGTCATATGTTTACTAACAAGAACAAATTATGACCAGTCTGGACAGCATTTATTAACGTTAATTAAAGGGATAGTTCACGCCAAAATTTTACTTGCCTCACTATTTACTCTCCCTCAAGTGGCTACAAACCTGAGTTTCTTCTGTAATACACAAAAGCAGATATAAACCTGTATCCATAGAATAAACAAACACTATGGAAGTCGATGGTTACAGTTTTCAACATTTTTCTAAATATCTTCTTTTGTGTTCAATAGAAAAAAATCTTAGAAATGTTTGAAACTACTAAAAGGTGAACAATGTGAGGTGAATTATCCCTTTAATGCACTGTGCCTTAACAAGGCTGACTATATTTTCAATGAATACTGCTAACAAAGATGAATAAACACAATCTTGCATGTATTTTTCATTGTTTGCTCATGTTAGTAAATACACTAACTTATGGAACCATATGGTAAAGCGTATATCTATATATACTGTGTTTGTGTGTTCAGTTCACTATAATATGATGATTGTGGATTGAATCTGTCCGACAAAAGGGAATCTTAATATTTCCCCTAACAAAACAAAACAAAACAAACAAATCAAAACCTTGCAAAGAATTGTGGGACTACTGGTGGGCGCACTGAACACCAGGACCATGTGGACCTCCTTCCTCGTCGGAGCTGTCGTTGTACGCTTCGCGCCGGTGTCCACCTGATGACCCCTGACTCATGTCAAAGTCCTGCAGATCCACTTCCTCTGTGTCGGCTGAGATGACAGGGACTTCTGTACGAGACGGCAGCAGATCCTCCAACTCCTGCAGAAACACACACACAGATGAAAAACGCTTCCTCGGTGGGTCTAGGTGAGAAGATGGAGATTTTGGATGAAGACGTTCAATCGAAGACCTAGTAGTAAGTCATTTTGGAAAGCATTTCTATGACTTTTATCTGTCAGACAAACACAGTTGTAGTAGTTTTACATTTTATCTTTCTCCTGCAGGAACACACACAAAAACTTTTTGGATGAAGACGTTCAATCGTAGACCTAGTAAGTCGTTTTGGAAAGCATTGTATCAGCGCTTAATTTCCATGCAAAACGCGCCAGAGACCAACAATGAAAGCGAGACATGTCTTTTACGGGGATTGTTTCATATGGATTTATTAATCATTCTTACTGTTCAATGAATAAAAACTGTCGTAGATTATTATAAGATGCAAAACCCTGTCACTGCACGACAGTTGCACCTTTAGCAAACCTCCTAATTCCTGCAGCATAAAGACTTTGATTGTTTATGAGCGTCAAAAGTGGCGGATCTGTTCAGTGTAATATTTGACTGCGTGTCACTGCATATCAAACGGCTAAACGATATAAAGCAATCTCCACTGTGCTGAGCGAGAGCGCTTCTTAAACTGAACAGCGCATCATCGATGACGCAAGCGTGCTCAGGCTCAAATGCATGTGAGTGTGGGCCGTCGGGAGGGGGGACAAGCGTGCTTCAGCCCGGTTCAAGCCAATTGTACATAGTGTGAGTACTTTAGTCACCCAACTATGACGACTTCCACTACTGTGAAACCCAGAAATGTGACTGATGAGGCATTGTGAAAATATTTTCTAAGGAACTGTTGAAAAACTCACCGATAGTTTCTCCGTGCTGATCCAGCCGTTCTCAGGAAACTGCACGTCAAACTTGATGAACAGATCTCCTTTCTCAAACGGGTTTCTGTACTGAGGCATTCCTTCCCCCCGCACAACCCTTATAGAACCTGACAACAAACCAAGACCAGGATTCTTACTCATTTTTCAAAGTCAAATTCAAGCTCTTTCCATGTCCATATTCAAACTTTTCCAGCACTTTACAAGCACGGCAGATTACATATTTACATCCTTCATACTTCATTATATCAGATGTTATTTGTTATCAAATTTTATATAGTATAAATAATAATATAGTATTAGTATAATATTAGGGAAAATTTTGATGGTATGTTTGCCCCAAACCCAACGTTAAATTACTCTCTTATACTCTCATATACTCATATCTATATACATGTAAACAAATAAATAAATAAAGGCAGATTATGCTACAGGCATATGCATGTATCTGTTTTATTCAAATAGTTAATTATTATTACCTATTTAGTGACAAATTATTATGAAAGTAACACGATTACATTTTCAGACACTTTATCTAAAATTGAAGCACTTTTCAAACCTTGATTAAGCGCTAGAATAAAATTGATGCATTTACAAGAATCACCAGCACCTTTAATAACCCTGCAACGCAACTTCTCACATATATTTAGTGAACACATAAAACAATCATGCTCACCTGGCTCTATGACTTTGCCAGGAGGATATTTGATGACGAGGTGCCGCCCGTCGAGGTGTGTAAGCATGAACTGAAAACCACACAGCGCCTCCACCAGACCAATCTTGTGGCCAATGTGCAGATCATTCCCATCACGACGAAATTCCTGGACAAAAAAATACAAAGAGATCATAGTCTTTAACAGTAGCAGAACCAAGCATTTCAATGCTTTTATTCCCATTAGCACAAACATTCTTATTATGCAAAGCACAGCACATCCTGACAGCAAACAAGTCATTTAATACTGCTTGCTGCATTTCTTCAAATATAATTGTTATGCATTTTTAAGTATATTTGCATATATGCAAATTAATCAAGGGTACCCTGATCATTTCTGAAAACAATATTCGTGGGTCAACTTCATAGTCATTCATTCTTTTTTTAGGCTTAGTCTCTTTATTACTCTGGGGTCGCCACAGCAGAATGAACCGCCAACTTATCCAGCATATGTTTTATGCAGCGGATGCCCTTCCAGCTGCAACCCATCTCTGGGAAACATCTATACACACTCCTTCACACTCATACATTACGGACAATTTAGCCTACCCAATTCACCTACATAGCATGTCTTTGGACTGTGAGGGAAACCGGAGCACCTGATGGAAACCCACGCCAACGCGGGGAGAACATGCAAACTCCACACAGAAACACCAACTGACCGAGCCGAGGCTCGAACCAGCGACCTTCTTGCTGTGAGGCGTCAGCACTACCTACTGCGCCACTGCGTTGCCCACATCATATTCATATTAAATTAATTATAACAAACCTCGAACAAATTACGTTTTTATATATCATTGATTTTCAAAAGATTTAAGATTAAATTTGGTGCCAAAATACGATGACAGTATTGTTTTCAAAAATGAGCCGTTTTCATGTAAATTAAAGGCAAATGCATAAAGGTTTTCTGTTTTTAGCTTTGATTTCAAAAGTGAAATCAAACTGAAATGCTCTGTGCAGAAACAATATTTTAATGCACAATATGGCCTGTAATTTAACAGTAATATTGAAAATATTCATTCATTCATTTTCTTGTCGGCTTAGTCCCTTTATTAATCTGGGGTCGCCACAGCGGAATGAACCGCCAACTTATCCAGCACGTTTTTAGACAGCGTATGCCCTTCCAGCCGCAACCCATCTCTGGGAAAATATGTGTTTTAATATTTTTTATATTAAAATAGGTATCTAAAATATTTGATATACTTATAATATATAAAATAAATCTTTTATTTATTTAATCTTTTATGCATAATATGCTGGTAATTTGAACAGAATTGCTAAAAATGTGTTTTACTAATAAAAAAAGAAGAAGAAAATATTTATATAAAGCATAATATTTGATATTTATATAAAATAAACTAAATATTTTATTAATAAATATTTAATTAAATACTTTTAATTAAATAATTAAATTATCCTTAGCATTTGGTTTGGTTTCAAGCCATTGTGATGTAAATTAATGACCAAATGCAAAAAATCTGTTTTTAGCATTTATATCAAAAGTGAAACCAAGCAGAACTCCTCTATGCAGAAATAATGATTTTTTTATGCACAATACGGCCTGTACTAACAGTAATACTGAAAATATTTATTTTAATAATAAAAAAATGATAAAAATATTTGTATAAAATATTGTATATATTTACATAAAATAAAATAAATCCTTTATTAATAAATATTTGACTAAATAATTTCTATTTAATCATTAAAATTATCTTTAGCCATTGGTTTAGCTCAGTGGTTCTCAATTTTTTTTCATCAAGTACCACCTCTCTCCACCTCTCAAAAATAGTCTCTCCAAGTACCACCAAAATGAGCAGAATTGAAATACAGTAGTGTAGTAGGCCCAGTAAAGCAGCTACAACTCTGCACAGTTAAAAAAAAACATGGCAAATTACCTCAGAAATATAGCCTGTATGTCATATATGGCATATTATATACATCATTTTTGATTAATTTTGAAATATATGTAGCATGTACATGTAATATTTCATTCCTCCGCGTACCACTAGTGGTACACGTACCACAGTTTGAGAACCACTGGTTTAGCTCTTAAAGGTAATTATCACTTTCATTCTAACCATTGTATTTTATACCAGTGGTTCTCAAAGTGTGGTACGTGGGCTTACTTCTAGTGGTATACGGAGGACTCACTGAGCAATGAAAGAAAAAAATCAATACAATTGTAATCATTTGATGCGTATGATAACACCGATGTGATCGCCATTGGCTGTTCTCTAAAGTTTACTTTAGTGCATCGCGTCATCATCTGCTAAAAATTAATCCAACTGCCGCAGAACTAGAGAAAGAGGTGCGTGGTGCTTGCAGAGCAGGTATGCACCAGAGCAGTGGTCTTTAACCCTCAGGCCACTGACCGGCACCAGTCTGTAGATCAATTGGTACCGGGCCACACATAAAAATCACGACCTTCTGAATGATCTTCTATCTTGAAAAATCTTTAATATTGAAAAATGACCATATTCTCTTGTTGCATCTCTGTCACTTCAGTGCCAAAATTAACCCACAGGCTAGCAAAATGAGTAAGAACTGCCAATGAAT